GAAGAGAAGGCCGCGAATCGCCTCTAGGGTTTCGGTTTTCAGTTTTTTTCGGGAAATTGAAAAGTTTTTTTTTGTTCTACATTTATTTGGAAGAAGAAAGTTATAATTTATTGTATATTTATCACTGTATATTTACTATATTTGTGAATTACGAATTTATAATACATAAAAAAAAAATCCAAATTTTCATTTGTGAGGGATAAGGATGTCTTTTCCACGCTTGTAAGGTTATTCTAGCAAAAATGTAAGGGACGTAGGTTAGTTTTGCAAACAGACCTAATTGTAAGGTCATTCTAGTGATTGTTCTCAATTTATAAAGAAAACTTGGTGAACAATTTTGTAGATCTATAAAAATTTATTTACTTTAGTTGAATTTTCTGAACGTGCATGCATCCCGTTTTGAAGACAGAAAAACGTGTAAATTAGTGGTACATATACCTTTTGTTTGTGGTATATATATATTTCTCACCACAATATTTTATTTGTATTTAGGAATCATGTATGAATTGTAAACTTAAAATTCAAAGAGAAAACAAAACGTTTTCTGTGAGTTTGCGATTTGATAATTTGTAGAAAAGTGTTTTTAATTAAAAAAAACACGTTCGTAGCTGAACAACTTTGCTTGACAACTATATATTAATCATAGATCGAATATTCGACTTATTATTTTACGTACATGAGATTAATATTTAAACTACCGAAAGGACATTAGCTGCAATGCGGGCTTAGAAGAGTCCTAAGAACGTGTGTTGCGTTGTGCTGGATGCACGTTTTCTTTGGTATGCGACCCCAGAAAAACATAAGCGATGGCCAATTGGACTAACTGATTTAGTCTTTCTTAATTTAATTTGGCTATTTGTATTGTAATTAAGCCTTAAGGATACTTGATTTTCATTGACTTGATCTTAAGAAAAGAGCCAACAAATAACTTTGCTTAGTTGCTGACAACTAAACAGGAGTGGTTAATATATTCATGACATTAATATAGATGAGGAAAAATAAACATAAGAAAAAAAAGAGAAAATAATTTAGTTGTCCATTGGCATCTGTGAGTATAAGTTTTTATAGTTGACAATGCAACTTGGTTCATTTTAAATGCTAGGACTTGGGAGACTTATTATTATGCTTTAAGAAAAGACTCACCAAGTTTGCTTAGTTGTTTACAGGGCTTAGTTGCTGACAGCTAAAGAAGGTATTGGTTAATATATTCATGACATTAATATTTGTATACATGTAAATACAGTTGAGGAAAAACAAACATAAGATAAAATAATTTATAGTTGACTTAATGCAACTTGATTCATTTGAAATTTTAGGACTTAAGAGACTTATTATTATGCATTAAGAAAAAAGACTGACCAAGATTGCTTATTTGTTTACAGCCAAAGCTGATCAACTTGGCTATATAATCCTAAATGTATCTGTTAATAGGATCCACAGTAAAACGGAACCAAACCTTTTGCATTTTCCACCCACAAAAAAAAAAAGTTAAAGATCCAAACTCCAAAGTATAAGGGTTTTGCATGCTCATACCTCTCTTCCTATCCTTATTCAATCATTCTTAGCTACAACCTTTCGCCATGGAAAGAATCTTTAAGCACTTCTGGCACCAGCATGGGAGCGACGAGAATCCTAGGGAGCTCACTTGGGAAGAGAGAACGAAAAAAAAATATGGTTTAAGTGTTGACACGTGCGATGATTGTCAAAAGCCAACTGAAGGTCACGATCCCATAAAATGCGATTTTTGCCTCAAGGACTGGCACGTTGAATGCGTCCCAAGCTCGCCTGATGAAGTAAACCATTCGTTCCACACATACCATCCGCTCAAGCTTCTCATTGATGGCCCACCTGATTACTCTGATGGAAAATGTGGTATCTGCAAGCAGGAACTCAAAAGCTTTTTCTACCATTGCTCCATCTGCTATTTCAGCATGCATGTGAGGTGCTCCAACGATCCCCCGCCACCCATTGTGGATGCTCCGAGGTGCCACGAGCATACACTCACCCTTATGGCTAGAGACGATATCTTCACTTGTAATGCTTGTGGTATGCATGGGGAACGATGCCCTTACGTATGCGCTCCATGCGGTCTCATGTTCCATCGAGATTGTATTAAGCTACCACACGTCATAAACATCAATCGCCACGACCATCGTGTGTCTCACATCGATTCTCCTGGTTTCGGGCTTTGGAAATGCATGATTTGTCACAAGAAGATTGACTGGAGGTACGGTGCTTATTCTTGTCAGAAATGTCCTAATCTTTTCTTTCACTCCAAGTGTGCAACTAGAAGTGATGTTTGGGATGGGGAAGAACTAGAAGGGATACCTGAAGAATTTGTAGATGTTTCGCCATTCAAAGTGATTGAAGACGGAGTCATTAACCATTTCTCCCATGAAGAACACAACCTAAGGCTTATTGATGAGGATGCCATTGATCGTCATGAAAGCATACGATGCGAAGCTTGCACAGGTTCTATCTTTTCTGAGAAGCACTACAGCTGTATGGAATATTGCGATTATTTCCTCCATGAAACATGCGCTAATCTTCTTCTTCAGAAAAGACATGGGCTTTGCACAAAGCCGCTTACTCTATTAACCATGAAAAAGGTTAGGGAATTGAGATTATTTACCTGTACTGCCTGCAGAAAACTATCAAATGGTTTCAGGTACGAGTGTGGTGATACTATCCTAGACGTACGGTGTGCGTCGATGTCATGGTATTGTGATTATGAATGTCACCCGCATACCCTCTTCCTCACTACGCTTGACGAGGAAACTTGTGGGGTATGTGGTCGATATGGTCGACTGCTGCATTGCGTTGAGTGTAAGTTCACATTGGACTTCAAGTGTGCTACTCTACCAAAAAAGATAAAGCACAGGTGCGATGACCATTTTCTGTCCTTGTGTTTTGGTGAGAAGGAGAAGCCGAGGGGTAAGTACTGGTGTGAGGTTTGTGAAACCGTTTTAGATCCACGAGAATGGTTTTACTCATGCTCCGGTGATTGCGGAGTCGTTTGTCATATTCCGTGTGTGCTCGGGCAGTTGTGGAATGTCAAGCCACGTGTCATCCACACTAAAGGATATGGTACAGTTAAACTGGTTCTCAACGATAGTTTGTCTCGACCAAAATGTGGTTATTGCGGCTCTCATTGCCAACAACCCCTGATGATCAAGTTTTCTTGCCCTTCTATGGAGAAATTCTTTTGTGACCTTGATTGTTTTGAAAAATACGTCGTTCCACAAGATTATAAGAGAAGAGATGATACTTTGAGTTATCACCACTACTCTATTTACTGAGAATAACAGAGATTCACAAGAGCAGAACGAACGGCTAAATCACTCTGTCACAAAAGCAGAGAGTCTGCTACACAAGGACAATGCCATGAAGATCAAGCTTCATAATCGTTTCTCAGCCCTTGATCTTTACACTAGTCTGATTGTGCCACCTGTCGAAAGTTTTTTTTTTTCTTTTCTCTTCGAAGTATTTTCCATTTCATCTTCCCCTTTAATCTAGGGTTTTACAGCTTTGTATCTTTTTTTTTTTTTTCCCAACGTTTTACAGCTTTGTATAAATAAGAACTTCTTCTGATTGTAAAACCTCAAGACAAAAATACAAAGAACAATGCTCATGTTTTTCCTCTAGGTTGATCTTTTGTCTTCAGTCCTAATGCATATTAAGAGCAACCTCAATGGGAGAGACCCATAAGAGTCTCTAGACCTATATTATAATAGTTTTTAAGCTAAAAGTGAGATTAGAAACTGGTTTTAGAAACCTTTTGTTTTGGATTATACAATAGGAGAGACCAAAAAGTAGATTTAGAAACCTAAACATCAACAATCTGTTGTTTGATTTTATCACTTAGTAATAATCAAGTTAGAAATGGAGGTGTTTTGTGGTCGGAGAAGTGGAGTTTTTAAAAAATTGAATCATCAATTTTCGTTTATGAGATTTTATAGACTCTCCAATACTTTATTTTAATGAAACTACAACTTACGAGTAACAGAGTAAACCTTTTCAAATCTATAACAGAGTAACTTTCCAACACTTCGTTTATGCATTTTTGTCTTAGTCTTCTTCGCCGCAAGACTCAAAAATGCGAAGGTGATAAAATAATTTTTTTGGTTCGCCTTCCCTTTCGCAGTCACGTTGCGAACCAATGAGTCCCTGTCTGAGAACCGCCGACCATCGGAGAAGCTGCCGAAGACAGAATGTGTTCTCCTCGATTTCGTCGAAGAAGAGAACAAATGGAAGAAATGAAAACTATTGGGAAATCGGGAAAATGAAATGACAGAGAAAAGAAAAATAAAATTTTCTCCCAAATTATTTAACCAATAATATCTCGTCACATGTGAGAAAAAACGTCTTAAAAAATCAGTCCCAGAAGACGTTTTTGCGAAATAAGAAACACAACCTCAATTGTTTCTTATTAAGTTTCTGTTAAATACCCACTAAAAACTGCCTTAAAGATGCTCTAAAGAGGCTACCCTGGCGGCGAGTTATAGCTCACATGCGCTGAGTTTTGTTGTGTTCTTTCTTTTTTTTTCTTCCCAACAACAATGGAAAGACAAATATTACTTTCTCACTTATTATTTTGGGTTTTAATACTACTATCTTCATTCCATAATATTTGATGGTTTGGATTGCACACCATATATTATCTCCATCTCATAATATTATTTTAAATAATAAAACGGTCGCCTCAATGTCAACTCTATTACAAAACAGCTGAAAAGAACATATCAATGTCTTGCTATGAGATCACAGTGGCAGAGCAAAAAGAAAAAGAAAAAAAACTAATTCTAATTGGCTAAAATCCTACATAAACAACAAAAACCGGTTGGTTCTCTGCATTTACATGACTCACGACAAGGAACCGATAATTTTAACCTTTCGGAAAGGTAAACCCACGTCTTGTTACTCTGAGAAAACCTTAAAAAAAGTCAAGTGAATGGATAAAAGTTTGAGAAGAGAAGAGTGCCGAGAAGGATATAGGCTGCACAATATGACCATATCAAGTATCCCCATTTACTATGTTTAGGAGACGCAACCAAATGCGATGCAAACCAGTAAAGAGGAGGGCTCGCTGACAGGAACCGTGTTGCGACCTGTAACCAAAATCAAAGATGAAGGCGGTTTATCACTCCTAACTCCTATTCTCAAGAGTTTTTGCCACTTAAAAGACTTGAGTTAATTGAGGATTGTAACCTGAACATGCATGATGAAGAACGCTGTGGCTGCCATTAAACCCAAGTGTATGACAAATGGGAAAACATCAGCTGAAAAGTATCCTGATTTTTTGGGCGATACAAAATCCACAGCCACACTGGTCACACTCACATCCTTCTTTCTGCTAGATTTCCGCTGCCTAATGTCACGGTTTCCTACTCATGTAAATAGAGACGATCCATCAACGTGTTTAATTTTGGAACTATTGTATTACATAACAAAGAAAAGGATACCTTCATGTGATGATGTTTTAACATCTGGTTCAACTGCATCCTTCAGAGAATAAAGCCTTGCAGCAGATCTCTTTTCTTTCTCGGTAGCTTGAAAACCCAGCGAAATGAAGAGCTCAGGCCGAGCCGTCATGTAACTCATTATTGAACACATAGCTAGAGAAAGAATTGGAGATGCGAGCAGAAAGTTTGGGAGCTGTTTAAACTGAAAGTATCTAAGAAAGCCTACTCCCCTGTCACGATCCATGTCACCAAGAAATTAAAGGCTCGAAATCAAATAGAAGAAAGAAGTTTGCAAGAACTTTAGAAAAGGTTGTTGTTCAAACTTACCAGTAATGACTTTGAATGAAGTTGTACAGCAAAGGTACCCTTGCTTTGCACCAAGGCCTCAATTCATCTGGCTTGCGTCCATGACAGATGTTATAGTATCCGTATGCTTGAAATGCGACGAAAGGAAGACAAATGCATACGCATCGAAGAAATCCAGTAACTAAAACCTGCAAAGACAACTGGGTAGAGAAACTAGAATTATTTGAGATTTTCCATGGCTACCAAAAAAAAAAAATCCAAATGAAACTTAAAGAGTGAAATATGTATAACTCACCCAAACGCGCCTTTTTTGATATAAAGCTTCATATGCTCGATGCATCGTCTGGAAACAGATATAACCAGCATTAAGAATCCCATTGGACCTTGCACAACCAGAGAGTGCAAACCAGAGAACAGCTACATTGCTGGTACCAGATAACAAGTGATACAAGCCTCCAATTGAGAAAAGAGCATACAGACTTTCTGAATATCTGAAATTCACATGGAAATAGTTCGATCTTCAGTTGATTACCATTCTGATAAGATTAAAAAACATTTACTCTCGTAGAATGAATCAAAAGATCATTGCTTGAATACATTACATTGACGAATAAAATATGGACGCCGGATTGAAGCAGAACATAATCGAAGCTCTGAATGATGCTTCAGTGTCCTTCAAGATAATAACTGAAATCCTGTTAGCAAAGACTATGTAAGACACTTCTTAATCGAAGAATAGTAAACACTATACAACATACAAGCAAAACTATCACACACAATATACTGAACTAGTAGAGCACAAAAGGATCATGACTTGACTTAATTCAGACGCAAGGATCGATTTTGGATTCAGTGTCAACGAAAGTACCTGAACAGATAGATAGCAGCAATTACAAAGGCCAAGTTGCTGACGACGTAACCAGACAACACCATCACAGCTCGAAGACCAATCAATGGAACCAAAGGCGCAAAAGCTGAATCAAAAGACCCATTTCCCTCATCGGTGAGAGCTCGAAAGTAGGGAAAGTGAACAAACAAAAGTAGGGAATCAAGTGGGTAGATCTGATTCAAAAACCTGTACGAGAGAGAAGCGAGATGAAGAAGGGAAGAAGAGGCAAGAAGGCGTAAGTCTGCTCATACTCGTACCCACACTGCGTGATTCGAAGAAAGTACACGCTGTCCCAGACGACGCTATTTTCAAGGGTCTTCGAGACTGCATTGGCTACAAGGAGCGGAGGAGAATCTTCGACGACGTCTTTGTGATACAGGCACGGCGGGTTGAGTGTGGCGGATGTATCGTACGGTTGGAGCAAGCTCCGCCACAAAAGGGTTAAGAACAGAACCAGGAGTCGAGAGAAGATGGCGTATTTTATCAAGATGCTTTCTTTCCTGGATTTCGAGTTTGATTCCATGGCTTTCACCATTTATACGTGATCGTCTTCGAGAATCCCGGTCACTGAGAGAGTAGCAGAGCCTCACTATTGCCAAACTCGAACAGAAATAACTTTCAAAATTACTCCGACAGAAATCGAGCTGCAATAGAAATGGAAGACGAATCAAACTGAAGAAACAACATTTCGATTTCTCATCTGAAAGAGACGGAACAGGAAGAAATTGAAAACAGAAATCGGCGGCAGATGGTTCTCGATGGCTGAATCCGGTGTCAAGAAAAGCTGACGATTTGTGATTTTGAGCAGAGAAGAGACGAAGTTGAAGAAGAAAAGAACGGATTTGAACCAAAGATGGTTTGATTAACTTCTGAACCGGACGGTCCAATCAGAAAGGCCCCGAGTTCCAGCCGAGTATTTCCGGTTTTATTCGGGTTATGAAGGCTTAAGTTTTCAGGATCGAACCAATCGGCTCGGTTCTGTTTCAGAAACGTTTCCGAGGCTAACTAAACGCGCCATGTCATCAAGACATGTCACCAAAACTCGTCACATGCCCAATCACCTGAGGCCTGGTATCATAAAACGTCGATCGTCATAAATTGTATTTCGAACAACCAAAAAAAAGGAAAAAAAAAAGAAAAAAGGAAATAATAATTCACCCCCTTGATAAACCCTTTATTAAAAAATTACTTCTCTTTCCTTCGATCATCGTCTTCCTCTGGTTCTCAGATCTTTGAAACGAGAAGAACCATTTTAATGCTTGAATCAGGTTTGTGTCTCTATCCATGTTCAAGTGTATTTTTCGGTCATACATGTATATAGCATGGAGAATTTCGTGCAATCTTGCGATTTCTATGAGGATTGCTTTCATTTGGGATCGAAACTTTGGGATGCTAAGAAGATGTAACTGAGTTTGTACCTCTTGGATCAATTTTTCATTTCAAATCTGAAATAGATTTTGTTATTAGATCTTTGATTTCTTTCGAATTTGATTTTTCTCTCGGTTGTCAAATACAGATTTCAGATGTGGAATATGTAGAAAATTTGTGAATAGATTTTGGATTTGATTTCAATGAAGCTGACGTGTTTGTTCAAAATTGATATCTTGGAGGTTAATTGCTACAGTATGGAAAATGGAATCTTTTGATGATACTCAAGTTAGGATTAGAGTTGCTAGTGTTTCTTTGAGGTTGATTTTCTTTGAAAAAATTCCTTCGACTATTCTGATTCTGGTGCAATTCTCGCCTTACAACTAGAGCATGGATCATAAACATTGGTTTATGAATTTGGGGAGTTGCAGGATTCATATTCTTGTTTGAAATTTTTTGATAATTGCAGTAAATTTATTATTGGAGAAGGAATAAGGCAAAGATGGTGAAAATGACATTGATAGCTCGTGTTACCGACGGGTTGCCTCTAGCAGAGGGCCTCGACGATGGCCGTGACTTGCCAGATTCTGACATGTATAAGCAACAGGTCAAGGCTCTGTTTAAGAATCTTTCCAGAGGTCAAAATGAAGCTTCAAGAATGTCGGTTGAATCTGGCCCCTATGTTTTCCAGTATCCTTAACGTCGGTTATTTATTGGCCAGTTCTTAATGATTCATATTCTGCTTGCAAAAGCTTGTTAATTGATAGATCTCATATTGATGTTTGATTAAAATTTGCATCTGTGTGTAGCTTCTCATTAGAACTATATTATCATAGATAGAGCAGTTAGTTGACTAACCTTCTGTCTGCATATAATTGTTCAGGCTTATGACACGTTTCAGTCCTATTGCATTATGTTTAAGATGTCGCTTTATGCTTGACTAGTTTTTACTTGTGTGATTGTTTATATCCCGACTTCGTCGTTTTGGTATGCTTTAATCTTGAAACCAAGGTGAAAGAAAGAACCAAATATCTATGGTCTTCCTTGATCAGAAAACTTTAGTTACATTATAGAAGGACGCGTTTGCTACTTGACAATGTGTGACCGCTCTTACCCAAAAAAACTCGCGTTCCAATACCTGGAAGATCTCAAGAATGAATTCGAACGTGTCAATGGGCCTAACATTGAAACAGCTGCTCGACCTTATGCCTTTATTAAATTTGGTATGTGTACTGTAGATTGTCTTCTGTATTCATCAGTATCTTGGAAACATACATTACCAGGTTTTTCACCCTATTTTTCCCTTTGGTTTTTTTTTGTTTGTAGATACCTTCATACAGAAAACCAAGAAATTGTACCAAGACACTCGTACGCAACGAAATATAGCCAAGTTGAATGATGAACTCTATGAGGTCCATCAAATCATGACGCGGAATGTGCAGGAAGTCCTAGGTGTTGGTGAAAAGCTGGACCGTAAGCCCCATCTATTCTTTTTCCCATGATCAATCATTACACTTTTCGAATCAGGAGAACAGGAATCACTAGTTGTGTACATTTGTCATATAATCTTAAGAGCAATATGCTCATTGTGTACCATTTCCTCGTCTTGTTTTTTTTATGCAGAGGTGAGCGAGATGTCGAGCCGGCTAACATCTGAATCTCGTATATATGCTGATAAGGCTAAAGATTTGAACCGTCAGGTGAGTTTGATTGTAGATTCCCTATATTACACTATGCAACAATGATCACACGGTATGAGATGCTCTCATATTTTATGATCATGTTTAACTCAGGTTGGTTGCATATGGTTCTGAATAATTGATTTGATAAACCAGGCTTTGATCCGGAAATGGGCACCAGTTGCGATCGTGTTCGGGGTTGTTTTCCTTCTTTTCTGGGTCAAGACGAAGTTGTGGTAAGAAAGGAGGAACCTAAGGCTGTTTCGTAATTTAGGAGACTTGTCCGGACATATATCAACCGCCGCCGGTGTAGATCTCCTGATTCCGGCACCCAACATATCTTCTTTCTTTCAAAGAGAAACTTTGACACATTTTGTACTCCTTAGTATGCAAACTTTATAAGACTGGTCATTTATCATCATCATACTCTTTAAACTTTGATTGTCATTTATTTTCTCAGGTTTCTTCAAATCAAAACCAAAATCAAACTTAACGGATTGTGTTGTGATTTCATTACATATTCCTAACTGAAATGAACTATACGAACAAATAACTGATCAAAATTGAAGGCTATTTAGCGTCTATATGATGGTCTCAGGTGTCGTTTGAAATCTTGTGGACCTGCCAAATCTGATGAGGAAGTGTTCTTCAACTCATCTGAAAGCTGCAATGCCCTCTGAAAATCTCCTGACTTCTTCAGACAATCGATTAAAGCTCGGTAGACGTAAACCGATGGTCTAATCTCTCGCTGTTTCATCTCATCGAAAAGCCTCAACGATTCCTTTATGTTCCCTGATCGACCCAAACTGTCTATCACTGCGGTATAGCTAAGCAAATCAGGTTCAATTCCACCCTGAACCATTTCGTTGTAGAGCACCAAACACATGTCGAACCTACAAGCTTTCCTCAACCCGTTTAGTACAGTGTTGTATGTAATGATGTTTAGGGATACATGGCAATCTTCCTTCATCGATGACAATAACCTGAGCATCTCATTCACGAGGCCAGCTCGGCCCAAGATATCCAAAACCGAATTGTATGTGATCGCATCTGGTTTACACTGCCACTCTTTCATCTGCTCAAGTATCATAAGGACCTTATCTATCTGTCGAGTTTCAGCAAATGCAAGTATGGTTCTGTTTAATACTATTAGCCTACATGGAAGAGAAGACTCTGATACTTCTTTGAGAAGACTCAACAAGTGTATGCAATCATCGGTGTTAATGAAGGCTCTAGCGAGGTTGAGATAACATTCTGAACTCAAAGGCTTACCCGCTTGAACCAATAGCTCTCTGAATGCTCTGCAAGAGAGCTTCATATCGTTCTGCTCACCCGCTGCTGCAAGAAGGTTGTGGAAAACCGATATAGGCAAGCAAATGTTCTTGTCTTGTAAGGACTGTAACAAGTCATATGCAGCAGAGAGATTTCCATCTCTTCTATACTTCTCCACGAGATTCGTGTAATCGATTTTGCTGGTCAACTTTGAACCATTGTCAGCCATTTTCTTCAGGAGTTCTTCGTCTTCTTCTCCTGTGTTTGTCAAAGAGTGCATCGCGGAGAAGGAGCAGCTCCAGCTCAATTCAGCAGGAGCTAACACCATATGTTTCTGCAATTCCCAATACACAGAAACCATAGAATCAACTACATAGAAAAATTCAGAGTGTTTGAATCCATTATCTCTCGACAGCTTCCACAACAAATTCATTTACTGGATGATTATGTATGTCCTAATAGGAGGCTCCAAAACTACATTAGATCAGATTCGGGAAGAACAAGAAGGTTCCAAAATTCAAATATCTGTATCGAACCAAACGTTTTGTAGAAAAACTCGAGGGGCAGTAACAATCAGAGAAAAATTACGATAGAGAATCATCAAATCGAACAAAACATGAATCAATAAAGGTTGGGGATATTTGGTATATGTACCATAGAAGTGAATGAACCTCCATAGACGGGGATTCTCTTAACGATCGACCACTTCGCCATCTTCCTCACTATCTACCTCCAGTGAGCTTGTGACATTTCCAGGTTCAGGTTTTGGTTTTGAGGTGAACTGTTTGGGTTACAAAGACACATTTATTAATTGTTAGGCCATATTATAAATTATTTGAAACTTTAGGGACTGATAGGATAAATCTATGAAATTGTAAAAGCATAGGTAGATGATACACTATTGACAGACCTGCCTATTTCCTTGCGACTTTCAACTTTATTTCTTTGTATTTTCCGACGGGAAAGTTCTCGATCGCTGTTGCATTTGATTTTTAGGGAGAAGATTCAAAACCCTAGACGATCACATTCTCTTCTCTGATCAATACGATGCAGCATTTATTGTTCGCGGTTGTACTTTCCGAGGTCGCGGTGATAATGGCGCTTTCCTTTAAGACGCCGATTCGGAAGCTGTTGATCATGAGCCTGGATCGTGCGAAGCGTGGCCGTGGACCGGTGGTGATTCAGACGATTTCGGCGACGGTTTGTGTGGTTCTGGTGGCGAGCGTGTACAGTATGATGAAGATCCAGAAGCGAGGGATAGAGGACGGTGCAATGAACCCGACAGATGAGGTTATCATGGCCAAGCATCTCCTTGAATCGACTCTCATGGGTAAGCTTTCTCGGATCCAGTTTCGCTCTTCTCTCCGTCGGTTTTGGCTACTTACTTTTGGTACTCTGAACCAGAATTACTGTTTCTAGCTCAGAATTCGAGATCCATATAGTGTTTTAGAAACTATGTTGTTGTTGAGTGTATCCGAGTTACAGTCTCTTGAATGTTTGTGATCACTGTGCTGGATTTTACTCGTAGCTAGCATATGTTGATGATATTCGTAGTTTAGCGTAGCTAGAGTGATGATTTAGTTCTTGAATTTTGGATCTATCACCGCTTTTTCTACTCTGATTGAATCAAATTGGCTGTAAAGAAATTCATAGATGTAGTCCATAATATCTGAAATTGGCTTTTCCAGTTTCATTTTGAGCTTTGGAACTATGTCTTCTGCTTTGGTAAATCTTAGTTGCTAGTGTAATTGTTTCGCTCTTTCTCTTCCTTTGATTCAAAATCGGCTTTTCAAGTTTCAGTTTCATTCACTTATGCATTCTCGCTTCTGCTATGGTGAAAGAAACTTAGTTTTGGTGGTATGTTACAGGTGGTTTTCTATTCCTTGGGCTAATGATAGACAGGCTGCACCATTACATGAGAGAGCTACGGATAAGAAGGAAGATGATGGAAGTGATAAAGAAGGAAGGAGCGGTTTTGGAAGGTGTAAAAGCCAGAGCTTCAGATGAAGTTAAAAACTTGAAAGAAGAAGTAGTGTCGCTTCAGGAAAGGCAGAAGCAGCTGGTCTCTGAGATCGAGGCAAGGTCTAAAGAAATCCGTACTGAAAAAACGAGTGCAGTTGCTCTAGAAAAGCAATCTGAAGGCTTCCTTATCGAGTTTAACCGGTTGCTTGAAGAAAACCAGGATCTTCGAGACCAATTGCACACTGTGGATTCCAGAATTTCTCGATCCAGCATCAAGAAGAATACTTGATTAGCCTCTCTTCTCCAACATATTTTTTTTTTAACTTCCTTTGTGATTTGCCGTTTGGGTTTGGAGTTTGTTCATAGCGCATCTTGTTAACATGGGAGATGATGGGAAAAAAAAATCAGAGGATACAGTACAAAAAAGGAAGATAGATTTGTTTCTTGTTCTGGCTTATGAGTATGAGCTTTGCGAAAGTAGAGATGATTGTAACTATGATTCAGTTTTTTTTTTTCATCTGAAAGATTATATAGATATCACAGAGTTTTCAAAAGTTTACAACAACGGATCCTGGAAGAAACCAAATGCTACCAAACGAGCATGAAGGCTTAATCCTATAAACAACTAAAAATTGGATCCAAAGGACAAGCCCCTTGATACATTAACAACGATTAAAATTAAATCCACCAAGGCAAGGAGAGAGGAGGATCTAAGTAAATCACCAAAAAATTCACCATCGCCACATCGAGCATTACATAAAGGTAATACTACCTTCACCAACAAAGATCGATTCAAGCCAAAAAGGAAACCCTTCGGCTACATATGATTGACAACGATCCTCCCTTGTCACACTTCTAGCAATAAGAAATGCACCTAAATTTGCATTCCTTTCTTCATAGACCACTTTCCAACTCGGCAATTGATTCAAAGCAACAAGAATCTCAGAAGAAAAAACCTTGAAGGATGGCCAAGCTGGAGGTCGAGAAACAGCTCCTATCAACTCTGAAGCTTCAGCCGCAAAAATGACTGAGATAATTTTCAAGCTTTTCATACTTTCAATTGCCCATAGCCAACTTTTCACATGTGCTTCAACATCGGTTGCAACATGACTAAAAGCTCTTCTACTATGCAACAAAACTTTACCTTCTCTATTCCTCAGCACCCAAGACGCTCCACTCAAATTCTTCCTTTTGTCCCACGATGAACCAATATTGCATTTAAGCCACCATTTTGGAGGAGGTAACCATTTAACTCTGTTCTTCTTTTCAGCTTTAGCTTTTTTAATGTCTTCCGTATTTCCAGAAGCTTGAGCTTGGAACCATTGAGTAGTGTCTTCTCTGATCTTTTCCATTGTGTCATTGGCTTTGTAAATCAGACCTTCAAACAACAGCTTATTTCTGTTTTTCCAAAGCATCCACAAGATCCAGGGGAATCTTCTTCTAATCTCAATCGGCACTCTGTTATTTTTCGCTGTTATCATCACATCAAAGACGTTTTGATAAACAGATTCAGCATTGAAACCATTATCAACGATTGGGAAATCTGACATTGCCCATACTTGCCTGGCCAAGGAACATGTAAAAAGAACATGATTAGTCGATTCACCTTCAAGACCACATGTTTGACATCTAGAATCAACTTTCATTCCTCTTGATGTTATTTTATCAGCAACTGGGATAGCTCCACTTAGCACTTTCCATAGAAAAATCTTGATTTTTTCAGGAGCCAAACTACTCCACACAATATCTTTTAGCCCAATCAGAGAAGGTTGCATAGAAGCTTCTCTGATAACCTCTTTTTTCTGATCTTGGAGAGCTAGCCAATACCCCGTTTTTACACAATATTCCCCACTTTTATTAAATTTCCAGCAGAAAAAATCTTTGGAGGAACAAACCGGTTTCTTCCTCATGATGATTTCAGTGTCTCTAGGGTAGAATAGCTCCTCTAATTTATCTCTATCCCATTTCCTGGATTCAAAGTCAATCAGATCTTCCACTTTTAAATCCAAATTCACAAAGATATTCTTCATTAGAGGAGCTCTCATAATTCCATCATCAACCCACGGTGATGTCCAAACACTCAAAGATCTCCCATTTCCCACCATCTGCTTTAATCCGGTTTTTAACAAGTCTCTTCCATGGAGGATACTTCTCCAACCAAATGATGGTCTAACTCCTATTCCAGCCTGAAGAAAATCTTGTTCATCATAATATCTGCTTTTCAAGAATTTGGAAAAGAGGCAATCGGGGTTCTGGAGAAGCCGCCATGCTTGTTTGGCAACTATGATTCAGTTTACAAGTGATTATACTCTGAGTTGGTTCTTATTTCCTTCCATATACATAATACAGTGATGAGAAGTGAGTATTTTAACCATTTTGTGTAATTATTCTAAAGTAATGTGTTGGAAAAAAAATAGAATAAAAAAATACTAAGAAGAAGGGTTTTAGTGAAATGGAGACGTAAAGCTGATTCGATTTGTGAAATAGAATTTTTCCGATCTGTTGAAAAATGAGATTTATGACATCGGCCGCCGCCGCCGCTGGAATTTCCCGACGCGGTGCTCTTGATGCCGGACATCTCCTTAACCCTAACCACATCAATCTCAATCTCTCTCCCACGTCTCCCTTCTCTGTAACTGAAACGAACTTGAGATCGCTGTGTGAGTCTGAGAATTCAAATCCTCAGCTTAAGAACGCCGTTTCAGTTTTCCAGCAAGCACTCGTCTCCGGTGGCTCTCTTGCTTTCGCCGGAAACAATCTCTTGGCAACGCTGGTACGTTCTAGGAACCACGAGCTTGCATATTCCATCTACCGCAAGATGCTTGACACTAGTACTTTCGTCAATTTCGTGTCGCTGAGTGGGTTGCTTGAATGTTTCCTGCAATTAGATCGTAAGACCGGTTTTGCGCAAGGTGTTCTCGCGTTGATGCTAAAGCGTGGGTTCGCTTTCAATGTCTACAATCTCAACATCCTCTTAAAGGGTTTTTGCAAGAATCTGGAATGCGATAAGGCTCTTAGTTTGCTTCGAGGAATGAAGCTGAATTCTCTGATGCCTGACGTTGTTAGCTACAACACTGTTATAAGAGGTTTATGCGAGGCCAAGGAGCTGGAGAAAGCATTGGAATTGGCTAATGAAATGCAGGACGGTGAGTGTTCATGGAGTTTGGTGACTTGTGGGATTCTGATTGATGCCTTTTGCAAGGCTGGTAAGATGGAAGAAGCCATGGGATTTTTTAATGCAATGAAACGTAACAAGGCTTTGGAGGCGGATCTTGTTTTGTATACTACTCTTATCCGAGGCTTCTGTGATTGTGGTGAGCTTGAGAGAGCCAAGGCGCTCTTCGATGAGATTCTTGAGAAAGATTTATCTCCATGTGCAATCACGTACAACACTCTTATTCGAGGTTTCTGCAAGTTAGGACAGTTGAAAGAAGCGTCGCTGATGTTTCAGTCTATGATGGAGCGTGGAGTCCGCCCGAATGTTTATACGTATACGGTTCTGATCGATGGTCTTTGCGGAGTAGGTAAGACACAGGAAGCTCTTCAACTTTTGAGTCTCATGTTGAAGAATGATGAAGAACCGAATGTTGTGACATACAACGTTATTCTTAACAAGCTATGCAAGGACGGCCTTGTGGCGGATGCTTTAGAGGTTGTTGAATTAATGAAGAAGAGGGGTATAAGACCTAATACCATCGCATACAATATTTTACTGGGAGGACTCTGTGAAAAAGGTGACCTAGACGAAGCAAGTAAGCTTCTGCATTCAATGCTGAATGATAGGAGTTATGCGGATCCAGATATTATATCATTCAATGTGCTAATCCACGGGCTGTGCACTGAAAACCGTCTTCATCAAGCTTTGGATACTTATGATATGCTGGTTGAGAAATTGGGTGCTGCGGATATAGTGACTACTAATATATTGCTTAATAGCACTCTCAAGTCTGGGGATGTAAAGAAGGCAATGGAACTTTGGAAACAAATTTTAGATTCCAAAATTGCTCCAGACTCAGATACCTATTCTACTATGATTAATGGGTTTTGCAAAACCGGCATGCTTAATGTTGCTAAAGGATTGTTTTGTAAGATGAGAGGGTCTGAGTTACGGCCTAATGTTTTCGACTACAACTCTCTAATGTCATCGTTATGCAAAGAGGGAAGCGTGGACCAGGCATGGAGATTATTTGAGGAAATGCAGCGTGACGGCAGCTTACCAGACATTGTTTCTTGCAATATTATGATTGATGGGAGTCTTAAAGCAAGGGATGTTAAGTCTGCAGAATCACTTCTTGCTGGGATGTCTCAAGCTGGTCTTTCCCCTGATTTATTTACATATTCGAAGTTGATAAATAGGTTCCTGAAACTTGGATATTTAGACGAGGCTATCGGATTCTTTGACAAAATGATTGAGAGCGGGTTTGAACCTAATGCTCATATATGCGATTCTGTGTTGAAGACTTGTATTTCACAGGGAGAAACAGACAAGTTGAAGGAACTTGTCGAAAAAATGGTGGAGAAAAATATCGTCCTCGACAAAGAACTGACGTGTACGGTCATGGAATACATGTGTAGCAGCTCAGCAAACATAGATTCTGCAAAGAGGTTGCTAGGAGTAGCAGATGATAAAGAGGAAGAGGAATTGTAGAGTACATAGTCGTGTACCAACTTGAGGACTGTAAAAGTTGAAGAATAGTGTGTGCATTTGGGATGCTATGCAGAGACGTGTTGTAGATCAAAAGTGACAGAGGCAACAAAGTATGGCTGTGGCAGACCAGGAAGGATGGTTGCAAAGATGCTTTGGGAATAGTGTTTCGTGGTGGAACACACAAGCTGCAATCTACTAAGCTCAATGTAAGGAAGTGATTTACTTAAAAAAGCATGGCTTGATTTTCAGATCACATGGAAGGCTTATAGATCCCCAAACATTTGAATGATGGGTAAATACAATGATGAAGAGTGGATATAAAAAAGTATTGAAGAATGATTTTGTGGTACACATGGAATGGAAGTGTGATTGCCTCTCTTTAGTATTGTTGACAAAAGGGGTAAATAAGCAGTTACCTCTCATCTTATCATAATCCAAGTCTTTGCTATTTTAGAAAAATGGAGTTTTATAAGAGACGAAGAGTTGGTTGTTTGCTTCCTTTTTTTTTTGGAATTTGGGAGTTTGGACTTTGGGAGGAGGAAGACGCAAGAAATCTGTTTCTGCAAAAAGGTGGAGAGGTGCCCAAACCTCTTCCTCCTCATCTTCCTCTTCCTTGTTGGTTGTTTATGTTTTTGTAATAAATTTATAGTTTTCTTTTACTTTTTCTTTAAAAACAATTGTTGATGATTTTAGGTTCAATGAATCTTTTGGTTTCTGCTGCCCAGATCAGATCCGGTTCTCTCTCTCCTCCCACTGTCCTTGGAAATCCCAATGACACCCACACCAAGTAGACCTTTAATTAATTCAGTAATAATTCTTCCTTTTGGAGTATTTTTTATATTAACTAAAAGAACCCTTCGGCGTAATTGGCACATCTTTGCGCATTAATCACGGTTTTGTTTCTAAAATTCGGCTTTTTGAGGGCTTTTCTTTCCCTTAATCTGGGTTTTTGTGGGTCCATCCAAGTCTCTTTCTCTCCTCTCTTAATTCAACTTGGCAACTTCATTCAATTTCAAGTTCCCAAAACGAGTGAGAGAGAAAGAAATTGTTTATTGTTTTTTTATTTCATTAGTTGGTTAGGTAATCCCTCAATTCCAATTGGTCATATCTATCTATCCTCTACTTCCATATATACTCTCAGAAACAGAAACAAAAAATCACAAAAGGCAAACAACAATTATTATAATTTCTGTCTAAATGCTTCTCTACTTTCTCATCTCTTGTCTCTCTTTCTTCTTCTTGTCCAAATCTCTTTCTCTTCCTCCATGGGCATCTGAAACCAAAACCTTGCTCTCTTTCTACTTCTCCAAGAATCCCTTCATCAACACTCTGCAACATCCAACCACACCTGATCCAGCCTCTCCTCTGCCCCACCAAATGTCCATCCTCGACCTCCCTGACCTCGCTCTCGACCGCATTCTCGACCTTCTTCCACCCTCTGGGCTCTGCAGTATGGCTAGGGTTTGCAGCTCCTTGAAGGAGAGATGTGTGAGTGATCAACTATGGGACAAACACTTGATGATCAAATGGGGCAAAATCCTTGGCCCTGCTGCTCATAGAGAGTGGAAATGCCATCTCTCTTCCTCGTACCATCTCTCTGATTCTCCTCATCACCAAACGGGTCATCCTCTTGGGTTTGCCAAAATCGTCTCTTTGATTCGATCTCTTTCCTCTGTTTTTCGAGATGATAATAAACAGAGGAAGAGATGTGCATCTTCCCTTCCACTTGATTCCACCATGAGCTGCTACCTCTCCCTTGAAACTGGTCGCTTTTGGTTCCCAGCTCAAGTTTACAACCGTGAGGTAGTCAATTCATAAACATAATTACTCGATTTGGGGTTTCCAAGCTTTTCTGGATTTTGATTTAAAGTTCGTGACTTTTTGGTGTAAGAACAGAATGGGCATGTTGGGTTCATGTTGTCATGCTATGATGCGGAGCTAAGCTATGATACTCACACTGATACTTTTCAAGCCAGGTATATCAAATATCTGATGTTCAATCTTTGGCTTATCCTCTCATCACAAGTCGTATTAAGTAGACTCTATTGGGGATTCTTAGGTATCCACCACATGGTAGAAGACCAGTTGCGATTGAAAAGGGTGTGACATGGGAGAGGCTAAGAGCAGCTCCCATTGATGCATCTCCCCATCATCTTCATGTGTCAGATTCTCTAAACGAGTTGAAACCTGGGGATCACATCGAGATCCAGTGGAGAAGGAACAAAGAGTTCCCTTATGGTAATTTACTCTACAATCTATGATGCTTGTTGTAAACTTGGTTTCAACAGAATCCGAATCTAAAACAAGCTTTTGTGATGGTTTTGGTGGTGTAGGATGGTGGTATGGCATTGTTGGACATTTAGAGTCGTGTGATGGGAATCTCGACCATTGTCATTGCCATCTTAGTGGTGAGTTCTTCTTCTTCTTCTCAGCTTCATGTTCTGTGTTTCAAAAAAAAAGGAATCTTTATTGGTTCTTAAAATTGGATGTCGCATTCTAAGCTTTTACTCATGTCCTCAGCTCGCAAAGTCCATTAAATTCTCATAATTTAGTTGAAAAGGGTGAACATTAAAAGAGACCCAATTCAAGCTTTGGTCCCAAAAAGACAAATGATGATGATGATGGCGCTATGTCTTGATTTTTCTCGACATTTTGATAGATCTGTGTCTTCATTTGATGTTGAAAGCTCTTCCTATGTCCTAATCGTTGGAATCTCTACATTACCAAATGGTGGTGGGGCTCAACAATGATTATTTGTCCCTTAATCACTCCAAAAAAAATCTTTTCTATTCCTCCTTTTGTTGGCACATCTCATCACCACAGAAAGTAGAAATCAATTAGAAAAAGATAAGATCTTGGTTTGCCCACTTGCATCTTGATCATACCTAACCACTTGATCATATGGCATAAATCGTTGTATATCTATGTTGTGTCGAAATATTTTTGGCATTCATATGTGATGTGCTAAATGGTTAAAGTATTGATGAATGGTGAAAACAGAGATGGTCGTGTTGGAATTCAACCAGTACACAGTGGGATCGAGGTGGAGAAGAACGATGATCAACAAGAGAGATCATAGAGAGGAAGGTAACGAGGAAGACGGGTTTTATGGAGGTATCCGAAAGCTAAGCTGTAAAGAAGAGATTGCAATGTGGACACGTCTCTGGCCATCATCCATCTTGGAGTAGGATGATGAAGAAGAAGAAGACGACCACACATTTGGGAAAAGAGATTAAACACAACCACTTGAACGGAGAGAGTAGGATGTTAATTTTAGATGTCTACTCTCTTTTGTCCAATTATGATTTGGTTGTTGATTATTTACTTGGGAAATAGTCGAAATATACACATCTGAAACTATTGCGTCATTTCGATTTGGGGAAAATGGTGGTGTATAGGGAATACGTAATACGATAAAGGGTTTGGTTGCTCGAGGAAAATCAGGATATTTGAGGGAGACTAAAAATAGTAAAAAAACATTTTTTACGAGATCAGTCGGGAAAAAACAAAGGTGGCGACAGAGACTTTAAAACACCATCCAAAGTATTTACAAAGCCAATGCTTCAAAACTACAAAGGCCTTTTTCTTTTTGTTTTTTGCGTTAGGAAGAACATAAAATATAAAAAAGTAGCTACGACTCAGTCTTCAACACAAACCCCTCCAGGAAACATAAAAACAACACTTGGGACTTGGGAGACACAGATTGTTCACATAAAACCCAACTAAAAACCATACGCGAAACCGTGCTTAGACCGCCTCTGCAAACCCGACCTGCTCTTTTCCAAAGTCAAACACGGTGTGGTATTTTCCCATGAACACATCCCCAAGGATCCTGCCATATTATTACCACCGTGCGCCTCAGGTTAGAAAAAAATAAAGAAAGAAAGGGAATTCAAACTATGCTGCAGTGTAGAACCAATGATTTTACCAGAGAGGTCCACGGGGTGGAGCAACGTCGAGTGCAATAAAGCCACTGATGCACTGTGCCGCAGGGCCCTCACCAACCTTCAGAACATACTGTTCACACCATAAACAGCAACAAAAGATGATTAGATGGTGATAATATTCAAGTGACCACTACTACGAGAAATGAATCATGTTTCCAATCATACCTCCTCTGGAGCAAGATCAAAGACTTTGCCTCCAATGGTAAGCGAAACAGTGGGCATGGTCGAGAGTTGTGCACAGTCCACTGCAGACTCTCCCATCGGGCTGGGAAGACGTTCGCATAGCTGTCCAGGCAAAAAAACAACAGTTGCAAATGAACACAATCAGAAGAAGAATGGTTCAACAGATTTGACCTTAAGTGTTGTAACGGACAACTTCTTGTTTTACCTCGTTGGCGTAGTCCAATATGCGCTCCTGAGTCATGTTCTGCCTCAACTGGCTCTGTATCCAAACAACTGCCATCTCACATGCAGAACACGCGGCATCCCCAACACCGTTGGACAATTTGGCGTTTTCCTTGTCGACAACAGACTCAATGCCCATGCTAAGAAATAAAAGAAGAGCTAAAGTAAAGAAACAGGAGATCAAGCGGAAGAGAAAGCAAACGTGAAGATGATCATGGACTCAGTCGCAATCTCCATAACATATAGCTTCTCTGTAACATGAACGAAACCACTGGAAATTTACCTGACACCCCGTTTACCGTTGAAAGTGCACAGACCAATCTGCGAGCAGATTTTCTTTGGTTGGGTCTGCAATACGCATGGGGGACAGTAAGTCAACTTTATTTGCATAGCAAGACTTGCATACACAACATAGGATTTGTGTCACAGATTTTATTAGCTAGTCCAATAAGTATACTTACCTCAGACAAAAGCAATTCCAAAATGGTCCGCCCGTACTGATCCACAACAGTCTTGCACTGCTGGCTAACAACTCCAGCTGCTCCAATAGCATGGTTTATCATGGTGATTATAGTCTACACAAAGAGAAAAAGAATTAGGAGTACATTACTAGCAAAACTACTCTTGAGAAATAACTACAATCCCTTCAAATTCTTGCTTACTGTTGGACCCGCAAGCAAAGATGTTCCAGAATCAGCTATCGCCGAACAGCCACTTTCGCAGAATCCTGTATAACAATAAGTCAAACTTTAGATCCAGTCGTTGAATGCCAGAAAACATAAATAGTAAAACCTGTCTGAATTTGTTAGGCACAGCTATATAATAAAGAACGAGGCATATTGATGGTACACATACCAGTGGGTGCATTGCCAATGAGGACATCACCCATGTCAAACTATTACACAAAAACAACGGCTTCAATTAGACCGTTGGAAGAATCGTATGAGAAACCAAGGCAAGAAAGTGATATACAAACCTGCCAGTAACCCTTTTGTGTCACAGGGACATAAGTATGTTTTCCCTTGAAATGATTTGGATCAACACCTCCAAATACAAGTTCACCGCCTTCGTCATCCTCAGCATTACGGTTAAGCCAAAATGAAAACACCGGTTCCTTGATGAGGCCTTGCTTGAGCATGTTGTACCTGTAAAAAAGCAAGACATCGTGGCATGAGATTAACACTAGAGGAATGTAGTTAAATCAGCCAAATCAAGAGAATAAAATTGCAGGCCTACCAAACAGGAGCGGCATTTCCAACAGAGATTTCTTTGAATCCAAGACCAAGGATACCATCAAATTTTGCTAAAACAAATGTTATACCAGGCTCCTTGGTTGCCTCGATAAACTCCTGATAACATAGACAAAGATAAAAAGGATGAAGCAAAATTGTGTGATAAGAGTGGTGAATAGGGTAGGAGAGATAGTTTACCTGATCCTTGACAACTAAGTCGCCAACCGTGACGGCATCATTACTAAAGAACCCAGCAATTGCCCCAGTTCCATAATGAATTGCGGCGGATTTTCCTACATCAAAGACGAACGACTCAGTTATAACTTCACAGCTCACGTCAGCAGTTTTGTTGCATCTTTTAACAAAGGTGATAAAGATTCTCTGCACATTAAAATGATTTCTGTAGATTAACTGATCAGCCAGTGAACTGTTAAGTATCTACCTACTGGGAAATTCAACTAATAAGCAAGCAGACGTCATTAGAAGCACATTCCACATTTTCAGAACAAAAAAAGCTAATAAGGACGACATAACTAATTCAGGAAGAAAGATTTAAATAGAGAGAGAACAAACCATTCTTCTCATATGTGCTTGAACGTGATGACTTGTATTTGGGATGGAGGAGACATGCAATCTACACAACAGACAGAACACATTGAATTTTCTTTTTAAAAAAGTTCCTCGACCACAGCACCAAATATAGACCAAACGTTGCTTACTGAGAAATAGCATTTTGATGATGGCACCCAGAGGTTAGAGCTTCCAGTATCAAAAACCACGGTGAACTTCTGTGGTGGAGTACCAATAGCGATCTCACCGTAGTACTGGGCATCTAGGTAATTCTTCAGCGCGACAATGTCAGCATCTCCAGAATCTCCAAGACTAAAAGCTCTCAGGGGCTTTTCTTGCTCGGAACTAATGCGTGCTGCAAGACGGTTTTTGGGATCCAACTTGAGTTTTTTCAGGCCAACTCTAACGGTCCCATCGTTGCGCTCAGAAGAGGCAGAAAAAAACAGCAGGAACGACACAATGAGTGACACAGCAACCGTCCTAGAGTATATTCCCATTTCACCTATTCATGGACAACAAAGTAAGTCAGAATAAGACGACCATGCCGAAGATCAGAGGACCTACAATACCATACAAGTCAACTAAAATATATTTTAAGAAACATTTTATATTGAATGTTGTAACATGAAATTGGATAAGGTCTAAGTGACTAAGAATAGAATATTGTACAATTACTCTCACACGATATCGATGGACAAGGTTACACGCATTAAATTTCACTAATAATTATCTTACTTGGTCTCTCTCAAACAGACACCAAGCACTAGCGTGGAAGAAATAAATAAATAAAAAACTCTCTTCACTTTGCAAATGATAAAAACTTTGAAATCTACATTTTCTTCTTGTACGCTATACAGAAACTGTTATTGCTTTCATTTTCAAAAATTCCTTTCTCACCAAATGCAAAATTGATCATCGGCAAGGACAAAATCAGAAAGCGAATACCCTGATTACAAGAAAACCATTACCTATAACCTTAAACCATTTCAAAAAGGAGAAAAAAAAGGAAAGATTGTTTTTATAAAAAGGAAACAATCCTAATTGCATTAAAACTCACATGAAACAGAAAATTTCATAAGACACTGGAGATCGTAACAATCGATCAGGCAACAATAAGAGCATAAAACTTCTCTTCTCTTCTTCTTAATTCATGAAACACGATCAAGGTCACGAATCGACAGTCATCGAGAAAAATTTCAATCAAACAGAACGATTGCATGATCAACCTAACTCAAAAGTTCCCAAAAAATCACACCGATGGAGCACGACGACTAGTTGAAAACCAAAACTAACCACGAATCAGATCATACATAAATAACACTATTCATATTCACATCGAAAAACCCTTACCTAACCGCTAAAAAGACGATATGTGAAAAAATCGCGAGTATTAAGGACAACAAATTTAGGAGAGAACTAAAAGTAGACGAGAATCGAAGACATGCGATGAAGAAGATAACAAAAATAGAAGAGAGTCGATGGATTTCAAAGGAGAACTCACCGAAGCTAGGCACCAGATTCTGAGGAAAATGAGGCAAGTATGAAGAAGAAAACGAGGAGAGATAGTTACATTTATCGAAGAAAGATGACTGTGACGAGAGAAAATGCTAGATTAACCGAGCTGTCTCCTAGAAGACAATTACAGCGGGACCCACCGTATAATCGCGTCAAAAGAAAAAGAGAGATATTTCGTGTAGAACCAGGTTTCGATATTAACCGTTGGATCTCTATAATGAACGATGAGATTTACCGTTGACGAATGGATAGGAAAGAGCTAACGTATGAAGCTTTTAGTTAGCGAACACAATCACGTGCATACGAACTTAGGATGGAATACGTGCTCCTCTAATGTCTTAACCGTTGATTAAGATGACTAAAATATAAACAGTGTCGGTTTAAAGCCCAAATTAAAAAGGAATATATATCACATGGATCAATGCAATGATTTATATTGGGCCTTTTGAAAACCTCAAAATCCCATGCTCTAAAATTTTGTAATTTAACTTATTTACTCACTTTCGTAATGATTTTTGATGATCTATAAAATTTCTTTTGATGGTAGATTAATACACGCACAAGTAAATAAATGTATATCTTTTATACTCGCCTGAAATAAAGAAGGAAATTAACCCTCGAAATTAAACCTGATATTTTTCTTGACCAAAAAAATAAAGAAATAACTCAATGTACACTATATAATCGCCTACTTTTTCGCAAGTATTAACCACAAGTCTACAACAACACGCCTAGGGGCGTATATATAACTACGTATTCATGACTCATGACTCTCTCCGATCATCAGATAATTTGATGTTCTTCAGAATTCACTTTCTGAAACCTTTTCGAATTCGTCAAGTAATTCGTCAAGCGGGTTTCTTCTCGTGCCGATTGATTGGCTTGAAAATATAGCCTCTCTAGACTTCTTGGCCTCTATTACCTGATAACATATATTATACATCAATATAATTTTATTCAATTCCTATTGATATGCATATCTGATTACCTTTTTATATAATTCGGATTGTATCTCAAGTGCATCGTTATTCTTCTTGGTTAGTGCAAGCACTTCTTCGCTAAGCTTCTGATTCTCCGCTTGTAATTTCGCCAACTGAAAAATCAAATATTTGAGATTAAGTACTAATAATACAGATACGTTAGTTAAACCTATTGATATACTGAGCGGAAATTAATTGCCGTACATATAATTCGGCGTTAAGCTCAAATGAAGTTTGATTCTTCCACGCTAGTGTAAGCGTTTCTTCAATAAGCTTTTGATTCTTCAATGTTAATTTCTTCAAATCCGTCAACTGAAAATACGTACAACAAAAACTTAAAAAGAGTTACCGATCACAAATCAAAATTAAGAGCTAGGGTCGCAAAAATTATCACTATTATAAGTTAAATTACCTTCTTCACACGATCTTCCATCTCGACCGGAGCTGTTGATCACTAATCCCGTGTTATCAAGCTTATTATAGAAAAATGGGGCTCTATATATTCAAAAGATCCCATATTATCTTCCCAATACTGTATATATTTGTTGATATATTCCCAACCGAATTTTGATTTGTCTGAATTTAGTAAAATCTAAAATTTTGAAAAAAAAAAAAAAAAAAAAAGAGAGGATACTTCCCAATCCGAACAAGATGCCTCATCTAATGATATTTAGGCCTAGGAAATTAGGAATGGAGGTCCACTCAGTTTATGGTAATTAATTTAGTGTAGATATCTGAACTTGATGGATGAATTTCAACTTCGGTTTATTAAAATGTAGCTTGAGAAATTATTAACACGAATCTAAAAACAAGATAAAAAAAAAAAATTAAAAACAAAGGAGACACACACAAACAAAGTAGCTAGTTGACAACACTTCACAGGGCAAGACTAGCTGAGTTCTTGTTAACATTAGGAGCCTTGACGTAAGCAACAAGCGAAGAATCTCCAGTTCTAGTCAATGTCTTGAGCTCATAACCTAACCAACACTTGGAACTCTTCCTATTGTAAAAAAACCCTAAACACTTACAATCTCTCGTACACTTGTCCCCACACGCTTTCTCCGTCGTCGACGAGCCTAGGTTATACTTGGTCATAAAACTATCAGCTCCTTCGATCTTGAAATAATGAAACGTCTTAGGATCGCAACTAGTCAGACTCGGAGTCGTACAAGTGACCTCGTCCCAACCAAGAAGCCCTTTGTCGCTAGGACAAGCGTTACACTGTCCTTTCTTACACAAACCAAACTCACCACAATGCTCAGCGATTCTACACTCGTCGTTACCGTCAGTGTCGCCGTTAGTAAACGCCGTGTACGTAACGTCCCACGCCGTCGAAGACGCTGCCGTACTGTAACTCCAAACTCTGATGTTTCCGTCTGATTCCAACCGAAGAAAACTCAACGTCGCGTTGTGTTTAGGCCGAGAGAGAAACGTGGAGACATTGAATTGCGAACCAGAGTCAACACCTTCCATGTGTAGACCCCACGTGGTGTCCGAATCCTCCACGGCTTGGAAAGTCATTGACTGTAACCGAGTGATCTCGGTGAAGAACTCGTATTCATAGTAAGCGATTGGTTTCGGTGTTTTGTTTGTCGTGTAGTACAAAACGAGCTTCTTGGCTTCCATCACGAGACTGTAAGGCCCGTTTGTGTTGACCGATGGAGACCGTCGGCTTACGAGCTTGTTCCGACCGTTGGCTTTCAAAGACTGTCCGACGAGAAGTGTATCGGTCGGAGAATCGAAGCTCTGCCATAAGAACTTCTCGTTGGAATCGTATATTACCATATTGCCATTCTCCAAGATTTTGATCCCCACGGCGTTTTTGTTAGCGGTGTTCGTTTGCCAGACGACGCGACCATCGGATTCGGCGAGCACGAGGTTTCCGTCTTCTCCGAAAGTCAACGTCGCGTTTTCTTTGACCGGTGAGCCTCTGTTTGCCTCCCAGACCCATCGGAGAGTTGATTCTTGGGCTCTGTTTCCGATTCTGAGAGCGAGAGTGTATGCGTTTGGAGTTGTGTTGTAGAAACAGAGACGGAAGTTGTCGTTCACGGGTTGGAAGCCACGAACGTCGGCGTTATATTCCATCGGAGTGTAATCGGTGTAGTCTCCTTCGTTGACCGCTCGGAATTGTTTGTCTACGGGAACTTTGGCTTGTGCTCCGATCAAGAAGAGTATGGAGAGAGTGAAACAGAGAGCTAATGTGATTGAGGTTTTCATTTTTCTTGTTACGTGTGTTTGATGGATTTGGTGTGTGTTGAGTATACACAGTGAGCTTCTCTACTTATAGAAGCCAAGGAAGTCTTGATAAGGAGTATTTTGAATGACTTATTAGACTTGAGTGTTGGTCTTTGTTTTCTATATTGTATCTTCTTTTTTACTTTAATACAACTTGTATAAATCGATTCCTTTTCCAAAAAAACTCAAACATACCAACTCTATTTATATTACTTAAGAACTAACAACTTTATCTTTAATAATTAATTGATTATATTCGGTGTAGACTGAAAAAATAGAAAAGAACTTTAAACAACATACAACATGCATCTGGTACAAAGCGAGTCAATCTTAATTATACTTATTTTGTCGGTTCTCAATGATATTAAACATCCCCTTACACTACAACAATATTAGTTAAATAATTCGAAATGGCACGAGGGCTGCGCATTTAAGATAGGACCCCTATTTAGTTAAGAACACCGGTAAGATGCTAATGGTCGGTTCCCTCCTGCCGTTGGATTTTAACTTTTTATTGACGCATGTTGCATATATAGAATTCGAAACGATTCAAACACAAACGTTTATACTGACATATCAAAGTTTGAACGTTTGCATAATTATCTGTTTGGGATATTCAAGGTCATCGATCTCACAATTTTTTGCCCTATACTCTAGAGGTATGTATACATGAAAATATGTCATTTTGTCAATTTAATCGGAGCTTAAAACGAGGGGAAATGAAACCCTAATCCCTTTTGGAAACATCAGATAAAAAAAATTACTATATAAATATAATCATGGCAATTGTTACACATGTTCTTTTTCTTTCGTGTTTGGTAGGCCATGTGTGCTTACTCAGACTCGCACCAGTCACCACTGCTTTCGATCTGGAATTCTATTCAAAATTAGAAATCATTCAAAATGTATAAACAGGCTAAGTAAAAAATTGATTATTTAACGCAAAACTTAATTAATAAAGGTGTACTATTATTTTCGACCAAACAAAAAAGGTGTACTTTTTTTCGATTTTTTCTTTTAAAATTCCTTCAACTTATATATAACTGATTAATACTATATTATTCCATTCTAATTGCTTAATGCCATCGCTATAATTGGACTACTTTCTGCTGCCCAACATAATGATAACTTAATGTGAGAATGTGACCTTAGTATTAACTTATCTTCAGGCATGTAATTATAATTCGGTTTATTGCACTCTTAATTGAGATCCATTTATTACAATGTGTGCGATTGGTTTTAAGGATTGAAATGTGATAGGTTACGAGGCTATGAGTGCCATTGGAATGAATGGAACTGGTATGGTTTAAAGGTTAAAAAGTTAGACTTCATAAACCAAAAGGATTTCAGACTAAATCAAAATTACAAAAAAAAAAATTGAACCAAACTTAAAATTTTCTATGATAGCCAGCAATGTGAGGGCTAGGTAGTTAGTCGCCTTTTATTTGCCTCAAAATAATTTGGTCTGAACTCAGCGACGTCGTCAACGTTCTCACATAGTTCCATTAATCTCGCCAACGTTATATATTGAGAAGTTTTCCTTCGCGTTGTTCGTTATCTTGAAGGCATGCACTAGACAAGGAACTTTCTTAACTCCTTTGTGATGCCGATTGGGTAGTTTTTTTCGGACATAACGCTTACTTAGAGCATATACAGTATACAGTAGTGAACCCCATTACTATATATATTTTTTTTTCGTTTTTGTAATGAACTTTATAGTATGTTTGAGATTCCAGTAATAAACCCGTTTATAGGGTTCATCCGGAATATTATATTAATATTTTTTTGGGGAATTATTTTTTATAAATAAAATAAAACATCACTTATTAAAAAAAAAGAATACAATATATTGCAAACTATAGAATACAACAATTTATTAATAAAAAAAATACAAACACCCATTTTTAAAATATAGAAATACTTAAACATTTGTTACACATTTAAAAAGTACCAAACTTATTCCAAAGATTTTCGATTAAATCTGCTTTTAATCGTTCATGTATTCGATAGTCACGGATTTCGTTTCGTTTCGCCATCATCAAATTTGAGACATTTGTCGGCCTATTTGTAGAATACGACATATCGACATACGAATTTCTGCTTCCCTCATCGTGTTGGAATTGTTCTATATTGGCGAGACTGTAGCTATCACGTTCATTTTCTACTACCATATTGTCCACTACACCGGCAAAAGTCGACGGTTTCGACGAATTTGACGGAGGCGACGAGAATCGCCGTAGGAGAGGAAGAGAGAAAATAAAAAAAAAAATCGGGAAGGAGAAATGATTTTCTGGGAAAAAAAAATTTTCCCTTCCTCAAAAATGACGCGAAAAATCATCCTCTCACGCTTCGCCACGTGTACGGGATGCGGGTTCATCAAACTCTTCCGGACGGACCGATCCGTCGAGTTTGGGCCTTTTTAAAAAAAAAAAAAAATCCATTTCGCATATGAACTCGAGCCAAATCCGTCCAACGGAGCACTACTGGACCTGGTCTTAGTACTTTCCCATTGCACTTTTTTGGGGCAATAAATATATAATTGTGTTGACAATACGAAACAATATGTAATTTTCAAAAAATTATAACATAAATTGCTTTCTAACATTGATGGGATATTAAAAACAAAAATCTTTATTCCACGTGAGAAGTGTCACTAACCTTTAAAGATCATGACAAACAAAGGCTCTGATTAGTAATCTGCAGAATGGCGGAATTGCGTTTTTAAACACAATTCCGCAAATTTTTTGCCAATCAACAAAAATTCGCATAATGAAAAAATACACACAAAAACGCAGACTGCGTTTTTGCTTAACAAAAATACAAAGGAAAAGTCATTTCGCAGAAAAGCGACTTATAAGTCGCTTAATCTATTCCGCAATATTTTTTCCGCAATTATGTCATTTCACAAAGTTACCAATCAAAGCCAAATTACGTTGTACCTAAATATTTCAAACAAAAAAAATGGAAACAGCCAAATACAACACACGACGAAAGCCACAAGAGACAAATTGTAAACCAAGAAACAAAAGACCAAATTAGACGAACCCTAACTGGACTGAACCGGTTTAGTTTCTTTGAGGGCGTTGTTCTCGAACCTCCATGTCCATATATCGTGACGCTCGACTTCAAGGCCCATTGAACCGGAAAAACCGGTGAACATTTTATCGAAAAGAATCGTCGACAGATCGATTTGGGTTTCGATCAACGCCTTCTTCGGTTTGCTAAGATACGCCGGTGCGATCGTAACTGTGACGAGTTTGGTGACGTGTTCATACTCAATCCAAGATTTAAATTTATCTCCACTGCTCAGTTTTAGTTCTTTAAACTCCCACACTTTCTTTCCCTCCACGGTTCTGGTCCGAACCCAATAACCGGCTTTCTCAGAAACCGAAGATTTAACCGAATTAACGTCAATACCAACGTGGTTATCGTTAATGTCTCCAAGATCTTTGTCTTGGAAAACGTCGAATTCAACAGCGAAAACGTGGTTATTAGCGTTTCCATTGTTGGTTCGGTTTAGAAGACCGAGGAAGCCTTTACCGGCGGAGCCATCATTGTCTAGGGTGGGTACGACGATGAAGGCCAGGCCGTGGCCGCTATTGGGATTTGTTTTCCGGCGAGGAGAAATAGAGAAAGTGAAAGAGGTTTTGAAAGAGTAAAGAAAAGAAGAAGAATTCGAGGGCCTGAAAGGGATTTGATCTATGTAGAGAGCTAGACCGTAAGAGTATGGGGAGTTGTCACGTGTCATTGAGAGAGCTCCGGAGAGGCTCGAGCCATCGGTGGTGGAGCCGAGCTCTGCGTCTCCGAGGAAGGCTAGGTTAGAGCCGTCGAAGGTGTTGAAGTTGAATCTAGCGGCGGATGTGGAGTGAGAGACGAATATAGCTATGAACAAAGCAAGAAGGCAAGGTTTTTGGATCTGCATTGTGGTTTTTTTTTTCTTTGGTATTGGAATAGTGGAAGTGAAAATGATGGAAGTGAAGGGTTCTATTTATAATAGTGACTAATGATATATATACCACGTTGAATCTATTTCCAACTATATGATAAGCTTGCTAAAGTTGTGATTATTTAAAGCACGAGTCATATGTATAAAAAATCGTAGTACATTAGCACACCTCCATCACTAATTTAATTTAGTCCTGCTTCAATTAATTTAGTAATAGAGGTGTACTATGTTCGAAATAGTTTTTGAACAACTTGGTTTATAATGACTGATATAAAGCTGTTTTTGAACAACTTGGTTAATTTTGTTCTATTATATTAATTTCTTTTAGCTATGGATTACTTTCTGCTAACACATGCAGTGATAGATATAAATGTGATCCATATTTGTTTACTTACCATAATTAATTATGCTGCCCAAGCATGTGCGTTTGTTAACTTTATTATCTTGAGTCTTGACGCATGTGTTTTTGGCTTTTGCCCATTAGATTAATTGACTGCGTATTTACATTATTCAATTAATCAAATCAAAAACACATGAAAGGTTGTATGGGCTTTAGAAGCTTAGATGGGCCAGAAAAACCGAACGAAGAAGCCCACAACCAAAAATTTTTGGTTTTTTTGTTTTTGCTTAAAAATCACAGCCAATATTTCAGACCAAAATATCTTTGTAGTCAGAATCTGAAAGCAAAAAGCATTACAGGTGTAACCGATGAGAGAAGAGATCAATAATCTTTAGAAGAAAAAAACCACGATTCCTCTTCGAATACTTTTATACTAAAAGGAAAAAAAACATAAAGAGACCAAAAAAATAAATAACTACATATTGAAAGCACATGGCAAGGTTGATTCTTAAACTCCTTAACAAGACATTCCAAGCTTAGTCAACACTTCACACAACCAAATAATAGTCTCTTAATTAAGATCTGCCCAAAAACTCAAATCAAAAACGCTGATTCTAAATAATGTCTCCACTTCACTCCTACACAATCTTCTTCTCCATTTTCATATGCATCCTTCTTCAATCAACAACAACATCATCCCAATCACATCTCTGCAGATCTTCTTGCGGAGACATTCCAATAAACTATCCTTTTGCCATCGACGACGGTTGTGGCAGCCCTTATTACAGGCACATGCTCATTTGCTCCGACAACAACACCAAGCTCGAACTTAGAACACCATCTGGTAAATACCCTGTTAAATCCATAAGCTACTCTGATCCTCACCTTCTTGTCTCCGATCCATTCATGTGGAATTGTCAAGATCGAGACAATTTTCGACCCACGAGGTCTTTCAGCATCGATTCAAGCACACACTTCACTGTATCCCTTCAAAACGACTACTTGTTCTTCAACTGCAACTCTGAGAAAGTGATCGTTGAGCCGAAACCGCTCTTCTGCGAGAGGTTTCCTGATAGATGTGACTCGTCCTGCGATAGTTCGAGCTATCTATGCAGGCATTTGCCCGAATGCGGATCAGCTTTAGGTTCTAGGGTTTCTTGTTGCTCATATTACCCCAAAGCAACTCAGTCTCTTAGGCTGATGCTAGATAACTGCGCGACATATACAAGCGTGTATTGGAGGAGTACAGGTGTGGGGAATGCACAGTACGATCAGTTTCCGGAGTACGGGATTAGGGTTGATTTTGAATTCCCGGTGACTATGAAGTGCCTTCTTTGCCAAGAAACAACTAAAGGTGGTGGAATTTGTGGATTTGATACGAGGACGCAGAAGTTTTTGTGCCTTTGCAAACAAGGCAACGTCACTACTTATTGCAAAGGTAAATTTTTCTCTCTTCATAATTTCTTGTCTTTTCAAACTCTTTCTAATATTTCTTTCTGTTGATCAAAATTATATATATATATATATATATATATATATATATATATATATTTCTAATTAATATTTACCTCTTATTAATATAGAATGATATTGAAATACAACAAGTAATATATACTAGAATCTCAATTTCAAACCCAAGTTGTATTAATCCACTAGAACCGCTTAATCCGTGATTGCTAGCAATGGATTTCCGCTAGACACATATTTGGTATATTGAATAGTCCTATTTAAAACTTTTGATGTTATTATGAGTTTCATTCTAAAATTTTAGATTATAAAGAGTATATGATTATGACATTATTATGAGTTACAATGTTACATATGTATTCAATCTTTTTAATTTTTTTTTCCGCAGATCCTAACCTCGTAAAGCATAAACGCATTGGAGCAGTCGCAGGTAAATAAGCAAGATTACTATTACTAATACTATATGATATATTTTTTGTCATGTTATGATTTTATCTTAAAATCGAATATAAATATATATACTTGTAAGGTTTGACCTGATCTGAACCAGAAAACTTGTCGCTTTCAGGAACAGTGACGGCAGTTTCAGCGGCCGGAGCGATTGGCGTTGCAGGTGGAGTGTTTTGGTACTTGAGGAAAGTGAGAGCCAAAGCTCCGGTCACTTGTGGAGTTCAAAGCAATGAGAACAGAGTTTTCTAAAAGCTCCAATGAAAACATATTTTGTTTTTAAGGCAAAAAGCATTGCCACTCTTCTTTTCTTCTGTTTCGTTCTTTTTTTTTGTCTTTTTTATGTATACTACAACTTTGCGAGAAAAGAATTTTGTATATTTTTTTGCGGTTTTTCTTTTATATAGTAGATATTTTGGTAGGTATATAGTATATCTTTTATTTAATTATGCAAGTTATTCAACCTAAAAACATTCAAACTAAACTACACTTTAAAGGTAGATTTATTCTAATTACCATTACACCATCTTCATATATTATATATATATATATATATATATATATATATATATATATGCTCTAGCAAGTTGGTATAGGCCAAGGCAACACTCTTCACATGATCAAATCCAATTCTTTATAATTGTACAAGCCTTTTATAAAACAAATTTTGAACGAAAAAAAAAAAACATAAGTCCACCAAAATAATTTGAATTCCGTCTCGGGTACAGAAGAATTCACAAAACACACCTCAGATACAGGAATTCCGCCTTGTTGTTAAAAAAATACAACATTATATGTATATATATAGAGAGAGAGGTAATAAAATAAATCAACAGATCCTGCCGGAGTAACATCGGAGAGGACCGGCGGAGGAAGTAAGAGAAGGGGCAAGAGAGCCGTGGGACACCGGAAACCATTCTGCTCTTCGGTATAACGGCGTGACGGATCCGTAGCCAGACGGCACAAAGTAAGCTCCGTTCTTGAATACGTCTTTTGACGTTCTCCATTTCCATCTCCTCCAATCATATCCACTCTCTATTCTCTTCGTCACCTAGTACACGATATCAATTTTAAAAATTAATTAGTGGTCTTTTCTATTTCAAAATAACCAATTGATAATGAATATATATTTTACAATGAAAGAAGGAAACCTGTTTTTTGTTACGGTCGTCGGGAGCAACGAAGTAGTTGCCTTCACTAAAGATGGTTGGATCAGCACTTCCTCCAATGGCATACATTTGCCATTTCTCGTATCTATTGTTTGCTACATGTGCATACCCTCTCCTCACCCTGCCACGTCATCAACCCCATATATATATCCATGTCAGCATTTATATTTCTAATCTCATTCAGATATATAATATAGTTAAAGTTACATACCTAGGCATTCTCTCAATGAGACCCGGTCCAAAGTGGTTGAATGCAATTGTAACTCTCATATTCTTATCTTCCACATTATTGTCATTATGCCCGAGTAACATCACCTTCATATTAGCATTTCACAGAAATATCATCAATATTCAAGATATTCGATATATATATATATATATATATAAAAGTTACAACTAAGTAAGAATATAAATACTTACTTTATCATGCTGCGTGAAGTAGTTATTAGAAATAGTGACGGCAGTGGAAGCATGAAGCACATCGATCAAACCATCTTGACACCGAGAAAAGAAACAATGATCGATCCAAATATGGGACGAATCAAACACGGCGATTGCGTCACCATCGGATCCTTTCCGGCGACCAACATGGGTCGGGCTGCTCCGTACTCGACCGTACTTACCTGGTTTACAATGATGGATACTTATCCCATGTATAATGATATGACTCACACGTTGGATCGTTATGCATGGCCCGTACGCAATTTCCACTTTTACCCCTCTTCCGTCGATCGTCTTGTAGCTGTTCATGATTAGCTCGTTTTGCAACACTATGATCATGTCACGTGCGAATGTGATCCATAGCGGTTTGGTTTGGATCACTGCGTATCGTAGGGTTCCAGGTCTAGGGTTTTCAGGGTCATCTGATGGGTTTGTAACCACGTAGATGGACCCGTATTTGCCCCCAACCGCGGATTTTCCGAACCCTACCGCGCAATCGGCTAAGGCACGACGATTAGAGGACCAGTTTGGGTTTCTACGCCAGCAAGAATCGATGGGATTTAGTAATAGTTTGGGGGTTGTGTAAGTGTAACCATTACTATAAGCAGCCTCTACAAGAGGAGAAGCGAAAGCTGCAAAGAGAAGTGAAACTTTTAAGAAAAATGAAGCCATTTGCTTGTAGATATGAGGCTTGTGTTGAACTATGGGTGTGCAAATATATATATATACACGACATAGATATGAGCTATAGAATATACATATCAGTATCTATATATTATTTGCATTTAAGTATGTATTTGATTTTATGTTTGTGTGTGAAAAAGATGAGAAGGTGGGACACACGGATGGCGCTGACTAATGAAATGAAACTTAAATCATCCTCTGAATTTAAATTGTAATAGAATTTTACTTCTTTGATCAATGCCCTTAGCTATAGTTAGATACATGGTTGCACGATCTTGAGATGACGAGGGTTAGTTTGACTTTGGAATTATTTTTCTATATATTTATTAATCTAACAAGTTTTGAATCTATATAATCAGTTTATTTATAAGAAGAAGTTTAAAGTTGGTGATTGTTAGTCTTGTTTTCATAAACATAGTCATTAGTCTATGATTAGTGAATTTGGTACACAAAGACACTGCATTTTGACATGCATGGTATCGGCCGATACATACAACATGGGGCCAATTATCTGATTTAATTTATCGGTATATACTTCAACTTGTTTATGATAATGCCGTTCTATTTGAATTACCACCGGAAATGAATTATAATATCACTTTAATTAGAATACTATTTGAGACGGCAATTAACAAATGGCAATTATCATCCCTTTTCTTATAGGAAGTAAAGTCAACTTCTGTCAAAATCCGTACATTTCCGAGATCATTATTCACTTTCTGATATATCGGTTTTAAAATTATAAAGTAAATGGGAATAGGATAGTTTCTGATTTTGAAGAGTTACTATTGAAAATTTTAATTATATATTACTAATTTTGAATTTTATTAGACTCAAATCAAAAAGAAAAGAAAAGACATATAGACTAATGGTTATCACACAGCATGTTTTCTTTGATGTATAAATATGAAAAAAGCTAACAGCTTACATTTATTAGTTTTCATTGTTGTTCCATCGACAAATTATTATATAAGTATATAAGCCCATTACCCATCAACAAGATTTTTTTTTTTTTATCACTAAGTTGTCACAGAAACAATAAATATATCAGCCGGTGTCTTCAAAATTGTACAGTTTCACCTTTTTGTTTACAATACAATAACACAAGTTTTTAATCTCACACATATATTTTCTAATTAATTTATTCTGTGCACAGCAAGACATAAGAAATTTAAACTTTATTTAACAGAAGTACTAATACATTGGATTGTTACCGGACACGTGGGCATACAAATTAAACAATACAAATACAATAATGACAAACTTTTACAAGACCATTTCTACTTTCTACTGACAGTTCAAGGACCCTTATTCAAGCTGGCTATATACTTAAAATTGTAATATGACTGTAATCCAATTTAAACAACAAATTAAACTTTTATTTTCAGTAACCTTTATACCGCACTGTTTCTTTAAGCATAGTTGCACATCCCATAGGCACACGATCTCCCTTTGTTGCACTTCTTAAAGCAACCTCCACAATGCCTTTTATCAAACATCGTGTTTACACAGTATCCGTTGCAACAAATCTCCGAGTATTGACAACTTTTCCCACATCTTCCGCAATTCAGTTTGTTGGTTCTCAAGTCGACGCACCTCTTACGGCAACAATCACGACCTGAACTGCCTTTGAGACGACATACTTTTGAGCTTATGTTGCATGTCATAGCACTTGTACGGTTCCCACCTTTTTTCCCTCGTGCAGCGGCTATCACCCGACCATATCTGTCTTGGTGTTTCGCCTCAACCCTTAGCGGTTCGCTAAGTGTTATAGCAATGGCTAGGACCATTACGAGCACCACAACGAGATAGGATATCTTGAATGTATTCATTCTTATTCTTTTGTCTTCTTTCAAGAAATTAAAGGAAATAAATTGCAAACAAAAACCTTAGTATCGGAATGTGTTTGAGTGTGTTTGTATGTGTATGAATATATTTAGATGAAGAGTAACAAAGGACGGGAATGGTATTTATAGACGAGAGAGTGATGCATAGGTCAACGAAGAAGATTTTTTAAAATTAGGTCTTCAAAGAAAAATATTTGAATTTCTTAGACTCTTTTAGTGGAGTGGTCAAATTCGAAGGATTTAGAATGCATAAGAGTAAACGAGTTAGGCTGGCGTAGAAAAAATTCAATAAATTTCTAAATTAGGCAGAACGAAAGTTGAACACATAAAAACTCGTTAGATCATTTGGCAAATATAATTCAAATTTTTGGGTTAACCAGAGAAATTCTAGACTAAATCTCAAATAAATTTCCGAAATCTATAAATATCGGTTTTTATTATTTAAGATATCATAGAAACCAACCATAGTTAAAATTGCAGTGTGAGAACTTAAACAACGGTTCGTCTGCTAATATATATGTTTTCTTGATTTAATATCAACGTCATACATAAATTTTTAGTCAAACGTTATCATACAATAAAACTTAGATACTATTTTTCCTCAGTTTCTACAAACGGGTTTCCTGAATTGAGTCCGAATACATTAGCTCGTGAAGCGAATATATAATATAACGTCAACTTATTCTTGCAATTTCGTAGCTAGCTAGCAAGATAGAGTTGCAAATAATTTTTACAAGACGAATTTCGTTTTCAACAAACTGATCCTCAGAAAAAATTAATATATGGATCCCCCATCTATTGTAAAATTTTATGAGATTTCTAATCGTCTCCTAAAAAGAAAAAACTGTCCGATAGAGAAAACGGTAAATTGTGTTAAGCATCATGATTAGCACATTATAACTTATAACAAAAAGAATAAAAGAAAAAAGAAGAAGATATGCGTGCAGCGAACCAAACCATGCGATATCCAAGTTCTTTTTTATTTTTCTTTCTTTGATAGCGATAACCGAGTTAAGTATATAGAAGTAAGATATGTAGAGAATAGGTATTCCCACTATTTTGACAACAACAACAAGAAAAGAATATCCAACTAGCATTGTAACGTCAAGAAAAGAATATCCAACTAGCATTGTAACGTCTCGATTGTTGTAGGTAGGCTGAGCACAATCCCCTTTTAGTAATTTCGTTCAGGCCCGTTAGCGAAATGAAAGCTCAGTAAGATCAAGATCGATAAGCCCATGCGCGAAGAGTAACGACCTTTTCGTATCAAAGGAGCAGCTCGCCACCTCGACACGGATGAGACAGTTCGTTACGTCGACGTAGATGAAACAGCTCGCCAGCACGACGTTTTAATAGACGGTCGGTCAGGTTATCTACCCGGCCGCCCAAGCTAGTCTGACCGAGATGTAACCTAATCTCAGCACTATAAATAGTCCTGTAACTTCATTTATTACGGGATCGGTAATCTGAAATAAAGACTAAAACACTCTATACTTAAATCTACAACTCTTACCTCGTTTACTTGACCTCGTGATGTCACCTCGAAAACATCATATCGATCTCACCTCTATTCAAACAAGAATCTCCGAGCTTCACCTAGATACATTTACCAAAGTGACCTCGTGTGCGGATACAATACAACAATTGGCGCCCACCGTGGGGCCAAAAGATTTCTTTCTACGCAAAGAGGAGCTCGATAATGTCAGGAATTCAAATCAACGAAACAACTAGCCTACCCATCTCAACTACTGCCGAAGAGGAACTTCTCGTGTCACCAGTTAACAATCCGGAGACCTCGAATAGGCAGTCACCAACGATGAATCCCGTGGAAAACGCAACTTCACACCCAGAAGCGCAAGATGCAAATCGAAGCACATTAGCTCCTACCGACGTCGCAACGTTATTCGCAACAATAATCGCATCTGTTAGTGAGTTTTCTCATTTTTGTGAATCCAATCGGTTAAAATGTTAAATTAAAAAGCTTAAAAGGCTTAACTACCTATATAAACCAGTAAGTATTTTGTGTATTATTAGACTCGCATAATCACTGTTTTGGGGTTACAACATATCTATTAGACTCGCATAATCAGAAACATAGATATACAAGACGATATTATAGGATAAGCTTATCTCTATCCACTACTATATCTCTATTTTAAAATTAAAACTAATTAATAATTGGTATATTGATTCATTACTTTTATATATCACTCAAAGTCAATGTTCATTTCGGACATAAAATATTATTTTTAACTTTCTTCTAAAGATAATGGTTCTTTTAGTTATTTATTTCGGTATTGCAGATATGATTGGCAATACCAATTTTTGAATATGATCGACGTTAATTTTTATAAATTTTCAAATTAAAATCAGTTATGAATGAATGAATTGACGATTATCTCTTATATCACCAAGATTCTTACCAATTTCAGAGGTAGGATATTATACTTAATATCTTTTACCACTACTATTAGCTATTTTGTTTTGTTGCAATATCACGTGTATTTGTGTGTGTATACGCACTTACGGTGCCATGTTTACGTACGAAGGAACCTTTTAAGATTTTTTGAAGCATTTATATTAATAATTGTCAACTATATTTTATAGGTACATTCTCCTTTTTATATCTATAAGCAAATAGTAAAGAAAATATACAAATATACAATGCAGAATTCCCGTAATACACGGAACATGAATCTTTCTACAAACTTGACCAAAATCCGTTATAAGAGCACTTGATTAGGCGTTGACTCTTTGTAGAATATCTTGATGAATATTCAATATTGCATACTTATAAGCAGCTACTCACCATGTCAAAGTTCCCCTGTAGCACATTGGTTAAATTCCTTGTTGAAATTTAGGATTCCAAGCCCGTGTTCTTTTTTTTTTCTTTTTCTTTCTACTGTCCTACGATATAGCTAGTCACAAAGATAAATACGTCAAGAACCGTGTGCTCAATCCATCTTACTTAGTATAGCAAATTAACACTAATCATATTCTTACGTACCACAATTTCATTGCTAATGCTAGCTATATCCATTTCATATATCTATCAACAGCTGTAACACATGGAACATGAATCGCTGTTCAAAGTTGACATATCTTAACTTGAAGCCGTTATAAGAGCACTCGAATACGTAGCTCTTGGATGTATTCAAAAACAAATATCTTTTTTTTTTGTCAACAAACAAACAAATATATTTTCTACCAAAAATTATAACAACAAATATTCCTGCAATGCTAAAATCAATACCAAAATTTCGTTGTAGGCAGCATACTACTGGTTAGATTTCATTGCGAGAAATTCCGGGTTCGATTATCGACAGCGGATAGTTTTGTTTCTGATTTGGAAATAACAGAAATAACATTTGCAACTCCATCATCCAGGATACACAATACATGCATACGCTTTAAAATAGGCTTTGTTAATTGTTTATTAGACTCGCATCCTATCGTCTGTTTTTTTTAATCATTTTTTACTTAACAACTTCGTGTATTGTAGATTTTTTTTGCCTGGTTTAACTTCTGTGTATCACCTTATAAATCTTTTGTGAAACTATTTACATCTTTTTCAAAACGTCTAAAAGTCTAAACGATCTTCTATCCGTAGTCTACTAGCTGCATCATAACATACATACTGTAGAAAATAGAGATGGACACCCTAGCTTGCTAGTTTATGGTTTTTTTTTTTTTTTTAATTATAAAAATTTGAGACATATAGTTTTTTTTTAGTAATTGGTTTGGTTGACTTTGGATTGATTTCATGTGTTTTCTTTTAATGTTTTTTTTTTTGTGATTTTCCAAATTCATTCTAATTTTTACATTTTGCATAACATGTACCAAAACATCAGTCTAGTGAATACAAGTTATAAAAACGTCAGCAAATAACTTAGTTATACACATATCATCAACTACACAATTTGGAAAGAAAAAAAAAACGGAAAATCCATTCTTAATAGTAATAATGGAAAGTATACATTGTCAAAGATAAATTACGAGTTTATGATTTTGTTTTTACATGAAAATCATAAAAAGACGTCTTAGTTCAAATATGAAACAACTAAACTGAATCTGCTTTAGTAAAATACACAAATTCAGTTTAAAAACCCATTCCGATTTTATCCTAGCTAAACCAGATTTTTTATATATAATGTTAACCCAATTTAGGTTTAGTTACAGACTTACAGTTTTTGTTTTTTTTGCCCCTATCTTTAGTATTACTATTACCTCTTATTAGTATATTTTTTGTTATAATTTTATTCGTTTTTTCCCAAAAACATTGAAAAACGTCACACTCTGCACTCCGTAACACTACAAACAGCATACATGTTTTCCTAAACGATAGCTGCATCAAAACGCAGCGTATAATTCACGCCACAATTTCTGTTTAGCTGCGTCTTCGTCTTCCACAAAACTGTGACCAGAAAGAGAGTGTGATAAAAGAAAAAATCTATTACCCATCAATGAACGATCTCGAAAACGAAGAGAAGCCCAAGAACGAGCGGTCAGTACACGTGGCGGAACCGGCTATGACGGCGGCAGCGATGAATGGCGTGGCTGCTGCGGCGGCTTTGCAATCGGTGTTTCAGCGGGTAAATCAGGCGGCGGAGAAAGCGGGTCGCGTATCGGATCAGATACGGGTCGTAGCGGTGAGCAAGACGAAACCAATTTCTATGGTTCGCCAAGTCTACGACGCTGGTCATAGGTCTTTCGGAGAGAACTATGTGCAAGAGATCATTGAGAAGGCACCTCAGGTTCTCTTATTTGTTCTCTGCGAAAGTTCAACGAAAAATTGAAACTTTTGTTACTATTGAATTGAAAGACTCTGAAGCTTTGTTTCTTTATGTGATTTAAAATTGCAGCTTCCTGAAGATATAGAGTGGCATTTCATTGGGAATTTGCAGAGCAACAAAGTGAAGCCTTTGCTAAGTAATTTGTTGCCCATTTGAAACTCTTCATCGTTAATTTTTCTGTTCTTGGTGTATAAGTTTCAATCCTACTTCAATCTTCAAATTGTACCGAATTCGTTTGATATGCTTTATTATTATTAATACTTGTTTTTTTTTTTCTTGTGCTTATTTGATCAGCTGGAGTGCCTAACCTTAAGATGGTGGAAAGTGTCGATGATGAGAAGGTAGATATTATTGGTTTGTAAGTAACTAAGTGTTGTACTCTTTGGGTAACAACACTACAGATAGTGGAATCTATAGACTGGGGTCAAATAATTTGTTGATTTGTTTTGTTGGTATTGGGATGGCAATGTCATGGGTACGTGGATGTGATTACGTACGAGTAAAGATGCATTGGGAGCTTGATACACTATCAAAATATATAACAACCTTCTGGAAATACAAAGATTACTACTCCAACTCAATCATAGTTACATTATTAGATTTTGGTAAAGACTAGTTAGTATTTAAACTCTCGGGGCGCTAAGAGACTTGGATCATTTGAGAGCTCAGCCTCGGCGACTCTTTGAAAAAGACACTGTCATTTATTTCGTAGTTACTATGCTAGATCAACCTGACGACTATCTATGTGACAATCACTGGCTTAATTACATTTGCTCCATAGATTGCAAATATGCTTGATCGTGTGGTTGGAAACATAGGAAGAAAGCCTTTGAAGGTCTTGGTCCAAGTAAATACCAGTGGCGAAGAGTGTAAGAATCTGCAACTTCTTCTTCACTTCCATCACAAATGTTTCCACTCTCACGTTTCTTCTTGCTAGTTTTACATGATCATGTCACTGATGTTTCCAGCTAAATTCGGCGTGGAACCCTCAGGATGCGTAGGACTAGCAAAGCACGTGAAGGAAGCCTGCTCGAACCTTGTGTTTTCTGGTTTGATGACGATAGGGATGGCTGATTACACTTCAACCCCAGAGAATTTCAAGGTTTTTATACTCTGAAATTGGACCTAGAAAAGTTTGGTAATATTATGGAAACATTAAAAAAAGGAGCTCGCGTTTGTTTCTTATTATTATATGTGTAGATGCTGGCGAAGTGCAGAAGTGAAGTGTGTAAGGAGCTTGGAATACCAGAGGAGCAATGTGAGCTATCGATGGGGATGTCCGGTGACTTTGAGTTAGCTGTAAGTTTTGATCAACCCACATTGATGATTTCTGAGTTCTGCTAGAAAATGTAAAAGAGTTTTTCTTTTTGGTTTTGGGAGTTACAGATTGAATTGGGAAGCACAAATGTAAGAATAGGATCAACGATTTTTGGGGCGAGGGAGTATCCTAAGAAGAAATGAGCCTGATTCTTCCCAATTCTAAATGTAAATCATCTTCAAATCAAGTTTCGAGAAAGAATAAAGAGCTGCTGTATTAGTAATGGTGGAACGATGTATCATCTTCTTCTCTTTTCGTCTTTCTGTCTTCGCATTGTATTTTGCTACGATCTTGCGTATAGAACAAGGTATTACAAGTCGCTATTGCTCACATTTGATGGATATAAATTTAATATACACACACATGGGTAATAAAAGTAAACAACACTTTTCATTGCAAATACTGTGTGTTATATCTTGTCTTCAAAACCCAAACAAAGTTCCATAGTTTAGAAAATTCATGAAGGATCTTACTTTGTACCAAGTCATTTATAATCAATGAACTAACCTCATCATTGATGTCTGTAATTCTGTAATGTATCAGTGCTATTCACCACTCTCTATGTATACTCTCCGTTGTTTTGTTTTAACTACAAGAGACGTTCTCTTTTTCAGCTTGTAACCTAAACTCCTTGCTTACACTGTTGCAGAGTTATATAATCTTATAAGGTTGTGTTTGTTGACGATCCTATTAGTCCTTCGCTTACAAGGCGCATAGCGGCTTCTTTGGTGAATTTCCTTGCAAAGAGAAAGCACGGGACGGGTTTTGAATCGGCCTTACACCATTCTGTTCGTGATTCAGACTCGTAATAGACATGGTTTATTTTCTGTCCCAAGAAACAAAAAGAACTAGAGATTACTCAAAGATTCATTCGGTGACGATAATCAACAGTAAAAAAACTATGTACCTTTATTTCTTTTATTTCCTCAGGGCCAGAGTTTTCGAATGTGAAAGTGACGGGATGCCAAGATTTGGCTTCATATTTTGTACCCGAAATGTTCCATACAGTATATGTCAGTGTTCTTCGTTCCATTTCACTCTCTAGTCCGCGCATCTGGAAAGAACAGTTTGGATTACATAACGGATAATTAATGGAACTTTTTAGATGGAGAACAAGAAACAAAAACGAGAGGAGGTTTGTATCATATATAATTACCGTAAGCAATGTTTGCACATAGTGTTCATCGGGGATGCAGTTGCGCCGGTTCTGTTTCTGAGTTCACATCAAACGTAAAATGTTTAATCATCCGCCATTTTTTTGAGAAAGAAAGAGGCATATCAATGGAGACAAGTTTCGTAGACTTCAATATAGACATGATTGAGATTGTTTTCAAACCAACCCAAAGAATCAACATAAATCGATTATTCAGTCTGCTGCTTTTTAAAATGAAAAATGCAAAATCTGAAGTATCACTTACAAGAAACAGCCATGCCTTTTGGGAACCTAAAGGTGGAGCTCTCTGCAAATTGAAACAGAAAATCAACAAATAAATCTGTTGTTTCTTCAGCAAAATAGAATCAAGATTGACATTAGAACGATAAAAGATACTCTAAAGTTTCGCTTAATGGTGATTGGTACTCAAAGAAACCAAGCAATAATGAATACACATAAAGCTTGATCTTTACCTTGCAAAATTTCTCAAAAACTGGGAAGACGATAACATCATTTACAATGACCTCTGCATGACTTCTGACCACAGTTATCCACTGCAATAGATAATACTAGTATGAGGTTAAAAAATTCATGAACTGCAAAGGAACCCTTGTCCCTCTCACCCTGATGTTTAAATTTCAATTTAGTAATGTTCGTTTCAAAAGCAAGATAATGAAGATACCTGGGATCCTTTTCGCCATTTCTCTTCAGGTATGACAGAAGACATATTCACACTGTACCGTGTCTCTTTAGTATGAAGGAAACTGCAAATAGAGAGAACGTAGTTATCAACATCTAAAAAACTCTTCTTATAATACACCATTCATCAGGCCATATAAGCCAAGTGGTTCCACTAACATCTTTACAAGTACTGAGAATTCTCAAAAAGATCAGACTTGCAATTTACCTATCCACAAAACTCCTCGGTGAGGAGATAAGATATCTGTATATATAGCCAAAGTCATATAACGGAACACATCTGCAAAACAGAAAGTAGAAGCAAGTTCAAGAAAGAGAAACTGTAATTGACCAACCAGTTACTGGTGACTAATCATATGCAAAATAGAGAGAGCAAGTATGCTAATTTAATAAAGGAAATTAAGGAATCTTCTGAAATGAAGAAGAACAAGTATACAAAAATGCAATTCAGCAAGCAAAAACGCTCGATGAGGAATAATACTCAGAGAACCGCACCTGTCAGAGAGAAGAACAAATCTTTGATTTGACTGATCCTCTAAAGCAGATGCAAGCAACAATCTCTCTGCTGCAATCATACTGGATTCTCCCCATATTACCTAGAAACCATGACACCCTAAGTTTCAATTTATCCACGATAATCCTTAGGAACAGTTGGAAATATTTGGATCAGTAATTGCAGATAATAAATGCCAAAAAGGCTTTTCCTTTTAAATCTCTTCTGATACGTTCTCAGGATAACTTCTACAATTCCAGCAAAATGTACGCACTAAATTCACAACAGACAAGAACTATGTCGATCTTCGATCACATTCCCAGACGAGTTTCGCAGATGCAAATTCTTAAAAATTCTTAAAAACTCACCTTGATGCTATTGTTCAATTGGCGATCATAGAAGTACTGTGATCGAGTGGTGTCCTCATTGAAAACGAAACCAGGTACTGAATGTATATAAATTGAGAAATTCGCCTGATCGGCACCCTGCGAAATTACCAGAAGCAGCCATTTTCCAAATTTAGAAAAACAGCAAAGTGACAGGAGTTAAAATCAACAAAGACTTAGTCTGTGAATTAAACCTTGAAGAATCTGTCCCACAGAAAATCTAGCGGGAGATCACGCCGAGCTAAAAATAGGAAGGCGACCTTCGGACTGTCGCCGGAGAATTTGCGGAGCGAGATATGAGAACCCGCGACGGAGAGCGGCGCCAATGTCGTAACGGAATGGTACTGAAGGTGGATCCTGAGGAGAGCAAGAAGGCAAAGCGCGACGGAGAAAGCGATAACGAGCTTCCATCCGAGCCACACGACGCCGCGACGTGACACTGAATGCTGCGCCTGCGGCTGCGATTTCCTCGTCATTGTACCTCCGGCAAATTTGCTATCACTCACCACCGAGAGATCAACATCCGAGTCCCAATGTCTCTGTAATGGGAAACGGATAATCAAAATCTTTTTAGGGTTTTAAAGTCAAATTTTCAGGAGAAATGAAACCGAAGAATTGGCATTTAAAACATTTTGGAATTTGAGAAGCGAAGAAGAAGACGGAAGAAAGACGATGATGTTTACTGTTTAGACGTATAAAACTTACAAACGTCGTCGTTGAAATACGTTTAGAGTTCAGTGGGACCCAAAATATTAGTAGTCGGATGACAACAAATATATTAAAAAAAAACAACTACGAACGAATATGTCAGAAATATCAAAAATTTGACTGAAGACTGTTGAAAAGGATATATAATACAAAGTCCTGGAAAATAAATTACGAAAGTAGAGATCTATATAAAGGTGAAATCCTAACCAACAGAAAACTTCAAACAGAATCCAAGAAAAACAATACGATGATTTTAAAAAATAGTCATTTTTCGAATTACATATCATTTTGCAACACTAAAATCTACAAGTACAACTAAAAGGTTCAAAATAGTAACTTCACAACTATTCTGATAATGATGTTCCAGTATTATACATAATCATACAATTTCTCTGCATATAGTGTGTAATGCTACTACACAAAACAATGCAAAGAACGTTAGTAAATCTTCATATGCCAAAAAGAATGGCCTTACATCCATAAAAATGGGACAAAAGCCAAGTAGCCAAATACACTAGCCATGGCTTTACAATCTACAAAAAATCTGCTGTTTCTTTCATGCTAAAGCGTTTGGGAACAATATGTCACAACAAAAGTCTTTTAGCTTAAATCTGGCAATAATGTCTCCAGTTCTTTCAAAGCTTGTTCGACGGCGTAGATCACCATCTTCTTTATCTGTTTTGCATAACAAAAAGGAAAAATAAAATAAAAGAGTAAACACCAATCAGCGAGAGTATAAACCTGCAGAGGTTTATTTAATCAACATTGACTTAAAAAAAAAAAATCAACATTGTAACTTAGTGTAATTCTATAGGTGCACCATCTTATGTTTGTTTCAGTTAATGGGAAATAAGAAGTCAGCACATGATCACCATTGATGTTACTTTTTCCTTATTATCTTTTACAAATCTTCACATGGGCAAAAACTTTACTTCTACAAAAGGGAAATTTGCAGGAGAACCTTTGGGCAAGTGTCTTAGTCCACTTATGCTGATTTGCATGCAGAAGAGTTCGATCCCAAGGTCCTTATAAATGGGTCAGTGGCCTTAGAGGTTTTTTTTGTTTTGTTGTTATGTTGATCAGTACAACTTAAGCAACTCGCCAAAAACTATGAGTTTTTTTTTTTTGTTTTTTTCAAATTATACATTATATATTTTTCTTAAATATAAAGCAAAGATGCTGTTATGGCAAATTGAAGCTCGGGTTGTTTTGTAGTCAGTACAACCTAAGCTAACTTAAGACTATCTCTATTCAAGTTTTGACATTTGAAATTTTCTACTGCCTAAGTTTTCAACTTTCCAGTTGGGTTTGGCTAATGTCACGTGAAATTCAGGATATCCCAGACAAAAGAAAACAATTCAAATCTGATTCATTCGAATCAACCTTTATGCTAAATAAATAAGCTTTTTTCTTCAAATGGTGTTAAAGAGAAAGAATCACCTCAAGTTTGTCTTCTCTGGCTTTATGTTTCTTTGGAAGCTGTCGAAACTCTTCTGTCAAACGGAGACACTCATGAATGTTCTCTGGTGACACAAAATCAACAGCTACCTTTGTGCACGACTGTTCCAAATCCACAAACAAACACAAAACCGCTGTATAAGTAAAATAATGGGAGAGAAAGTTTAGTGAACAAAACATAAAATCATTCAAACGACCTTTAGATTCCGAACTTGATGAGGACAACCAGCAGGAATAAACACCGCTTCTCCTAGCTTTTGCACAAATGTCCATGGCTCAATCCCTTCAATTCAAACAAAATACATATCAATAAAATCTCAATAACCTCAAAAGTGACAGTTATTACAGTTACAATTACCATACCAAATTCAGCCTTAAGTTTTCTTTTATGCTCCACGGTTAAGAAAAACGATTGGTCATGAATCGGATGATCAACCTAACGAAAGAAATTACCATCAGTACAGTAACATCGAAGCTCTTAAGGGAAAATGAAAAACGCTTTCAGAGATTGTTTATTTGTTTACCTTTGTAACAGGAGAACAATAAGTATGTCTGAATTCTTTGCAATGCTTTCTTAGATACTCCTCAAGCTTTGGAACATCTTCTCTTCTAAATATGTCCCAAAGCGCACTCCCTGTTTCATCATGATGAAACCCGTTCTCATCATCAACAAACTCTTCTCTGTTTAAACAAGTTTGATCCTGAAGCTCCTTTTCATTCTGTTGCTTGTGTCTCTGCTTCAGAGCTTCGATTGCAGACAATTGCTCCTTAGTTAGTGTTACTTCTGCCGTATGCATCAGAATATTAACCTACAAGTAAAATCAATAAAGTTATACCGGACTATACTTAAAAAACCACATTTTTATTTAGTAGTGTGTAACAATTCTAAGAGCTTACAGCATCTGACATATCACAGTGAAGCTTAGTGACTGAATCGCCTCTCCCGAGCTCATCTGAGTTCCCGTATGCAATGTAAGTTTTTGGACCAAGATCCGGTTTAAGATGTCCTTCTGGAAGTTTTGAAGCAATGTTGAGAATTCCGGATCTAGGATCGCTGTATTCTTGGAAAGGTAATGCTGAGATGAACTCATCGCAGTGTCGAGGCAAAAGGTTTTCAAACTTGTCTGAAGGAGGCCAGTCTTTCAGCTTCAGCATCTCGGGCCACAAGTTACGGTATGTTCTTCCTTTGCTGTATCCTTCAAAAAAGTCTCGAGCTTTGATCTTTACCTGAGTTTGTATGGTCAAGAAATGAGTTTTAGAGCCTATCGAACACAAACAAAAAAATCTCAGAATTTTTACCTCACAATTAGCTAAACAATCGATTGCCTTGACGTCAGACATCTTGGAGCTAGTTTCTGGATCAACGTTTTCGCACAAAGCTCGCCACATGACCATTGGCTCCCAGCTTAAACCTGGTGTGTTGTTAAGAGCGTTTCGAACAATCACTGGTTCGCCTTTGGACCAATGTTCTTGAAAATGCAGAAGCTCATCTTGCTTCAGGACATCAAAAGAATCAGGACAGTAGAGGTAATTGTCACTGGATCCGTTCCTCCTCGAAGCTGCTTTCCTCATCATACTCATCTGCGAATCAGAAGAACATCTGCAGCTTGACGACATTGTTGGATTGATACTACAAGATGCTGCTAAGAATTTCTCTGCCTTTTGTTCCAAATCTGACATCCAAGTAAACGGTAGGATTCGTCTAAGCTCCAAAACACAGTCACCGCAACCTCCTAGCTCTTTTGGCGCACACGTTATGCTTCCATTTTCATTAGCAGTCCACTTAATGGATGGATTATCAGCTTCATCCTCGGGAACAAAAGAAGAAGAAGAGCTCATTTCTGCATCTTCGCCATGCATATATCGGCTGCCTCTATTGACAAATTCGGATTTCGACTCCTGGCGTTCTGAAAACCGTCCTCCACGGATCTCTTGGCAACAGTTCAAACAAAGTTCATAAGAACACTTTGGACAGCTTCGATGCAAGTCAACAATTGAGGTTGCACAATGGTTACTGCAACACAAATGATACTTCAGTAATAGCATATAGAAATGTCACATAACTTTTTCAACATATATAGAAGATGATACTTACCAAAAGACACGCTCTTCAGTTGAGCATAGAGTCTCGGATATATCAACTTGAGAGGCCATTAATCCTATATACAACATATCAATATGCTATCTTGATGGCAAGATAAAATCTTGTCTTTAGTATAGTAGCAGAAGATCCCTATACCTTGGATCTCTGCCTCGGTTTTGATTTCTTGATCTTGAGCATTGCATAACTTTTTCAGGAAAGGAAGCATCGATCCAATCAAGTAGCGGAGATGATGAAATCTTTCGAAATTACTGAGTTTCCTCTTCGATGTCTGTTATAAACACACAAAAACAAAAATCAATCTAGTAATTCTAAATACATCTTTTGTAAAAAGAAAACAATCATACCTCGATTAATCCACTTGACTGCAAACATATGCAACAGTTGCAATTTCCGCGGCAAAAAGGGCATTTTTCCACAATATCATCCTGTGACAAATGGGGATACCTGAGACAAACACCAAACAAAGCATGTATTAAGGATATTGATGAAATCTATATTCTATTACAAGACAAAAACTAAAAAAGTAAAATTTAATGAACTAACCATTTCTTTATACAAGGAAAACAATACATTCTCTCTTCACAGAAGGTGCAAATGAAAAGATATCTTCTTTCCCCTTTAGAGCATTGATGGCAAATTGCAAGGTCTCCCAAATCTGCCTGTGCAAGGGAAACATGAATATCAGACACAAAAGTTTCAGTACATTTTTTCACATTATGTAAGAACAACGCTTTTACCCTTAAACTCCTTGTCATGCTTCTGCAATCATTAAAGTTTCCGTTTTTCGGATTAGAGTCTGACAAATCTGAGTCAGAGTGTGAACATGAGCCGTAAACAACATCTGTCTCGTTTTCAAGAACGTAAATGCTTTGCTCCAGCTTCTCTTCTTCTTTACCTCTTCTTTTAACAGAGCTTCTCTGCTTCAATTTCTCTTCACACTTCTTTTCATCATCACCGTTTCTTTTCTCTGCAGCTTTCTTCTTTCTTGAAGATTTGGTTTTACCCACTTTAGCTTCATCAGCTATAGACCGTTTACGTTTTCTATTAGACACTCGTTTCGGAGATCCCACACTGTTCTCCTCTTCTATTTCTGAACCGCTGCTCAAACTTGTTGGCTCAACCGGTTTCTTCTTCTCCTGCCGCCAAGAATCTTGTTCCGGTTTACTCTCCATTAGACCATTATGCTTCAGATTTACTCCATTAGCAGCAACTACAGCCTCCCTTTTTCTCATATTTCACCTGCCTATTTCAATGGCAATAACCAAATACTTCAGAAAATCAAATTAAGACGAGTCAGTCAATCAAAATTTGGTCTTTTTCTCCAATCTTCAATGAAACGAGTATGGATCCTTACGAAATGGGTTGTTGAATCAATAAACAGAGGGAGTAACACTAAAACCCTAACAAAACTGATGAGTTATTAAATCCACAGAGCAGAAGTTAAAGAACCCGAAACATAATATTGAATTCAAGACGAGAGGAAATGAGAAAATTGAACGAGATATTCGAAACGGGTTCGAGAGTAGCATCACCTTTCTGATTAAGAGAAGAAATACCAGCACAAATATGAATCTTTCTTCCTAACGAACGAAGAAAACACTAAGTTCCGCTACAAATTTGAGCTGTCATGATTCGACGAAACGCCAAAATTAGCCTGATTCAGTGAAGCATGGAAGAAAAAGATACTATGGACTTTTTTTTTCCATTCAAAGAAAAAATGGTATAAAATCTAAAAACAGTCAAATAAAAAAAAAAACGTTTAAAGAGCCGCTTCTAAAGCAGATGATGCGAGAGGACCGGACCACAGAGTGAGCGCGTGGCTCTTTATAATTGGCTCCCCGAATCGAAGCACCGATTCGCGCTACGACCCATCCATCAAACGCTTTTTAATTTTTTGGATTTAAATATTGTTTTTATTGCTGTTTCTTCAGTCAATGTAAATGTTCCGATTCTTATTCACGTTCGGCGAAAAAGGATGTGACCGCGCGTGAGAGTCACGCTTCACTCGTCTTACAGAAGAAAGCAGTCATTTTTGGGTATTTTTACCGGATTACTATCGAAACACACAAATTTTGGATAAAAATCCTACGCAATAAATGTAGATTTTATACGTTAAAGATAGATTATAGATTTAGATTTATAATTATGGTTTTTAAATTAAATATTATGTTGATTTTTTTTCTTACATCTCAATCTTACGATCATCAGTTCATGTACAGCTCGATATGCTGATATAATTGTAATTAAAGAATTTTTATTTATTTTAGTTTTGGATATTTGGTCAAATGAATTGAAAAATATAGAAATGTTCTTTTCTTTTCAATGTCAGCAGAAAGGAAATATTTGTATTCTATAATTAGGTGGAAAGAAAGTACTGTGATTATAAATTTATAATGTATGATGTATCTGTCGACAGATTTTTTTATTTTTTAAAATGTATGATGTATCTAAGTCCGACAGATAAAGCCAAATACGCACCATTCTGCATAGTAGTCAAAGAGTTTTTGAAATGTTAGAGCACCTCCATCGGTAGTATGAGGAGGGGCTGTAATTAATTTATGAGCTGAAAAAAAAAACATTTAATGCATTTTCAGAGCAGATACGGTTCTACTTTTGGATTCTGCAGAACCTCAATAGAGACGATGACGTGTCAACTGACGATTGGTCATTGATTTTTTTTGGTTTATTTTATTGAAATCTCTGAATGATCAAGAAGTTTTGCTATTTTTTTTACTGATTATTTGATCGATGGAACCAACCGATGTATTTCATCGGATAAAAAAATTTATGTAATGTTTGTTTAAATTTTAAATTAATAGTTTGTATTTATAAAATATTTATATTTTAAAAATTATAATTAAAAAAAACAAAAAATTTTTTTTTAGAACCCCTAATTACATCCTACCATTGGAGGTTCAAATTTAGTAAAGATATAATTAAAGTTCTAAAATCAACAGAATAATTAAAACCATTATAATAAAGAATTAGAGCTCCTAACTACATATTAGCATTGAGGGTGCTCTTAGCATTTACAGAGACAAATAAATTTAAGTTTTCTTGAATAAAAAAAAAACTTAACGGAAAGGCAATGGTGTAGTGTTTTTGACTTTTTGCCATTAAATTAATTATTTCCAGAGTCCACGATTAAATAGAAAAATTATCAACAAAAATAGAAATAGTTTGATGACTTCCTTGTCGACACATGTAGGATGTTTATTTGGTTGTGCAATAAAACTGGTTTATTTTCCTCGACACATGTCAACAAAAATTTCGGGAAACAATTTCTCTAAAAATAAAAAAACAAGTTAAAAGTCAAAACCAAAATAAATTGTAACAATATACAAAATCTTTGAGTAAATAAAAAAAGGATCCCAACATGGTTAATTCCGTTTCTCTCTACACCGTATAAAATCGACCCGGTTGAGTGAAAATTAATAGCTCTGGTTATCTCTTTGATGGTGAAGGCGAAGAACCGCGGCTAGCATGGCTAACAGCCGGCGTTGTTTTCCGGGACTGACGTTTGGTCGGCACAGTAACACATTCTTCGTCCGAATCTTCGAAGCAATAACCGGAAATCTCAGACCGACTATCTTCATAGTCGTCGTCTTTGAAAACCGGATGAATATATGCTTTCTGAAGATAAGGTTTCAGATTAAAGCTCGGTTCTCTTGCTCGTTCCAACGTATCTTTGATCATAGCTTCCTGTAAACCGAGACTTATGAGATCGTTAATAACACATAGTTAAACCGATGACAGAATCTCGGTTTGCAGTCTGGTTTAGTAGAGATGTGAGAGAATTTACAACTACTGACCTGCAAGGGGTGACGAAGAAATGCTGGTTCATACCGGCCTTTACAGAACCGGTGAAAGAAAAAGGTGAGAACCGGTAAAGCGATGAGGAAAGGCGTGGACTGAGCAGCTCCTTTAGTGCTCATTAATCCCATCAAAAGGATTTGCGAGATGATTAACGCCGATGTGATACGTCCATGAACATCTGGCCAGAACGCAGCCGCACTTTCGTATTCCTGATTATACACATTTATGATCTGCAAAAAAATAGACCAAAATGCTCAGCAAGTAGAGAAGTATTTGTGTGATTCTACTCTCTTGACAGCCAAAATAGCAAGCACAAGATCTGGTTTTAGTCGATATTAACTAAGAATCTTGAAAATTTTCAAAAACAAGAAACAGAGTTTGATATATATGAACCTGATGACGAAAGACAAGGTAGGCCAATGCGAAGAAGATGATGATGAAAGGGAGTAGAACAGGAGTCACAGGGGCATAGACAAGACCAAGGAGGAAGTAGAGTTGAATCCGAGGCTCTGTCGCGTGAAAATTGATCTGTCCTGGGTTCATAGCTTCTTCTCTATCCTTTTCAGTTTTTACCAAGAAGAAGTTCTTTACATGGAAAAATATCAGTGGTTTCAACCTCAGAATCTCCCCTGCAACGCCCGCCCAACCATCCACCATTATATACGTTATAAAAAACGTTGCTTTGATCGGTATCGCTACTCCAACCGTCCTAGGAATCCTAACAAGTCACAAAAGCAACGATACATAAGCTTTGGGATCATGAGAAAGAAGGGTGGAGGAAACTTTAAACTTACTGATTTGCGGATTGTTTGAGGAAAGAATCGAGTTGTTCGAATGCAGAGCCAGTGATGATGCTTCCAAGGAAGACATTGATGAGGTTGAAGATATAATATCGAAAAGCCGCTCTTCTCTCTAACGATGATAACGATACAAACCCTTCGAACTTTGACATTACCATCAAAATGCTTGGCAGAAATATTATAAACAGCTTTAGCACTATACCAGGGAGAAAGCCTTGGATAACTGATTTAATAAGATCCCTGCAAAACATTAGCAAAATCCAACATCTAAATTTCTGTAAGTTAGGGAAGAGAAATGGAGAGACACAGAGAGAGAGAGAAAGAGTTACTTCTCGATGATGGGTTTGAGGAAAGGAGCGGATTTTTCAATGCCTTCAATGCTTGCTAGGGATTGAACAAAAGCTATTGGAATCATGAAGAAGAAGGTGAGGAAGAAGAAGGCAATGTGCATTATAAGCCTCCTTACTGTTAAAGAGACATAAGGAATCGCGAGGTTTGACCAAAACACTTCTCGTGCCTCGGGAGCCCATTCAGTTAACCATTCTGTCGGATTTCTCGACTGTTGTGTCTGTGCACAAACCGCAGCACCCCACCGTGTTTTAAAAGACACAAATGCTGCTGGCATTACGTTCTTGTCATCTTTCTTTACTTTCTTCCTTTCCTCCATTATCTAAAAAAAACATTCAAAAAGATAAAATCAGTTTTTGATTATTTCCAACCGTTGTAGGAAGAAATGAAGAGACAATTTTTTACTTACTTGGTTGTTTAATTTCTCGATCTCGGCTATGTAATGATCGATTGCATCAACTTTCTTTCCCCATAGCCCGAGAAAACCTGTCTGGATTCCCAAAGAACACAGCAAGAGAACAGATTAGAGACAAGACAAGAGTCTTTAAGTTTGTGTATAAGAGTCCTTATCAATTACCTTTATCATTGGCCTTTGATCATTGTTCCTTGCATACTTCAATTGGTAATAGTCAAGCCAGTTCTGCGTGCTCTTCCTCTTCTCGACTAAGTCCGCCAAATCGTTTGCATTGTACACAACCTGGATTATCAAGTTCCAGGACTTAAGGGAAACCCGAGAAAGAAAAGAAGACTGACTTTTTCAGAGCAATGAGCTATAAAAACCTGATGGGTAAGATAATGGTCTGGATGGTTAACAAGGAAGTAATGTTCCACACTCTCACTAATGGACTCATCTGGATCCGCTGGTACGTTCCTAACCAAAACCTGTGAGAGCAAACCGGGTCAATCCAGAGTTACTCATCAGGAAAGCAAATCTGATGTAATATAGCTTTACCGTGAACTGATCAGGGCGTCGTTGCTCGGACTGCAGAAATGCCAGACGCATGGAAGCTACTTTCTCATACTCTTTCATTAGAACAAAGCAAGTCCAGAATGTGAAGGCGTAAGCCATCACGAGGTGAGTCCAAAACCTTCAACAAAAAAGAATATAACAGCTACAAACTTCAAAGCCGTAGAGGGAATTAAGAATCAATGTGAGATTTTTTCAATAATTTGCAAACCTCTCTGATCCACGTTCGATGTTAGAGATAGATAACTTATCAATATCACTAGATGTTACATTACGAAGCTTTGCTAGTTGCAGCCCATCACTTGTCCAATTAACAGGGACAAGAATCGACCACGCAAGTAACGCTATTGGGACAAAGATCTTTAGCCTGAAAAAAAAAAACAGAGAAAACAAATACCTTTAAGATGATACAATGCAAAGCAAGAATCTTTTCATAAAAGCTTGAAAACAAACAGTTACCCTATCAAGTAAATCCTCAAGTAGACTGCAGAATCCAAACCGGCATGATGAATAAGCTCGGGCTCGGGCATCTTTAGAGCCGCAGGCATCCAGTTCAAGAATCGTAGGTACGAGCCTAAGTTCAAATTCACAAACTTGCTCACAAGAGCACCCGAATGCAACGGGCTGCTTCTTATACCTTTAAGATACCATTTAGGGAAATAAACCCTATCGTTGAAAGGTTGAATCCTCAAGATTGCAAAGGCCAAAAGGAAGATGATGGCAGTGAGTATGTTGATTGTTGCAGCTACTCCAATATCTCCTAGTGTTGCCATCTCTTAATCTCTTAAACTAATCTATATAAAATCTGAAATTCCCCTTTGAAATCAAAGGCTTCACCTGCAAAATATCCAGCCCTAACCCTATGAAATCAAAGACTTCACCTACAAATTCATTCAAATGGCGTGTTGTGTATTTAAGCAGGGAAAATTAATTATACATCTACTTTTTTTTGCTATCTTCTTCTCTAAATATGGAAATATTAAGTCAATAGAATCTTTCAATAAATGGAAATCGATAAAGAATAATTGGTAAGAAAATTTTCACAGCATTCATTAAGAGGTCATATATCTCTTTCAGTAAAATTTCATTCTAAGTCTCTTGTTCCTCTCATTCTCATATTCCTTTTACTTAATCACTAATAAGAAGAAGAAGAAAAAAAAAGGACTAATAGAACAGTGCCATAAGAGTTCAGAGTTTTGATGCTAAAGATAAAAAAGAGTTCAAAGCTAGAGAATATATAAATGACTACATATAAGAACTGAATCAAATTAATCTCTTTGATCAACCAAAACCCAGAAATTTTTTTTTTTTTTTGGTGTGCAGTAACGTCTCTTTTTGACAACGAAAATACCATATTCCTAAAACTTCTCGAGAAGCAATCTAACTACTAGATTATCCAGATAAAGGGAAAATTTAGAAAATCTGAAACAAACCTAGAGAACAAATTGCTGAAGTAAGGGCTTATTGAGATTGTCCCTCCAAGACAGAAGCTTGAAAAGTATACTCCAACTCTTGTAAAATCACACCAAAAAGGCAGAGAAATCGGAGAGATCGATCTTTAGTCTTTTGAGCATAAGCAAAAAGGGAAGAGAATATAAAGACGCGGTGCCGTTATTTTGCTGTGGAAGACGCTGAAGAAACTAGAAAGAGGCCTTAAGCAGGGGGAAGAAGAAAAGTTATTTCAAAACCTTTGACAACGAAAAGCTTTATTTTTTCTTTATCAATGGGTGAATTTAATAAGGTGACGTCAGTCCGCGTTTAGTCTGTGTCTGAGGCTCCTTCTTCAAAGTTGAAATCCTGATAGTCTCAGGTTTGCTTTAAATTTAATATTTTTTTAGTGGCGTTAAGTTCACTTAAACCCCATACTTTTATATTATTAATTACTGTCCCCATATTCATCTTGTTGTTTAAAAATCCTAACAAAATAAAAAGAAGAATATTGGTAATTGTCTCTATTATATTATATTAAATTTGATATGATAATTATTCCTTTTTCATGTGATAAGTCGATAACTAATGTCATATGAAATAGTAAAATGACGGAAGAACAAAATAATAAACTAGTGGAAACAGTTTATCTAATGATATAATGGGTGATCACAAAACACAACATTAATGATTTTTGCTGTAATATAAACATGACGGAAAACGTTAAATGTTTGTGAATATGTGAAAAGCTTTATAGTGCAAGAACTATGAAATTTTGCATCAGTGACAAAAATTCAGAAAAGGGGTCATATGAAAATGCGAGAAGTCCCGAATTTTCAGTTGAACTATAGGGGTCATATGAAATAAATAAAAAAGGTTATACAAGTTGAGTAGTTATCAATTTTTAGTCAGCAATCAGCATAATCAGATTTTGTTGATCCTGAAATCAGCTAGCTGCGACATCTGCCACGTGGGGCGGCACAGTGGACTTTGCGTACGTGTCACGTGACTTTTATTTTGATTCAAGCGAGGACAATGGGGAGAATGTCACGCGCTGAGTGTTCGAGCGTGAAGGCACTAATCCAGTCAATGTATTTTTGAATTGAAATAGCAACAAGAGGCATGCCAACGGTAAACACAGCTCTAGCGTCTATTCAATCCAAGAGACCAAGATTATGAATTGATTTGAGTTTGGTAAGTTTAGATGAAATTTGGGAGAGTTATGATTAGTTATAGTAATAACTTTGACAACTAGACTAAAACCAATAAATTTGGATTGTTGAACTTAAATAGATTTTTTTTTTTGTTCTAAAACGAGATCATTAGAAAATCACAATAACTAAAATATTATTTAATAACATTATAGTTAAAGTAATTGACAATCATAGTTTTTCGACAAAATAATTACTGCAAAACAAACACACACACACAACAAAATAAAGAGTGAGAGAGTCTCTAAACTCTAATATGCAGCTTTCAATCCACTCCTAATATATTTGTGAAAGAGAGCAATTCCTTTTTATATAGGGTTTAAGTTTTCTAAATCCGCTTGAAGCGTTAGTTGAAAACATTGATCTGATAAAGTCTTCTACTACAATATGTCAAATTGTGGATTTATATGGAATTTCCTTTTCGTAAAAGGGCATGTATTCCAAATCTTTACTTTATAAGTAAATTCATTCCTAAAACAAAATTTTAAAGAACTCTAGTCGGTGGATTTATTCCAAATCATTCCAAGATTCTAAGAACCGGTGGATATATATATATATATAAGACAAGGTTGAACTAGATTATTGTTATTCTTTTTTAGAGAGAGAGATAGAACAAGAAAAAAAAAAGTTGAGCTTAATCAAGGAAGAAAACATGGAGATCAAAGTGAGGACTCTAAAATAGAGGTGGGTTGGAGATGGCCTAAGATCATCTCCAATGGTTGCCTCTATTTTTTCCTTTAAAATAGAGAAACTCTAAAATAGAGGTGTATTTGTCTCCAATGGTTACCTCTATTTTCCCACTAAAAAAGAATATTCTCAATATATTATTTTTGTTATTTGTTCTTAACACTTTTATTAATAAAATTTATGAATTGACCCCACTTATTTTTTTACAAAAACTTACATAAATAATAATATACTAACTTTGATAAATAAAATTTGTGAATTAATCTTTTATTTTACTTTTTAAAAAAGTTTTCTTAAATTATAGTAATAGTAACCTTTGACTACTAAATTTTTTAAATTAATCCTACTTATGTTACTTTTTTATGAAAGTTTCAACATATTATAATAATACTAGAAGTTAAAATTCAAAAATAAAAAAAAAAATAAATTAAATTCTGTTATTTTCGTTTATTTTTATGTATTTTTAATTTACAATTACTTTTTTGTAGTTTCATATCAATGAGAATTTTTATATTTAATAATATCATATGTTTTTTTTTAAACTATAACCAAAATTATCTTATTTATATTAAAAAAAAATTATACTTTTTACATAAATAGAAAAATTTAAAAGTTAAAGGACTACTTTACAAATAAAAAAGTTAACCTCTATTATAGAGGAAAAAAATAGAGTCTCTCTATATTTGGAAGAAAAAATAGCAATCTCTATTTTAGAGGTGAAAATAGAGATGGATTGGAGCATAATCTCTATCTGCACCTCTAAAATAGAGGTGAGTTGTAGATGGCCTAACAGGCAAAGAAATAAAGATTAAGATTGATCCAACGGATACAATTGAACGGATAAAGGAACGAATAGAAGAGATAGAAGGAATTCCTCCTCTTCAGCAAAGGATCATCTACACTGGGAAACAACTTGCTGATGATCAAACAGCCAAACATTACAACATCGAACGTGGCTCTACTCTTCATCTTGTTCTTGCTCTTAGAGGTGGTTTTTAATTTATTTTTTTGTTCTGACTGGTAATTAATAAAGGGTAAATACCCTTATCGGTTTCAAACTAATTAACTAGGGTTTCCATCCTTTTTGCTTATCGGGTGTTTGTGTCTATTGACGTATTGGTTTGCCTTTTCTTCTGTTGGCTTTTGTCGATATTTAATAGAGGTGGGTTATGAAACTCGCCTAATCTAATGAAGAAAAAATAAACTGCATATCATCTCATCTGGTTTGGTAAATCAGAATCTCACATCAAAATCTTGGTATTCTCTTCAATTAAAGTTAATATGCGAGATTCTTAAAAAAAAACGGATGTTATTATATTTGTAGCTGATTCCTTAAATATATGAAAACCTAGTGTATTTAAAAACATAATGATTTCGTGCGTCCTCTTGAATTTGAAGTTCCTCAGTTCTAAGTTTGTTTAATCTCTTTTAATTATGTTTCTCGATCCAATAATTTGATTACGGATGCATTGGCTAAGGAAGCTTTAAGTTGTATGAACCTTTGCTCCTCAATTATAAACACCACGATTTTAAAATCGTTGAAACTGTCCAACCGGAATATACACAGTACAATAATATCATAAGGTGTTAACGCCTTCTTAAAAAACTAAAAAAAAAACTTGAAAAAACTCGAACGTTTTAGCATTAAGGGGTTACAAACTTACAATGCCGGAAAATGGAAAAAGGGGTAGGATAACTCGGTTAAAACGTTAAAAAATAAAACCAAAAGGAATGATACTCGGTTTATACCATTTAAATAACCGAACCAAAACCGAACGGCAAAAAATAAAAGAATCCAGTTTTATCGATTACACATACATTCTTTACATCTTGGGTAACGGTAAACGCTGCGACCAGTAGGTCTAGCGAAGACATGTTTGGTTTGTCGAATCGCTTTTCTCACTCTCTGCTCAAAAACGTTCCACCCAATCGTCTTGTTCTTCAACAAAATGTCCGAAAGTCTCCTCTTGTTCGGTCTAATCGTTGGCATTTTCCCCTCTCCGTAATAAATCCGATAACCCGACACAAGAGACGATAACTGACTCCCTGAATCCGTCATTGCAAAAGCGTTTGCCGCAGCACAACCAATAAAATCTAAAGCCGCTAGCTACACCAATAACACACCAAACGGTTAAAACAACTCACATTTGGTTAAACATCGATTGTTTGTTTGCGTTTACGTTTAGTGTATATTTTTTTCCCCAAATTCAACCACAACCTATAACACTTTTAACAAATAGAGGGAATCGAAACCGTTTTGTTTTTTTTGTGTTACCTGAGATGAGAAGTTCTTGAAAGGTTGTAGCTCGGCTTGAGATAGTAACTTCTCTTTGGTGACTAGATTTGGGTATAAACGCGTTAACACGGCTAAACGTTTTGATCCTCCGTAAATATTCGCGCCAGCTACAAACACACGGGTCTTGCGGTTGAAGCCAAGAGCCGCGAGCATGAGCACAGCTTCTTCGGGTGTTAAAGGACAAAGTCCTTCCGTCCTCAAAGCATCGGAAGATGGGAATCTGAAAACAGAGCAATTCGAATTTTAGAATCCAGAAGAAGGAAGAGGAAACTCCTTGTTCTTCAAATCATGGAGCAAACCTTTTCGTTTTGGTCAGATTCAAGAGAGACGGAAAATGTTTTTGGCGGTAAGAGTCCAACTCTTTCTGCTCTGTTTCTCCTCCTCCAAAATAACAGAGAGAATGAGCCACCATGTCGATTTCAAACCGTAGATGGAGAGCAAGATACTTGGAAGAAGAAGAAGAAGAACCCTTCTTCTTCTGCGCAGGAGGATCAGACTTCTTGTTCAAGATTAAAGAAGCCGATTTTGGACCGACGAGAGGCAGGTCAAGTGGCGCAAGGTAAGATTCTCTGTTCCGTAACCTCCTCACGAGCAACGCACCTGTTTCTTGTATTCTCGGGACGAAGCTTAGCGCGTGAAAGTTACATCTGCATCGAAGCCTCTACTTCCAAAAAAATGTTTAGATCAAATGAGCAAACCAGAGATCATCAATATGGAGAGGATTCAAAGAATGTCTACCTGTAACTCAAACGGCATCGGATCAAAAGCTAAGCGGTTTCCGAATCCAACAAAATGGATTACTCTGTTCTTGAGTAGCATTGGGAGAATGTGTTGCAAATAGAAACCTGGTTTGGCTTCTTTCATCACTTCCACATCTGTCATCTTAAGAGATAAAGTGCCCAAACATGAACAAGAAGAGAATGAAGATGAGATTGTCTGCATTAAGACCCGGTTTAAAAAAGTAAACTCACAACGCTTCCGATTGCTTCAAGATCCAAAGATTGAAGCTTTTTTGGTAGTTCCTTTACTATCCGAATATCAGGCGACAGATACTTAATAAAATGTTCCTCTTGATATATATCTCCGAACTGACTATCAAGTATCAAAGTTAAACACACCGTTACATATGTAAAGCTTCAATTTTTTTCATGACTCGAAAATGATTAGAGAGTGTGAAAGAGAGAGGAGCTTACAATATTTACCTTCCATCTGTCCAAACGTCACTTAGCATGAATTTTGGAATGACGAGAGTCGCATTCAGCAACCGAGCTACAACAACGATGTTACATACCTGTGAAAGAACTCCAACGGTTAGGATTAGAGAGAAATTTCAAAGAAAATTTGAAGGATAAAGAGAAGCAGATTACAGCAACTCTTTGTTGATTAATCCCTCCGTTTGCAGTTACCATAATATATCCATTTTTGCCATCTAAAAATCAGGAAAATACAACTCCATAAGAAACAAGCTTTAGTCCAACTTTTAAAAGAGGAAGAGAGAATGAGACCGTCAGGAGACCAATAGCGTTGATCAGCGCAAGGCTTCCAAGCCAAAGCTTGTTCCTTTGGCTCCTGCCATAAGTCTTTTGGCTCAAGTTTGTTCTGCTCCAATCAAGCACCATTTACAGTAACCGTTTCAACGAACAGAAGTAAACAACATAATGTTACGGATAGGATTGGTTTTGGAGAATACATTACCTCTGCCAAATTCTGAGCAGCTAGAAACAACATTCTATCATATGTTCCGTTATATTTTCTCTTTGATTTTCCAAACCTTTTGCGCTCATCATTCTAATCCACACAACAAGTTTACATCAATGAAACTTTCAAGCACAAACAACAGGTTTACATCAAATTAAGATTACAAATCATTTGACCTGTGCAGAGACCCATTTCGTGTCCGGGTTTGGGTTCTTGGGGAATCCTTTTCGAAGCCAAACTCGACCTTCGTGAAGGCGAGAGAGCAAGAACCAATTCACGAGGAAGAAGAAACCCAAAATCCCTATTACGCCGATGGCTGTTTTAGCCGTCGTTTGCTCGTACCAAACTCGGATTAATCTCTTCCTCTTCCCTCGCTTAATCGTTTGTTTCGGATTCAGGTCTCCGGACAAACGGGTCGGGCCGAGACCTCCGTAGACACAAAGATCAGGTGACTCGGGTCTCTCTTCGTCAGGTGTCTCTTGTCCCATTCTTTCCTGGTCTTTCTCTCTCCTCTTGTCTCTGAATCGACAAAAGGAGAGAGAGAGAGAGAGAGAGACTAAACTGAAGGATGAAAGAAATTGCTATAAATAAGAGCGCGAAAGCTTTGCCGAGTTTAACGAAGCTACTTAGAGAGAGATTGTCTGAATTTCAGTCGGTCTATTATTTCTTCGTTGGAAATTTTGAAACATCGTTAAAAAAAAAAAAAAAAATTTGAAACATCGTTAATCTTTTTTTTGGGGTCGAACAACATCGTTAATGTTTAAATCCTTCGTTTTACTGCAGTGTAACTTTACTTTTAGACCCATGTTTTAAACTATATTCATGTTTTCTCCCTATGATTTAGCTAATGAGTTTATAACTTTTGACAAAGATTAAAATCTTTGATTTCTCAACTTAAGTTCTTGATTATTTTTATACAACATTTACACCAATGATCGACTATTATGTCACTATAATGTTTGGTGTATTTGTCTAATCAGCAACCATTTTGCTTTCATATTTTATATTTCTTTAAGACATAAATTAGACTCTAGTATTATAATAGTATTGATAAATAAACGTAAAATACATTAAACCGTGAATAGATCAAGGGTTTGCTCTTTTAAAAAAAAGGATAGTAGATCATGGGTTTATTTTTAAAACTTAAAAAAAAAAAAAAACTGGGTATTGGACCCAGGCAGTCGCCCCACTCGCCATGGGTTAGACCGTGGGCTGCGGATAATCACAAGACTATTATTGAGCGCCGAGTTCGAGAAGTAGAGTGTGGCTGAGAGCATCTGAACCAGGTCCACTGAATTGGATCGGACCTGCAAATCAAATAACATTTCGGCAAATAGGACGATGAGAACCAGAAACAATGATTGCAATGTTTAAAGCAACAACAACAAAAATTAACGAACCAGGGCTGATGTATCGGTTTTTCAAGGCCCATTCCTCACGCAGCGATGCGAATTTCTTAAACGGCGCACCTGCAGATTCCCAAAAAACACTTAGTATGACCATTCAACGGACGCAACAAAAACTATGGGAAGCAAAAAAGGGAATCAAAAGGTCACCTTCAAGTTCCACCATTGCTTTCTTGATCACAGGCTTGAATTTACCTGCAAGTTGAAATCAACTTGGGTTTTTTAATATCTAGATTTTCAATGTGTCTTATGTAAACTTTATTGATTTAGTTATGTACGCACCGTGTCGCCTTTCGACATCCATCAAGGCCGTGAGAGCAGTCCCACCTACAGTCCATTCTTCCACAGGTGCAGCCAAGTTCCCGACCTGCGCCCAATAAGTTACTCATCTCATTCTAAGCACAACCAAGTTTACCAAACGCTGTTATTGATCAACAGAGAGAAAACTAAGTTTGAGTGGAAATGTTTGGAGTACAAACCGAAGAAATCAGTCCGGTTTTCCCACTGTTGAGGAGTACTCCAGCGCCATAACCAAGTGCATAACAGTAGGTGGCATCAAAATTTGTAGGCAAACCGCATCTTCCTTCATACCTGTATGAATGTCGATAAAAACAACAAATCCAGCTTGTTTTCTTTACATCAATATATAAGCAATGAATTATGATGGTACTACATATAGCAATTTTGTTTGTTCATTGGAAGAACAGAATGAGAAAAAATAATACCCGAAGAAATGAGACTGCCCCATGAATTGTCCCTTGTACGCACCAACTTGCTTTCTTTTCTCCAACTCAGTTTCAACCATTTGGATAAGCATCTTCTCAGTCTCAATCTTGGCCACCTATCAAGATGAAGGACATTTTATTATTTGATAATCCATGAGAGATAAAGCTATCTCAATCTTGGTGGAAATTTAGTATGAGGAAAAAGGACAATGATCATTTACCTGGACATTTCCGTGTGGGTCTCTCTCAAGCATCAGCTGTTCCTGAATCGCTTCAGGCAGAAGATCAAACAGCTTCAGGGATTGCTCGGTGAGCTTCTTCTTCCACAGTCCATTTTCATCAACAACCTCATTTGCCAGAATTTCATTCAGTTCTGCAATCAGCCCCTGGACCTGAGGAGTCATAAAATAATAATAATGATCAATTAAGAAGAACATTCATATTAATTGAGTTGAAAGTGGTAAATTCTGGGTTCTGCAGCAGAAACACACCTCTGGAATAAAATCGATCAGACCTTCTGGAATCAATATGACACCATAGTTGTACCCAAGTTCAGCACGTTTGCAGATGACATCTACCATGTAGTCCGTGACATTCTTCAAAGTCTGCTTCTGGGCAGACACCTGCACAAGGGTATTTCCAAATCAAAGCTAAGTATATATAGACTGATCTAGGGAGACGTGTGGGAGGTCACTCTGAACCAATAACACATCAAAATAGATTATTTGCTTCAATGGACAAATGTCACTCTGATATGTAGGCTAATTCTACCATATATTAGATTCATATTTGGGGTAATTTGAAGTCAAACAAGAACATACCTCTTCTCCAATAATCGTTATGTTTGGGTGAGTTTGTAAAGCACACTCAAGCGTAATGTGGGAAGCAGCACGACCCATAAGTCGTACAACTGCAATGAAAATGTGATACAACATTGCGGGCATCAGCAAACAAATAGGGCAAAAACAAAAATGATGCAACTTCAAGAATTTCTGTTTACCCAACTACTTACAATGGTAGTACTTTCCAGTTGACCTTGCATCAATCATGACATTTCCAATCATCTCAGAGTATATCTGCATAAGCATCAGAATGGTTTCAACATATTTCTAGAGTACACACGGAGGAAAGTCCAGATCAAAATTGATCTAAACGGAAGCTCACCTTGCAAGCTGTATCAAACCCAAAACTAGTAGGAACCTCTTTGCATTTCAAATCACCATCAATGGTCTTGGGGCACCCAATGACTCGGGTTTTCAAGTTCTTACTCCTAATTACACAAGTGACGAGACAAAAATAAGTCAAATGCTGAATCAGCAAAGCATTAAAGATTCTGTTCGCGTGGATATTTAAGAACAACAAGTTTAGACTAAGATATGTAAAAGTTTTAGCAACAAACATAAACAGAATCAACTGCAAGGTTTACCTGAAGTTTTCAGCAAGGAGGCAAGCATTGGTGTTGGAGTCATCTCCACCGATAACCACCAATCCATCCAAATCTAGCTTCTTCGCTGTTTCTTCAGCTTGTTTAAACTGCATATGTGAGCCAATTCAAATTAGCCACCGAATGAAATAGAGACTTTGGAAGCAAGAATAAATTTCTTTAAAACTACAAAAAAAAAGAGTATTCAACCTGCTCAGGAGTTTCAATCTTGTCTCTTCCACTGCAGATCATGTCAAAACCTCCCTGTTGAAACCGAAAGAGAATTATAACCAAGACGACATGAAACACAAGCGTATTCAACCAAGGACTCATGCTCCACTAGATGCGGATCAAAGTGTAAATTTCGGGTTTAGTACTTGAATGAAGACCGAAGTGATGATGTACTTCTAAAATCCCAATTAATCACAAAGCTTGTAGTAAGGATCCATAAACCATCTAGTACAATTACCTGGTTCCTGTAAGGATGAATGTATTCTGCATTCAACTCGACATATTTGCACTTCATGATACCAGCTGGACCACCCTTGAACCCGTAGAATGTGCTTCCTTTCGCACGCTCCTGCAAGTAATCTAAAGCCGAGAGCAAAAATTACAAATCAAGAGTGGACAAAGCATCATTTGACATATAAAGTTAAAACCTTACCGAACAAGCCAGAGATGACATTGTGTCCACCAGGTGCCTGACCTCCGGAGAGAACAACACCGATCTTCAGTTTCTGTCCGGATGAAGGTGCACTCTGATCTGGAACAACTGATACAGATGGCTGGCCATATAGACCGGGAAACAACTTCGCAATCTCATCTGCAATCATAGAAAGCAACACTAAATCCTCCGAGACTCTGACGAAGTCTATAAACCACAGATCTAAAAGAGAATTTCTCAGACTCCTCGAAAACCGCTGCTACCATACTTAAACATAATCACGATTAAACTAATCAAATCGAACTCGATTTAGCCTCACAACTCACAGAGTTCCTCGATCTTCTCACCAAAACTAATACAAGATCTAGAGTTGTAACAGATCAGGCAAGGTAATACACAAACAAATCCAAATCGAAAAATCATCAGATCAGACGGAGAAATCCCAATCCCGAGACCTCACCTGGATTCCCGGCGGCGGAACTAGCGGGACCTTCGACGATTTTGAAAGCTCCTTTCAGTACAGAAGGCAAAGGAAGAGGGTTGTTAATTCGGCTTGACTGAACTTCACTGTACACGGAAGCACGTCCTTTCGCCGGAGCATTATCCGGAGATCCGACGGTGAGATCTCGATTAACGGCAAGAGCAGGGGCCATTGCTTACGTTTCACCTAACTCGCTTCTCTTCCCTTGCTTGTTTCGAACCTAACTTCCCTCCTTTAGTCAGCGTCAATGGAGTTCACTTCGAGGTCTCCGCTTTGGGGTTGGTGTGAATATATAGTCTGACCCAATTGACTCATCCTACAAGGCAAAGGGTATTTTGGAGATATCGTGTATCGGCCCAATAATATAATTATCCGTGGGCCGAACTATTTGGGCCTTTATCGACATTCAAACTTGAGCTTTAAAATCCTACGGGCTACAGATGATAAAAACTAAAAAATCAAAAGAAAAATAAATTAGTGTTTCTTGTTTCGTAAGTAACTAAGTTAAAATAGGGATTGACTGTGGACAGTGGACAAGAATATAAAGCCCTATATGGTACAATTATAAATAGCATTACGTAATTTAAAGGTACTTTATTTCTTGTTACCAAAGTTATTTATTACATACGCACGTGTATATTACAGCTTTTACTCTAGTTCTTTCGAAACTCACCACTCAATATTTTATGTTAATCAGACGAGATATAGGTTACTCCCTCTATTTCATTATAGTTGATTTTCTAGGTTTTTTTTTGTTTCATAATATTTGATTTCTTACATCTAATTAATGCATATCTTTTCTTTAAATTAAATGAATAATATTAATGATTGCTTCCATTAATGCACAATTAAAAAAGAAAAAATAATAATAAAAATAATAAAATTAGTTGTAAAAATAACTTAATTAACAAAAATAAACAGTAAATAATTGAACATTTATAACTTTCTTAATTTGTGTGTAAATATTCAGAAAATCAACAATAGAGAGTATTTTTTACGTTTACGCTTCTTTATAATCGATCGATATAATATTATCATGTGTAAATACAACTTCTATACGTAACGCAAATAAACAATCGGTGGCCGGGGCCAGATAGTCTCACATTTCTATTTGATTCGCGTTTGATCTGACAGAAGCTAAAATAGTGTGATTTATACGTGCCTTTTCATAGCATATAAGGATTTGAATTGTGTTCTTGATATTGGCGGATGTGTTTTTATCGTACGACAATCAATCGTACATACAATACACCTTTTGTTATATTTTTGTGACATTCTCGAATATTTTCTTTTCTTCTAGTGTTCCACTTTTTAATCTAAGAAGTATCATACATGAACCATACTTTGTTAATTCGGTAACTTGTGTGTGTATGAAACACAATTTTATGACATAATGTTCATAAAATCGAATAAAACCGGAGTTAATCTTTATAATTGAACACAATTCGATTTCTTCATTTTTTTCAACATTAGTTTTTACATTTTAGAATGAACAGTAAATGACTACCATGATGGCTTTACGGACAATAGATGTCCACATCATGATTAACTCTGAAGACTTTTGAACGTTTTCATTTAGAATATTTATAAATTCACTAGTACGGTTGGTAAGATATAACGAATACATGCATCGTGAATTCGTGTTTCATACGACGACGCACACATGCGTAGACACACAAACAAAAGAACCACGTACAATGTATTTGATTTTTTGCTTTTGTTTTTGTTTTTATAAGAAAACAATGTATTTGATTATGATGTAATTATTGTGATATATAAAGAAAAAAGCATTAGTGTAATTTTTGTTTAAAACAAGATATGCAAGTTAACCTTACTTTCACCAAAAAGTCAATACATGCAAATGCAATAACAAGAAGAAGACTCAAATTTTAACAAAAAAAAAAAAGAAGAAGACTCAAATTATAGAGCCTCAACCGTTCATCCCCTCAATTAATGTGTTTCCTTTTGAAAATATTCCATTAGCTGTAAAAGCAAATTTGTAACTTCTATTTTTCTGTAAAAGCTTTATAAGTATTAACCATTATTTAAAAAATAGACAAACAGAGTTTAGCAAAATAATAATAATAATAATAATGATATTAATAATAAGATTAAACGATATCAGATTTTCATCTATTTTGTGATATGATGGATTGTTAGTTTGTTACCAACTCATGAAGCTCGATTTAGAAGAATATACAGCATAATTTATAAGATTTTATGAGTTAGTAGTTCTTATAGTTCTTATAAAAAAATGAGTTATTAGTTTTTTTTTCGCAGGTCACCATTATGGCATTATATATCTCAACAACCATGCTAAGATTACCAAAGGAAAAGCAGGTAGCAGTAGCCACCGACCGAATGTCTTCCTTCTTTTTGTGTTGTCAAAGTATTGCACAAGATACGATTTTATTTCTATTACAAATTTTTTATTCCATTTGTTCAGAATTATTTGATGTTTTAGAAGGTTTTTTGTTCAGAATTATTTGATGTTTTCAATGCAAAATGTAATGAATTTTTATAGTTTTTGACCTTTTATATTCTGTAGATTGTCTTATTATTGGCTGAATGATATTTAAATGAATTATAAATAATATTTTTAGTATAGGAAAAATAAAAATTAAATGAATTATTAAACTGTGTGCAAAAACCTTAAACATCAAATAATTTTGAACAGAGGGAGTATTAATTAAGATCGATTTATCTTCTTGTTACTATTACAACTTGGAATTAATTAATAACATTCTGTCTTACTTTTAATTTTGTGACGACTTCTGAATTGTGATATACTTTAATTAGAATTTCGGGGGCATTATTTGATAAAGCAAAAGAGAAAGTACTAGTATCACTTCAAACTTATTTTTATTTTCTTACTTCTTAGTGAGTTTGGGAATATTCTATAACTTTGATATATAATATATATAATATGTTTATTGTTTGCTATACCAGACATCCGATTAGAGATTTGATTGATTTGTTGAAAGTATGAAGGTATCCAAAGATCACTTATTGTAATTAGGTGGCCAAGGCCAGCCGATGTTATCGAACAAACAACCTTATAAATGATAAAGTTTGACAAAAAAAATATATGATCAGGTTTATCTACTTTCTTCCCAAAATTAACCAAGTTTATTTGTAATTCAAAGGACAAAATAAATGATCAAGTTTGACAAAAAAAATGATCAGGCTGATTTCAATTATTCCCAAAATTAAACAATTTCATTTGAAATCAGAGGACCAAAATCATTAAAATGAAGGTTATAGTTTAATCCATGAATTAAATGATAAACTGAGTTTTACTATCTTGATTTTTTTTTATTTACTCAATTACATTTAAAATTAAGATTTATGGTTTGTAATTTCCACAATTCATGAAAAAAAAACATTATTACACCGCAAATTTCAGTTATGTTTAAGAATAATAATCAGTTCATCGTTTCATTGTAATTTTTTAGTAGTACTAAGTCAAGACCTATTTACCAACATCCATAACAAGAAAGTAAGTAATCGAGCGATTTATCAGGCATGCAACTCTTATATAAAATACTAAAATAGCGGTTTTCAGCTTTTCTTTACATAAAATATCGGAGAGTTGCTATTGTACTTTAATAGAATATGATCCTTTCTGATCTGTTGACAGTATAAAATATTTTTAAAAAACTCACTAGAAATGTTGGTTGCATCCTCGACTATTCTGCAAAATAACTCATCGAGTATTACAAGTTGCTACGAATAATTATTTGTATTTTATTTATATATGTACAGTGTACGCTTATACTATATTATTTTGTAATAGCTTACATATTCTTTAACCATAACGATTCAAATAAGTAACAAGATAATAAAAGTTTTATGATTCTTCAAAATAAACATATACATTGATAACTAGATAATCAAAGTCAGCTTATTTATTTATGTTTTTGTTAAAAATTTATTGTTAATTCGAATTTGTATAATACACATCATTTTCCGAATCATTCTTTTGCATATAATGACTCCGCAAAGCACCAGATAACAAGTATTCTAGTATTTCTTTGATTTGTAACAAACCATAAACAACTTAACGTGTAAAGAAGCGAAAGAAAAACCAATAATAGCAGAGAAATAGAGGTCGAAATGGAAAACAAATCCAAACTTCTCCCTTCTCAAAACTCAAACGAAAGATAGGAGGGTCCCACCAATTATGTGAACACACACTCATATACAGCTTCCACAAACTCCTTTTCTTTTATTCTAAGAAAAAAAATATATTTAGTAACTTTATCTGAATGACACAATTATATAATCTTATGATACTTACTCTATCGTTTTACATAGTATTATTGTATTTTTATTTTTTGAAAAAAAGATATTTGTTTTACTATTTGCGCCTATAAATAGCGACCCTCTCGCAATTCATAAACTCACATTTGACTTTAACATCATCAAAAACACTAAGTTGCCAATAGAGTTTACATAGAGAGGTCCAGAGTGATGGAGAAGATCATTAAGTTTCCGGTTGTAGACTTGTCTAAGCTCAATGGTGAAGAGAGAGACCAAACCATGGCTTTGATCGACGATGCTTGTCAAAACTGGGGCTTCTTTGAGGTTATCTTGTCTCTCTTCTCTAGTTCTTTCTTTTTTGTTTTCTAAAATATGAAATACCTAAATCTTAGTATAAGTTTATTATTATATAGTTATTAATAAATTCTAGAGTTTTGTAATTTCAGCTGGTTAACCATGGAGTACCATATGACCTGATGGACAACATTGAGAGGATGACAAAGGAGCACTACAAGAAATTTATGGAGCGAAAGTTTAAGGAAATGCTTCGTTCCAAAGGTTTAGATACTCTCAAGACCGAAGTCGAAGATGTCGATTGGGAAAGCACTTTCTATCTTCACCATCTCCCTCAGTCTAATCTCTACGACATCCCTAATATGTCAGACGAATACCGGTACACACACACACCAAGAAAAATTGATTCAGACTTAAATCACATTTCACAATCTTAGAAAAATCATTAACGTTGCTTCCATGTGTCTTAACAGGACGGCTATGAAGGATTTTGGGAAGAGGATAGAGAATCTAGCAGAAGAACTGTTGAATTTGTTGTGTGAGAACCTCGGGTTAGAGAAAGGGTACCTGAAGAAGGTGTTTCAGGGGACAAAGGGTCCAACTTTTGGGACAAAGGTTAGCAACTATCCACCATGTCCTAAACCGGAGATGATCAAAGGGCTCAGGGCTCACACAGATGCAGGAGGTCTCATACTGCTATTTCAAGATGATAAGGTCAGTGGTCTTCAGCTTCTTAAAGATGGTGATTGGGTTGATGTTCCTCCTCTCAAGCACTCCATTGTCATCAACCTTGGTGACCAACTTGAGGTACAATACGTAATCCGGTTATTTGTTTGGTTTAATCACGGTTAAATGATACTGGGGGAAGCATTATACGTTATAACCGAATAAACATGTATTGGTTTACGTTTAACCGGATTATCTTCTTGATTGAATGTGGATAGGTGATAACCAACGGCAAGTACAAGAGCATAATGCATCGTGTAATGACCCAAAAAGAAGGAAACAGGATGTCTATTGCGTCGTTCTACAACCCAGCAAGCGATGCCAAGATCTCTCCGGCACCTTCTCTTGCGGCTAAAGACTCGGAATACCCGAGTTTTGTGTTTGACGACTACATGAAGCTCTATGCCGGACTCAAGTTTCAGCCCAAAGAGCCACGGTTTGAGGCGATGAAGGATGGTGCAGGAACCACAGATTTGAATCCGACGGTCACAGTCGAGACATACTAAATAAATGTCGGATTTTCTATGAAGGAAAAAAGATATGAGAAGACAACAAAGTGGGTTTGATATGTGTGGTAAAGTCAATAAGTATTGGTGTTACTGGTAGTAGAAGTGATTAGCTGTAATCACTGATGAATCTGGTGTGTTAAGTGTGGGAGTGTTTATGCAATAATTAGTGTGGTACTAATAATCAGAACTCGTTTTTATCATTAATATCTATAAGATTTGACTATAAATTTTTATAACATATCAATCAATATTCAGAGAAGAAAGACTCGTTGAATTTCAACTCGCATTATATCAGAAACTTTTGATCATTAGATAAGTAAGTTCCAAAAAGTCACACAAAACAAAAGTAAATAAGGCTCACACACAATTAAAACTTAATTAGACAAACCAATTCAATCGAAATCATCAAAAGGTTCCAGCTTATCCAATGAGCGCAGAAACATACCTCACAGGCTAGAATTGCTTTTTCCAATCTACAGCCATTGATCATGTATTCATGTTGCTAGAATTGCTTGGTTTAGCTCTTGAGATCGATCAGGTTTCACTTGATAAGGGTTTCACGATTCGCTAACCTTCTTCTCTTCTCCTTCCGCAGCTGCTTTGTTGGAACAATGGTTCTCCACAACAGTCGATATATCAGTTTCAGAAGCACCAGCAAGTTTGAATCTTTCAACTGCTGAGTCAAGATTTTTCTTCCAACCGGTTAAACCGATTTTGCTTTCCACTTGTGATCTTTCAAAAAGCATGTTTCCCCAAAACAGATGGATCTGTGATCTCATGGCAATCGCTTGCTCTGCTGCTTCCGCTGCTGTAACAGCTTCCGAAGCCTCGCCGTCTGTTCCGTCCCCTTGTTTCTTTCTCCTCTTCGAAACTTCCTCTTTCTTGTTCGAATTTGGGTTCTTCAAATCATTCATCCTCTGTTCTTCAAGCTTTTCCCACATCTCAGTCGCGGCTTTCATCTTCTCTTCTGCACTATCAAAAAGCTTTAATGTCTCTGCTGAATCCCAATCCGACAAATCTATCTTCTGAGCCAATGCGAAAGACCAATGTAGCTTTGCCATCTCGAACTGCTGTTGTCCTAAAGCGAGCAAACCCTCATAGAAGTCGGGTTTGATTGATAAAGCCTGCTCATACTTTTCTTTAGCAAGAGTGTATCTCTCTTTCACCCACTCATAAGCAGTCTGAAGCTGTCCTGCAACAGTTTCCTTGTCGGCAGATTCTTCCAACGGAATCCGCTTCCTAGCAGCGCACATGTGCACATTACCCCAGTTGAAGAAAGCCAAAGCAGCCACTTCTTGGAATTTTGCAGCAGCCTTGTCAAAAAGAGGCTGAGCTTCTTCACTGGTGACTGTTTCTTCTAGCGCTTCCGAGCAAAGCTCCATCCCAAGCTCGTGCAAATCGACATGAGCATCAGGGTCAATCCCCACATGAGACCGGAAAAGCTGAGCAAAGTCAAATAACCAATCATCCATCTCCAATTCCTTCATCTCCGGATCTTCAGAAGAAGACGCCTTCTCTTTATCCGACTTCTCATTGATGATCTCTGTCTCGGATACTGATTCGCTTGGAGATGTTCGGATTTCTTCTTCAACAGGCTTCTCTTCCACTTCTTCCTCCTCTTCTTCCTCGGGCAAAGGTGGCTCCTGCTCAGGACTTACATCAACAACATGCAACCTCAACATCCCGACAGAATCAGATTTATCAGATTCAGGTTCCTTTGTCAGAAGACCATCAGCAGCAGATTCTGCCAATCGTAGTTCAGCAGTGGAGGTTACAGTTACCAAATCTCCGTCATTGTCCTTATACTTTATCAACACTGACTTGGACGATGGAAAACGACTCCTCACAATCTCCCTCAATACCTTAAACCCACAATTCACCGGCATCTGACCCAACCTTATATCATGGTCATAAACAAATTTCAATGGCCTCCACCTAGTTCTCTTCTCTTGAGCCAGAGCTACCACAGACGAAGACTGCTCTGCCTTCGCCGAACCTTTCAAAGAATCATTCAATGGCTTCAACACAATTTTCGGCATCTGGGTCTTGCTTTCAGTGCCATTTTCTGTTACCGGATTCATCTGTTGCCGTTCGACCTTATTGCTGGTGGTACTAACAGGCAATGAAAGAGACCCAACATGTGAAGAAGAAGAAGAAGAAGAAGCTACCTTTTTGTGGACTGGTCGAGAAGGCAAACAAGGACCAAGTCCATTAACCGGACCACCCAAAGCTGCCGAAGCACCAAGAGCCGCTGGTGAAGGCCGGCTCTGAGGACCTGAACCAGCCATCATTAACCGCCTCGACATTTCCGTAGCGTCCTTGTGATTCGGGTCAGTCTCCAATAACAGATTCACATCTTGCAAAGCCAATTCATACTTCCCAACAGCTTCAAGAGCTCGAGCTCTTCTAAGAAGTGCTCGAGAGAACCCAGGCTGTACCTTAAGCGCCATTGAACATTCAGCGATTACGTTATCGTAATCGATAGGCTTCATCTGGATCAAACAAGCCGCGCGGTTGCTGTGAAACACGGCTCTGTCTGGGTGGTTCTTCGGGATGAGCTTAAGCGCATTAGCGTATTGCTCGAGAGCGCCTTGGAAATCCTTGCCTTGGAACTTCTTGTTCCCTTCTTCCTTGAGCTCGTGAGCACGTTTTAAGAAGATTGAAGCGTCGAAATCAACACCGCCATTAACGATTGGCTGCTTCGCGGTGTTTTCAGAAGGATTGACCTGGTTCGAACCACCACCACCACCACTCTTCTTCTTCCTCCCTCCAGATTTCCCCATATCAATCTCCCTCACTACCCGATTGAAACCTCAATTTTGAGATAGAAGTAATGAAAAAATATGAATCGAAAATGGAGGAAGCTAGAAAAATAAATTAGGAAGTTGTCGATATTGGAAAACCCTAAATAAGATTTTAACACATCTCAGAATGGCAAGATCATTTTTCAGCCGTTGGATTCTTTTTCGGACCAGCGTTTACATTTTACTTTAGTCAAACCATTCGAATAAGCTAGTTGGGCTTATATTATTTCGGGCCAAAGGCCCAATAAAATATATTTTTTGTGTGTTCGAGAGTTTCTAGGGCATCACTCTGTATCACAATATAAATACACCTCTTGACACTTGATCGCTAATTTACGGCACCGGTGATAATCACAATGAATTTTTTTCTCAGTTTTTTATAGTTTGATTATGATTTCTTAATTTCAATATATTTTTCATGATTGGATTTTGAACGAAAATCTCGTGGTTCTTAAAATCGGGCAAGAGAGAGTACGGTGTCTCTGAGTCCTTATTGAACCGGCGAGAGAAATCGATCTTGCCGAGATATCGTTTCAGTCGTCCTTTGTTTTGGTTGGCGATCTGATTGTTGCTCGTCCACATCTTTTCTCATCTTTATTTTTTAAAGCTTTTTTTAATCGGGAAAATGCGTATGATGAGTATCAATATCATTATTTCTTCACTTTGATCCGATTGGATATTTAGTTATCCATGTGGACAATATTCTGATGACTGACGCATTCACCTTTCTAAGATCTTCCTGTTTTTTCAAGGATTAATCGGCTATGTATTAGTTAATGCTGTTAAGTTTGGAAAATTTGAATACAATGGGTTTATATTTATAAATTTACCACTCTACTCAGTAATTCGAATGCTCATAGTAATGATGAGATTTGTGTCGACTGATGGAACTCTAAATTTGAAATAGATTTGAGCAGTGAAATCGTCATCATCAAATAGTACTAAATTTAAAATAGAGTTTTAGAAGCTTTAATCTAACTCGATTATTTAAGAACATTGGCAGGAGAAAATTGTGAGAACTGTGCCGCAAATTAGTTATACATAAGTAATCCTACGTAAGTTCATCATACATATGAATTCAGTCTGTGCAATAAATATTTTTTTTCCTGATTAAAAGTTGTGAACATTGATTTTATGAATATTTGAAATCAAACAATATTTTTAGCATAAATTATATAAATAATAATGTCAAAAGAAAAATAAAATAAATTGTTAATAAGCCATGTAGATGGGCCTCTAGACTTATATCATATCAAAAATTGTGATACATTTCCGTTTTACAGACGGCCCATTCCGTTTTGTTTTGATGCAGAAAAAGGGGTGAGATCGAGTTTTCCCCCAATTTGTCATTTTTCGTTGGACCTTTTGAACTGCGATCACTTCTGAAAAACAGAATTACTCAATTGTTAGACATTTATATAACCTTTTTTCCAGAAAAAAACATTACTGAATTTTGTTTGAATCTTTTGTATTTGGTTTGGGTGATGGAAATAATAATTAAAAGTCGTAATGTTAAGTCAATATTAGACTATAGTTCGTATACTAATGTTGAGTGGCTTATTTATGTTTTAAGTTCTTAAACTTTTGTAACAGTTTAGACACAAATTAAAATTACGAACACGCGGAACACCACACAGAAAGAGTCAAAGACGTTGCGTTGACTTTATAGTCCAAACTCCAAACTATTGAAACAAAACCTCTCAAACACGCCTCCTCAGTCGTGAAAACATATATCTTTTCTTCTGACATTGGTATTATCTGATAACACTAAAAAAAGCATAGAAAAAAACATCAATATGACTAATGACATCTTTCCTCTGACATTATGGATCAAGTACAGTAAAGGGTGAAGTAAAATCATAATAGTTATTAGATATGTAAATCATGTTAATAATTTGATTTATTCAGAATATATTGTCTAGACTCCAAGTTATATTTTAGAAACAAGTCGACTAGATATGACTTATGAGGGATACGTTGTTAGTAATATTTAGAAACAAATATAAATAGTAAACCACATCAACAAAAATTCTCTACCGAATAAACACCAAAAAAATACTTATATTCTATCGGTTCAAACAAAAATACTTTTTCTTGTGCGGAGAAATGTGTGAGTAAAAAGTGTTACACCGAGACGAGAGCCATTCTGTCTCCACTTTCTTTATTTATTTGTGAAACCCAATGTTCGAATATCCGCATTTCTAGGATGTAGTTCTCTCGTTTTGTCTGATAAACAAAAGAAAATGAATTATTTATTTTATTGTAGTTACAAACCATAACCCGAGAGACAAGAATGATGATCAGATCACTTTTGATTACTTTAGCTAATTTAAGCTTTTGCATTGGATTGTTCTTTGCATATGGTTTTACTTTTAATAATGTACCTGTAATCATGTTCCGTGTGAATGCTGCGGCTGACAATGTCCTACCGATCCAACAAACATTTTTACTGCACGTTTATAACTCTTGCATGGTTCACAACGTATTTGTTTAGAATTTGGAATTGCATTTGAAGAAAGTAAAAGAGGACAACAAAAATGTATGGTAGATGTGGGAAATGGGTCCGGATTTTCTCCCTGGTTGCAAGAAACCCCAAACAACAAACAAACACCATAAATCAGAACTATGATTTACCTAAACAAAATAGATGTTTAACTGAAAATTAGAATAAAACCTGGATATTAATAGTAACCAGCTGATATTGTTGAAAAGGAATTCGAGTAGCATAACGTTTGGGGAAAAAGAATTCATTTTTCAAAAATATAGGGCGGATTCCCATGTGTATATTTTTTTATCTAATACAAGAACTTGACAAACTATATATATCTTATCTTACCTCAAATAATGTAGTCCGAATTAAATGGATAATAGTCTACTAAGAGAATTATACAATCTAATAAGAACGGAAAATTGAGATTTCTAGCCCAACTCGATTGAAATGTATACAAAATAATTCGGAAGTGGTTATTTCTTTTTGTATTCCATTATCAGCTTACGAAATCGAGGTTTATAGTTTATTGGGACCCTAGTTTATTCTCTAAACTTTAGACTTTACGCTTTGATGAAAGGGATCCAGATTGAGTGACCCGCAAAGGGCAAAAATGTACAGATAAATAATGTGACAACAACAATTCATGGAAAGCATAAAAATGGCTGTGGTGGTGGGCAGCACAACAGATATCGTTGGACCCGAAATTATATTTTTATAGTCTATGCATGTTTATCTATTACATTTTATAAATCAATGTTCTAGTAAAAGCCTCTATCAACGTATCCTAGTAAAAGACTACAGATAATCAATTACATATGTCTAGCTAGTATCTTGGAACTAGGAAGTAACAATTCTACTTTGTATCCCTGCTCAATACTTTAGAATTAATCTTAGCGGTAAGAAAATAATAGTTTATGCAAACTTGAGCATTTGTGTATTTCTTATACTTTGTGGTCACACCATTATAGCTAAAACGCATTTTTGTATACTAATTTTTTGATATAATCAAGATGTTATAAATACAATGATATATTTTTGTCCCACTATAGTACAATTAATGCATACACATGAAAACTATTGGGTAATCAAACATCTAGGGCTAGAAAGATCCAAGTGAATAAACAAAACATTTCTGGCTTTTTATTTCCTTGAAGAAATTTTCTCGTCAAAATTTTCTTATCCCCAAACACCAAAAACTTTCTCACCAATGAAACTCACAAATCTCCTAACGGACCCTTTCTCCTCCTCCACCTCCTCCGCCTCGTCACCAACGTCTCCGGTACGGAACTCTGCCGTCGATTCCAAACCGCCGTTGCAACCACCACTATCATCACCCAACTCGCTCGAACTCGAACACGGATACGGACTCGTAATTGACTCACCGAGTGGACTCGGAATCACCGAGTCATCCGTACAGAAGCTAGAACCAGCGAGAGCTGAAGGTTTCACTGAACGCTTTCTCCGATCTTTCTTCCCATTTATGCTCTTCTTCTTCGTCTGTTTCTTCTCCTTCTCCAAGCTGTCTTCGAAAGCGTCGATGATTTCGTGAATCAGCTGGCGACTCGGCGACGAGTCCCATCTGACCCAGTAACTCGTGTAGCAGCTGAAACAGTCGCAAGTGAAGAGAGGTGAGTGGTTGTTGTCGAAATGAGACTTTTTGTGGGGTTTGGTCTTATTCAGGCGAGAGGTAGGGTTTCGGTCTCCGGAGTAAGAGGCGGTTGATATGAGGTAAGCCAGAACTTCACGGTCTTCCGGCGAGAGAACCGCCGCTAGTGAGAAGATGGCGACGGGAAGGAGAGGGAGAAGATGGTCACCGGACTTTACCTGCGGCGATGGGTGTACGGTTCCTTTCTTGTAGAGCTTCTTCATTGTTTCTTGTGGAAGAGAGAGAATTACAGAGAGAGAGAGAGAGAGACTTTCTTGTATAAAAAGATGTTATCGAGACTTTAAATACCGAAAGGTTAATTAGGTTTTTTGTTTGCTTCATTCCTATTTTTTTATTATAGTTTTTCAGAGATCTTAGTCTATGGAGTTAGCCTAAAATACATTTAATGGTCTAGTTAAACATGTTTAGTATATATATATCGATTCTTTTTCTCAATTACTAACCGAAAGAAACATTTTTAGTACATAATTACAATAATCTTTATTTCACAAAGATCCTTTGGCTTTGGATGTATGCTTTTGTTTTTGGATGTATATTCTACTTTCATGATATATGTTTAAATTAAACTTATAAAATGCTGAATAATTGGTTGACGAGAAAGTGTTTGACGGTTTGCTACACCATATGGTCAAGCAGTTGCTAAAGTGCCATCATTTGTTTATATTCAATATTCAATCGGCATTCACATCATCAACGTCTAATACTTTTAACTTATAAAGTTCGAGTAGTGTATAGTGGTGCTTGCAAATTGCAATCCGTCACTCCATTCTACAGTTAGTGTGCAGCAGTTAAAAATGTAAAAATATTAAAATGTTAAGTTGGGATGACTAAAGTACTAAACATAGATATACGTTTACATAGTTTAAACATTTAATCGGAAGTACAAAGTCTTTGGGCCATTAATATAACGGGCCTAAATTAAAAAAGCCCATGTTGCAAACCAAACCAATCACTATACCCCAAAACTCATCTACATTTACAAAATAATAATTATCAATTATCAACTCATACTTTATTCTATGACAACTACAACCCCAGCCCACCTCCGTTGAAAGCCATCGTAAGATGGCTAACCTTTAAATCATTCATCTTCCTCTCCACCTCCTTAAAACCACCGTTATACGTCGCCGTTTTAACCACTTCCTCAAACCCCACGCGCGGTCCACAGTCACAGCTCTTAAAGCTAGTAACCACTTCATTAGAGGTTCGTTTATAGTGACCGAACCACTTGGCTTGCAAATAACCGTTCCTCCTCCATGGTGGCACGTCAATCCCCGCTCGCCTCATCGACCGTCTTATCTCAAAGCACATGATCCTCACAAGCTGCTTCAGCTCCTCGGGTGTTCCAACAAAGACACGCGGCAGTTGAGCTAAGAGAGAAAGGTATCTTGTCGTAGGCCGAGCAATCTCGAATTCTCCGGCAAGATTTGTCTCGACGATAAAACGGTTCTTATCTTCTCCGTTTACGTCAACGTACTCATACCTCCCGGGCGTGTTCTTACCAAATCTCTCCCACCGGGATTTGCATAGACCTATTCATAGATTCATCTTCTCATTTTAGGGTATACACATTTAAATCCCACCAAATATTTATGGCATTACACGCACAAATACAAAAACCTTTAAAATCTTAGAAGATCCTGCAGAGATCCAAGCTAGTACTTTATTTTTAGGTTAAATCGATCCAACATAATTATCATCATAACCTTACTAACCACTTTATTAGAGTTTCGTCTAGCTAGTATACATAAATTCATCTTTCAATTTCAGTATTTGCACATTTAAATCCCAAAAGTCTTATAATGATATATACTTTGATAAATATGCTACAAAAATACATCAATATTATCTCACACAATTTCAGATACTCGAGCATTGCGTAACAACATTCACATCTATATCCTAATGTGATGAGTTATACGGAAAGAAATACACTAGCCAAGAACTCTCTACAAAGAATCAAGCGACCAATCTCAAAGCTCAAATTATATGTTATCCACTTGACAAAAGCAGTTTTAAACTTCACGATCAAATTTGTTTCTCAATCATTATTTCTGTAAGCACGCGTCCTAAACCAAACATTCCTTTGTAAAGGCTTAGTTTTCAATAGATTACCTAACAAAAAAAAAAAAAAATCAAATGGCCGAACCTAGGCGATTAAAAAGAGAGCTTAAGGCTTACAAGAATTAATCAATACTCAAACTTATTTCTCAAAACGGATTTGAGCTACATATTTCAGCTTATATTAAACAAACTTCACCAATCTCCCACCAAAATCAATCACAAACAAATGTAGTTTCCTATAAACATAGCGTACTCGAAACTTAGAAAGCATTGTTAATTATTACCTGCGTCAAAACCCTTGTTACGTAGGAAAGCCATCATGTGGCGTTTCTCTCCGACGAAACCACTTGCCTTTACCGCCTCTTCCATTATTCTCCGCCGCTCTTTGCCTCCGGGATTTTCCAAAATCTCCCTTAACCTCTCTTTAACATCTTCGTAATCCTCTTCATCAACGTCCGATTTATCCTCGTCGTTATCTTCTTCAGGAACCTTTTCTGGTAAGACTCTCACTTCTCTGTCGATAAATGATTCGACCAGATCCCAAAGATCCGCTGTGTCCTCCGGAGAGTGATCGCTTCCGCTGCTGCTGTCGCACGGTGGACGTGCACGCGCCGCCGCAACGTCAAAAGCCGCCGCTGTTTGGTTAAATCTTCCCGGAATCTCTATCATTTTATTGCTTTTTTATTTTCTGATTTCTCTTCTCTTCGGTTCTGCGAATTGTGGTATATATATACATGAATAATACATTTAGTGATGTTTTCATTGTGTTGACAAACACTCTTGACTCTTTTTTTTTGACGGAGTAAACGACAAAATGGTAAATAATGACAACAGGATGGTGAAATGATGGTGAAAAGGGGATTAACGGCGTTTTGTTTAACGGAGAAACTCTGAACCCGTTTTAGTTAATTACAGTTTTGGGATGTGCTGGCTTTTTAGATTCTCAATTGTTACCGCCATAGCGTCCACATACATTCGATTTAAAACGAATAATATTTATCAAATCAAACTAACTAAACATGAATGTTAGTCAATAAATAGTATAGTCAATTCACTGAATTGTTCTAGTTTGGGAAAAGAGATTCACGGTTCTACGTGCTAGAAATTCCACTTTTACCAAAAGAAAAGAGTTATTCTCTCTTTTGAACATTAATTTTACATTTTTTCAGATTCAGAAGCATATTCTACAGTAATTTATTTACAAAAAAAAAAATCGGTAAACGGACGTCAATATATTAACGTCCGTGATAAAGTTTTATCCAATGCCAGTTGCTGACATGGAGTAAAAACAGACAGGTCACGTACGGGTACACAGTAGCGCGTGGACACACGCACCAAAAGCAAGTTAAAATGTAGTTGCCACGTGAGAAACTGTGGTTAGATCTTTCAACTTCTATTTATTTCACTTCGCTAGATTTGTTCACTGGATTGTGTGATATCTTCTTCTGACGCGGAAACCAGAAATAGTGTAAACTCAATATACGTCCACGTTCATCGAATCTGAAAAGCTGACTAGATTCAACGTATCTAAGGTTTCCCTTGTTCTTAGTTTTTTTTCAGTTTAAAAAGTTTATGTTGGTCATGAAATAGGTTTCGAATATATTATTGTTAATTTGTCACTGGTTATGCTTATCGCTTAATTCGGTCGGGTAGAGGCTTATCCATTACACGTGACGTGATGGTTCTGATTTATTTTTATAAAAACTTTCAAAGTATCATGCGCATTAAAACATTAATCATCCAAATGTTTTTATGGGCTTATTGGTAACTAAAACTTGGGCCGATCTTTAAAGCCCAAGTGAATCCGAAACATGTAAGAGGCACGGAGAATTTGCCCGGACGGCTTGAGACTTTTGCCGGCGAAGATGAAGAGACCGTGAGGTTTTCTTCTCCGGGAGTCAATAAGACGACGAATTGTTCTTCCAGAAAATAAATCCCCACCTACTTTTCATCTTCCTCCTCTCCGTCCAGCCATGGCGCCGCTGAATCCACTAAAACCCAACGTACGCCGATTTCTTCAGTTCGCGGGATCTCCGATTCTGCTGCGATACTCTAAGACTCCAATGGCCTCCTTCAGGTCCGGAAACTTTCCCTTTTTATTCGGATGTTTGAAGCGAATGTCGAGTAGCTTTCGTGGTTATAGATAATATAATCCTGCTAGCTTCGTCCCTAGGAGTATCACTATCAGTGTAATATGCTTGAACACTATGATCAATAATTATATGTGGAACTAGTGGTTTGTTCTAAATTTAGTGCCACAAATCAACTATCTTCCTTTGTAGAACTCGAAATCCTTCTCTGTTGTTAATGGCCGAGTAGTTCTTAATTATGTACTCTTAAGCAATTTCCATTTACAGTGACTGGATTTATGCAGATTCTGAGTTATGAATACAGAGATCCATTTGATTGTATTTTTATACACGATGACAAGATAGCTTGTCTGTTCAAAGGTTGTGTTCTCTCGTGATTCCTGATTTGCTGTTAACATAGCTTCGATTTTGAGCTTGAGACTGGCAACAATCAGTTTGGCTTAAAGGCTATGGCCTTCTAATGTAGCATGTAATCTTTCCTTGAGGACACTAATTGATCATGATATTCATGTACAGGGATTATGGTGCCATGGTTGCTCTCTTTATCATCATTTTCCCTAATTTCATCTTACCTTGATCATAATTGGCTGAGTTTATAAAATGTTGGATGCTAATGTTCTAGCTAGAGAGAGTCTAGGACAATAAGAATTTCAACTTGTATTAGTAGTTTTTTTTTTTTTCAATCCTTAAATAATGTCCTAGAGAGTATTGAGATTATCCTTCAATTCCACAGGCTTGATAATTTGAAGTTTGTTTTTGTTAGTCATTGTGTGCGTTCATTAATATTGTAAATGGTCTGCTCTGTTATATGGACTTTGCATCGCCTTGGATCAATCTATAGAGCATGCAAAATACTTGAATATGAGCTTTGCTTAATTAAACAGCCGACATAGCTTACGACAGAATAAACAATGGAAACAAATAGTTTAGGATCATGCTGTTCAGAATATTCTACAAACCCAAAAAGAGATATCGACCTTGAGTGTATGCTTGTTGCTCATAGTTGAAGACTTACCAACTGTTGAACAACTCTTAATCATAGGATTGAACTCGGTATGTTCGTTGAAAGATCTAAGGAATGATGATAGATATACACGTTTTGTGACAGACATGCGTCCAAGTTTTGATCCATTTGGTCGTGCGTGCAGGTTTGTCTTTCTTTGACCGCTTCTATTCCATAGATCGTGCATTATTGTCGTTTTGAGTTGCAAACATTTTTAAATCTATATTTTATATGATTAAACGTTGACGGCCAAAGTAATTATTATTCTTTATCATCAAAGATTCTCTTGGAACGTGCATCCAAGTTTGAGGAAATCAGTGACGATGGTTTCATCTCCGCGCAAAGGTCAGCTCTTTTTGTCTTCTCTACGTTTTCCTCAACGTGTTAACATGTCACTAATTGACGAATTCAGTAAAAAAAAAAAAGAGGAAAATTAGAGAGAGAGAACGAGATACGACTTTGGAGTTTCAAAACTGTTTTATAAAGATGGAACACATAGAGATATTAGATGTCACAAGTAGTAAAAGTGGGTTTCTTGACCCATAAAAATGTTGTTCCCTCCTCTTCGTCTCTTCTTCTCTCTCTTCCTATTGCTCTCCTCCGTTTGTCTCTTACAGATCAAAGCTAATCCCGACGATGAAAGCGGCTTGGGCAGTCATATAAAAGTAGACCCGAAACTCAAGTTCGAGAACCCGAAGCTACGTGACGCATACATTGCTCTCCAATCATGGAAACAAGCAATCTTTTCTGACCCTTTCAACTTCACAGCCAATTGGAATGGGTCAGATGTTTGCTCCTACAATGGTATCTACTGTGCTCCTTCTCCTGATTCATACGGGAAAACCAGAGTCGTTGCAGGCATTGACCTCAACCATGCCGACATGGCTGGTTACTTGCCTTCCGAGCTTGGTCTCCTCTGTGATCTCGCTCTGTTCCACCTTAACTCAAACCGTTTCTGCGGTGAAGTCCCTCTCACGTTCAATCGCATGAAGCTTCTCCACGAGCTTGATCTTAGCAACAACCGATTCGTCGGTAAGTTCCCTAACGTTGTCCTCTCGTTGCCTTCCCTCAAGTTCTTGGATCTCCGCTTCAACGAGTTCGAAGGCAAGATCCCGGCGAAGCTCTTCGACAGAAAGCTCGACGCTATATTCTTGAACCATAACAGGTTCCGGTTTGGAATTCCTGAGAACATGGGGAACTCTCCGGTTTCTGCTCTGGTTCTTGCAGACAACGATCTCGGAGGATGCATCCCGGGAAGTATCGGTCAAATGGGGAAGACACTCAACGAGCTTATCCTCTCCAACGATAACTTAACCGGTTGTTTACCTCCTCAGATTGGAAACCTCAAGAATGTGACGGTTTTCGACATCAGTTCGAACCGTTTACGTGGTATGTTACCGTCTAGCATCGGCAACATGAAGAGCCTAGAAGAGCTTCACGTGGCTAACAATGGCTTTGCAGGAGTCATTCCTCCAAGTATCTGCCAGCTTCCTAACCTTGAGAACTTCACCTACTTTTCCAACTTCTTCACCGGGCGTGCTCCTATATGTGCAGCTCTAACGGTAGCCGACGCTGCGGTGAATGGCTCCATGAACTGTATTACCGGTATGGCTCGTCAAAGATCGGCTAAAGAGTGTTTATCTCTGCTCGCTCGTCCTGTTGATTGCAGTAAGTTTGGATGTTACAACATCTTCTCTCCACCACCACCGACGTTCAAGATGGCACCCGCCGTCCGGAGACTTCCTCCACCAGTTTACGTTTACAGTTCGCCACCACCACCGTCCTCTAAGATGTCGCCTACCGTCAGATCATACTCTCCACCACCACCTACATCCAAGATGTCGCCTACCGTTCGAGCTTACCCTCCACCACCACCACCATCACCATCTCCACCTCCGCCTTACGTATACTCATCTCCTCCGCCTCCGCCTTATGTATACTCATCTCCTCCACCTCCGCCTTATGTATACTCATCTCCTCCACCTCCGCCTTACGTATACTCATCTCCTCCACCTCCACCTTATGTATACTCATCTCCACCTCCACCTCCTCCAAGTCCACCGCCGTGTCCTGAATCATCTCCGCCACCGCCTGTCGTATACTACGCACCCGTAACTCAAAGCCCGCCACCACCAACACCGGTATACTACTCTCCGGAAACACAAAGCCCTCCACCTCCATCACCTGTTTACTATTCACCGGAAACACATAGCCCTTCACCGCCACCACCAGTATACTATCCACCGGTGACAAACAGTCCACCACCACCATCACCAGTATACTATCCGCCAGTAACACCAAGTCCACCACCACCATCACCGGTTTATTATCCGTCGGAAACACCAAGTTCTCCACCGCCATCACCGGTTTACTATCCGCAGGAAACACCAAGTCCTCCTCCACCACCGACGGAGTACTACTATTCACCAAGCCAGTCTCCGCCGCCACCAAAGGACTGCAACGACGGCCATCCTCCACAAGCATCACCAAGTTACGAACCAACTCCTGAAAATTCATACTCATCACCACCACCACCGTCTACTCCTTCCTACTCGGACACGCCTCTTCCACCGATTCCAAGTGTCTCGTATGCGTCGTCTCCTCCTCCTCTGCCGTTCTACTAGTTTCATCAGACCATTGAGAACAAATCCGTAATTGCCTTATGTTTTAACATGATGGACACGCGAGAACTACGTACTCACAATGACATTCTTTTGCCTGCGAGACTCAATTTGTGTGTTTGGTTGATTAAAAAAAAAAACATTCGAGTTATTTTTTTTACTATATTTTTATTTGGATATTTTGTTTCTTTTTTGTTTTGGTTTTTCCCTAACGCAGAGCTGCATCAGCAGCAATGGAGTACATAGTTTCAGTTTATCTGTCTGTCACCATCTTATATGTATTTCTTGTTATTAAAATGTTCTGTAAAAATAATAACTTTAAAATATACACTCCTCATTTTCACAAACTACTCTTAAAATAAAAATTGAATAATTTAACTGAAACTGGTAATCTTTGTAAATGTAAAGATGACGTCAACTTCTCAGTCATCATCCCAAGAACGGCAGCTAACAAATAATCCAAACCTACCACCTCGAAACAACTGTCCTCTCTCTCTATCTCTCTGTACTCGAATTTGTGGTTAGCTTTGGAAACTTCGCCGGCGAATCATAAGTCTTCGTTTTCAGTCTCTTTATCTTCCATGGCGTTGCTGAAGTCCTTCGTCGATGTTAGCCCAGACTCGCACTTTCCTATCCAGAACCTCCCTTATGGTGTCTTTAAGCCGGAATCGAACTCCACTCCCCGTCCTGGCGTCGCTATCGGCGATCTCGTCCTGGACCTCTCCGTGATCTCCGAAGCTGGGCTTCTCGATGGTCCGATCCTTAAGAACGCCGATTGCTTCCTTCAGGTTCGTTTTTCAATTCCTATCAACTCTGATACTGCCCTGAGAACTTAGCCACAGGTGATTTCATATAGGAGATTTGAATCTGATATTTTCTGAAGCCTGCTCTGTATTGCGTCACCGACCAGTAATCCTCTTCACAGATTATTTTACTGAATAAGTCAAATCCAGATTAGCGCGAAGAAATTCTGCTGTTATATTCAATTACTTACAGTTTTGAGTTTTCTGTTGACTGGTTTGACCTTTTGCCAACCATGATTTTGGGTTTGATGCGATTTCCCCGTTGCTTTATGATCAAATGGTGTATTTGATTGCTCACACTTAGTGACAAGACTAATTGTGTTCTGAATGGGCTGTTTTAATCTTTGCGATCTGAGGACCATAAGGTTCTGTTTTTGCTATTAATTTTCAATTTCTGTGCTCTGTTTACAGCCTAATCTGAATAAGTTCTTGGCCATGGGACGGCCTGCATGGAAGGAAGCGCGTTCTACGCTTCAAAGGCTCTTGTCATGTAAGCTTGGTTCGATCCTATCGTTTCATTCGGATTATGCGGAGTTTTGTTATTTGAGCTCAAGGTTTTGGTTTTGGTATGCTCTGATGCAGCTAATGAACCCACCCTACGAGATAATGATGTTTTGAGGAGAAAGTCATTCTGTGAGATGGTTAGTAGTCTGAAGAAATTGTGTTCCTGAAAACAGGTCAGATATATCGAATATGTTACTGATTTTCGTCGTTGTATGGTGCAACCTGCAGAATAAAGTGGAAATGGTTCTTCCTATGGTGATTGGCGACTATACAGACTTCTTTGCATCCATGCATCACGCCAAGAACTGCGGGCTTATGTTTCGTGGGCCTCAGAATGCGATAAACCCTAATTGGTACATTTTGATGTTACTTTTCAGCTGAGGGTTTCTTGGTGAATTGGTTAAATCGAAATGCTGAATATGAAAATCTGCATGATATTACCATGTTTATCAGGTTTCGTCTTCCCATTGCATATCATGGACGGGCATCATCTATTGTCATCTCGGGGACTGACATTATTCGGCCAAGGTTAGGTTTTTATGAATACATATCATATTTGAAAGTCATGCATCATACAAGGTTTTGTGCTTTGGCAAGAAATAGAATTGTTCTTAATTTTGTCAGTGTTTTATAATATATCCTCACGTTGCAACCAATTTTGGAGGATAGAAAGATTTCATGTAAACAAATTGATAAATTGCTAATTCCAGTTTTATCTTTGCTTGTTTTGCTTTCTCCCAGAGGCCAGAGCCATCCTCAAGGAGACTCTGCACCATATTTTGGACCTTCAAAAAAACTTGATTTTGAGCTTGAAATGGTAAGCATCCGATGCCTCAATTACGTGGATTTTTTTCTTAAATGATTTGATTGAGCATAACACCATTGACATCTTCACAATTAATTCAACCTCTTCTGCCATGTCATGTGATATTCAGGCTGCCGTGGTTGGTCCAGGAAATGAATTGGGAAAGCCTATTGACGTGAATAATGCAGCCGATCATATATTTGGTCTTGTACTGATGAATGACTGGAGTGGTACTCACTTTATTACAGTTTTCTTTGAATCATCTTTACCCTGACCGTGGGTGACCGGTTTTATGAATTTCCCGTTGTTATAGCTAGGGATATTCAGGCGTGGGAGTACGTGCCTCTTGGGCCTTTCCTAGGAAAGAGTTTTGGTGAGGAATTTGTTTTCAAGTGTGATCTTTGGCTTCAAAACTTCGATTTCATATCCACTAGTAGGAGTGTTTGAGCAAAGAACTTCAATGGATGTTGTTTTGTTGTGTCGTAGGGACTACGGTATCCCCTTGGATTGTTACCTTGGATGCACTTGAACCTTTCGGTTGTCAAGCTCCCAAGCAGGTTGGTACTTAGGCGTCACATTCTTTCACGAAACCATTGATTCTCTGATCTAACTTATGCTTCTTGCAGTATCCACCTCCATTGCCATATTTGGCTGAGAAAGAATCTGTAAATTACGATATCTCCTTGGAGGTAGCATTCCATATTACTTGTGGAGTTTAATTATATCACTATCAACTTATGGTAGATTGAACCGAATTAAACATCATGTTTTTTTGCTCTTAAATGTAGGTTCAACTTAAACCTTCTGGCAAAGATGATTCTAGTGTTATAACAAAGAGCAACTTCCAAAATTTGTGAGTTCCTTTTCAAGTTATAATCTCTTACCCAACTTCTCCGTATAGGTAACCAGTTTGCTTCCAACTCTTTAAACTATTTTTCCGACAGATATTGGACCATAACGCAGCAGCTAGCACACCATACCGTTAACGGTTGCAACTTGAGGCCTGGTGATCTCCTTGGTACCGGAACCATAAGCGGACCCGTAAACTCTTCTTAACCGGTTCTCTCATCTACTTTATCATGTGATGGTTAAAAAAAATAAAACACGAAGGATTGCTGGCTCTTAATTCTAAACGCAGGAGCCAGATTCATATGGGTGTCTACTCGAGCTAACTTGGAATGGACAAAAGCCTCTATCACTGAACGGAACGAGTCAGACGTTTCTGCAAGACGGAGACCAACTGACCTTCTCAGGTGTTTGCAAGGTAGTGTTTTGTATCAGCTAACTAACACAGATTCTGCTTGGTTTGTGTCTATTATTTTCCCAACAATTCTAGGTGATAACCAATTTGTCTTATTTCGGTTTACGCTTGTTAATCAAATGACGGTTATGGTTAAACCGGTGTAGGGAGATGGCTACAATGTCGGGTTTGGAACATGCACAGGGAAAATTGTACCTTCACTGCCTTAATGAGCTTTGGCGGGTAATGTACCTTTGATAATTTAGTCACATTTTCAAAATTTCCTTCTCTGTAATATAACCGTGAGATATAGACGACAAAAATGTTGTTTTATTTTCTGTTTCACTCAACAATTATTTTTTCTTTATTTGCAGGAAAAAATCGCTTTATCTCCATATTCACGATTACGCACTTGGGGTATGAATATGATTAAGTAGATAACCCCTATCCGATTAAAATAAGCCATCTCGATATTTGGTGTAATATGTCACTGAATCTTTTATAAAGAAGACAATGGAATTTGGAAACTTTCTATATAAAAGCGATTATCATCGAGTGTGAATGGGTCCTTTAGCAACGGTCGGTCGTTTGGACATAAACTTTCAATAATTGATCTTTAGAAATTAATTGTGAGTGTTGACAAAAAAACAAGTAAAAGAAATTACTGGGGAGTTTAACAACATTCACGAGTTATATATATGAGTCGATAACGACCACCATCAGAAAATTTATCATCCATATAAAAAAAGTAAAGAGAAAAAAAAATGAAAAGTTCAAGGAAATTCTCATCGTCGGCGACAACCACCGTTATCCACACTTCCTATAATGACCTTATTACCCCTCCGTCAACTATAGAAATCCCGATTGAAGTCCCAACTCCGGCGGCGAAATCCGCCGTCCAGACTAACGCCTCCACCGCAGCGCGGATCCAGTCTGGCTACCGTTCTTACAGGATCCGAGGTCTCTACAAGACAATCTCGTCCGTCAATCGGGAAGCGAATCGTGTACAGAGCATGATCCAACGGCAGGAAACGGTAGACGCCATTAGAAGCGACGAGAAGGAACGGCTGAGGATGAACGAGACTGTGATGTCTCTGCTTCTGAAACTCGACTCCGTCCCTGGTTTAGATCCGACGATCAGAGAAGCTCGGAGGAAAGTGAGCCGTAAGATCGTAGGGATGCAGGAAATAATCGATTCAATCTCGGAGACCAAAGACGAGAATCAGTGGTGGTCTAACTACGATCTCGGAGTCGACGTCGGACAAGGCGGCGCGTGGCCTCTGTATTGGGAAGAAGCGGTGGAGGAAGAGATGTGTAGAGACAGAGGCGGTGAAGAAATGGAGAGATTCTGTGCTCAGTATTTGGGTTTCAGATGTTTCCAGAGATTTCTCAGAGAATGACGGCGGTCAATTTTCCGGCGTACGATAGATTTTATCTTTCCTTTCGCTTTGTTTTTAATCCTTTTATGATCCGTTAAATTTACCACCGTCCTTTAAGTAAGTACGCAAACGCAATACGCGCCGTCTTGCACCCATGAAAACGTCATGTAGTTTTTATATACAGCAGCTAGGAGTCATTTCAATAATAGTGTCCCAAAAACTCAAATTTGGGTCCATATTAATTTTAAAACTAATTTATCGTTGAACAGTCATATACTAGCAAAATTAATATAAAGGTGTACATGACATTTCCATAAGTACTTTGGGTTCCTTGATTTTTAAAGTTTTTTTCGGATAACAGCATGCAATATGCAGAATTAATTTATACTTAAATGATAATATAACTGATCTTAACATAATGACGTATTGACGCTACTAACACAAATTATTAGCTTACATATTTTAGTTGTTTCTTAGTTGCCATAGTTTTTCCTCACAAATCCTCCTTGGAATACGTATTTTAGTTGTTTCTTAGTTGCCATAGTTTTTCCTCACAAATACTCCTTGGAGTATAATTTTGAAACTTTTTTTTCCTTGGAATACGTATAGTTTCTTTTTCTAATCGGATCGAGATCACTAACACGTCTGACCAACAAAAAAATAAGCGAGTTTACTAACACTGGTTACTATATACTGTATCTCCTAGTATGTGATTATTTGTGAACTATACTTAGCACTCAACATACATATATATATAACGAAACACAGATACAACATTTTATACTTTCATATTATTTTAAAATCAAGAGAGCACTAAGTCGATGTTTGTTCCTAAGCCGCACAACTACACTTACACCTCGAAACGCAGCGTTTACACTCCACCAGCGAGGGCTTGGCGACGGTGTCGCATCCGCATGAGGTGGTGCATTTCCTCTGAGACACACCGCCCCAAAGGCAACGAGCCATGCATCGGAGTATCGGCACGCACTTAGGACAGACGTATTTCATTTGCTCCTCCATGCATGTCTTGCAGCTGGTTTTTGAAGGCGGATGTCGGCAGACACCACCAGAGGCGGCTCTCGAAATTGATAGGAGGAGTGTGAAGACGATTATGAGGAAGACGAGAGAAGAGAAGAGGGTTTGAAACTTGTAGGTCTTCTTCATGATGAAATTTGGTTTTGGTTTGTGGAAGTGGAAATTTGTATCTTTGAATGTGTTATTGGCTTTATTTAAATAGAGGTTTTGTCATGATATACGAAGTCATTTCTGCTTATATGGTCATTCTCTAGTGACTTCCACAACAGTTAAGACGGGATTCATAGTGTAGTGCACCAAGATGCATTTATGTAAACGCATTCATTGTTCTTGAAGTGTACAATTTCCTTAAATGCTTTTTTTTGTTTAATTTCCATAGATGCTCTTTTCTACTACCATCTTTTTAATTATTTCATCAATATAAATAATATATATATATACCTTTTTCGGGAAGAATCATCCGAAAAAGTGACAGGAAGAGACCATATGAACAAACATTAAATTAAAGAGCCAATAAGAAGCTGACAAAAAAAAAGAAACAATAATGAATAAATAGAATATTTTTCTCTTCTTTTTTTTTTTTGAGAAATCTCCCATTAACTTTTGTGATGGATTAACATTAATCCAAAAAAAACTTATGTGATGGATCACAGCCAATTCTTGCGAATGTCGAAGGTGTAGTTGTTCTCCAAGTAGCACTTATTATCGTCATCGACGAACTGAAAAGCAGTTATAAGACAATATATATGTCATTGATTTAACCATTGCACTAAAAATAGTATAAGTAATAATAATTTTGTTCAAAACCCCTTTTCAAAACAAACAATTCGACAAATTATTGGCAAACTGAAGATGATTTTCGTAAACTCTTTAAAGTGTTTCATAAATCATTGCAACCTCTTGTAGCTATCAAGAGAGAAAAAAAAATGCTACATTGTTTTTATCGACTATTTTCCAAATAAACTTTATGAAGATATGATTATAAACTACCACAGAATTGGAAATCGTATTTATGAATGTTTGACAAAATAAAAGTTGTATGGAAATAATTAAGGACCTTTTTTGGCTTAGAAAAATAAAATATAAAAACGTGAATTCAGAGCTGTACTTGAGATTTCTCTAAAAAAAATTGGCCTTTAAAACTTTTCTTAATGCAGCTTAGTCTATAAATAATTGGCAAAAAAGAAGAAAAAATGACATATATGCGTTTGGGAAGAGTTGAACCCAGGCAAACCTTTAACTAAACATGTTTTCACCTATCACAAACCACTTGGACTAACTCCAATTCTGGAAAATTGGCCCAAACAAAATATTTAACTCCTCCGGCCCTGAAGCACATGCTTCGTTAGTCTGTGCTCAGGCACGGCTATGAATAGAGTATATGCATGACTTTGGTTTTTGGTACCTTAGACTTAACGGAATAGGAGCCTCTAACAAGCATACCAGACGGCGTTGATTCTTCAAACATGACATGGTTATATGGTTCCGCCTGGGGACTAAACGTTCCTAACATCTCCTTTCTACTATACACTGCTCTCAACAAAAGAGTTTAAAAAAATTAGAGAAAAACCTAAATGTGCTTAATTTGTGGTACACGAATGCGTGAAAATAAAAAAGTATTATACCCTTGAGTCCGGTTTTCCAAACCGTATTGCTGTACCGGAGGCCGGACACAATGTTGTTGGTCACACGGAAGGTAAATACAAGAGTGTACTTAGAACCTTCTTTGAGAGTAAACCATGGTCCTTTTGATGTTGGTTTTCCGTTTTCGGGGACCGTCAATACCATATCTTCTCTATCTGGTGACCTAATTGTTAAGGTCAATATCTTTACCACCGGATCCGGAGTCTCTGTAGTATGTACATTTTGTTACTTTATGATCAAAAACATCACATATATATATACATTACATTATAAAAATAAAATAGAATAAAAAGTAAAAGAGACCATTCAATGTGGGCTTGTTAAGTGAATTCGAACCGAACAACTTATCCTTACTCAGTGGCGGAGCCACAAATTTTCTTCACTAGGGGCATCAATGGAACATACATAACTTTATGAATGGAGGCGTTAATAAATTACTTTATAAATTGCATCATTTTATAAAATTTACTGGGGCATATGACCCAACCTAAACTATGTGGCTCCGCCACTGCCCTTACTGTTGCAAGTCTATATAATGACTTTTTGTATTCTAGCACGATTTTTTATTTTATTTTTATGTATGGTTGCTTGGTCTGATGTAACTTTACGACTTTACGTTACTTCACTCTAAAAGATTAGACGCGATTTTTTTTTTCCTTAACATTACCTAGAAATATCACACATGAGGCTAGAGACATCTGGAATTTGGGACGAATTACAATTTTTATTAATGAATATCTCTAAACCGGGTTTATTTGCTATTAAACCGTAAATCTAAACCGGGTTTTGAAATTTCGTTTACCTCCAACCTCCTCAAGATCCACGCTGCCTAGAAGTTGTTCTTTCCATCTCCTCAAGCTTTCATCATCCTAAACAATTTTTGTAATTGTAAGTGATTAGATTGTCGTGTGAATTTGAAAAGCAAATTCACCCATTAAATTATAAATCAAATATATAGCATTATAAAGAAAAAAAATATAACATTTGTGGATTACAATAGCGAAAATGCTATTATGTTATATAAAATTTATCCAAACAGAACAAGAGAGATCAACACCTTGTCTTTCTCGAGCTGTTCTTTGAGTGCGATCATGGGACCAAGTTCAAGCTTCTTGTCTTCATCTTCTTCATCATCATCTGTGGGACACAAAGAGCTGTGGCTGTTCTTTCTGCTTAACGTCCCTTGTCCCTTTGGCTGATCTTCTACAGTCTCGTCAGCTTTCTTCTCCTCATCTTTCAAACCCATCTTTGTTTTTCTGATCTCTACTTCTTCGATCTCTGGTTTAATTCGGATCCTAGAAAATCTCCACCGTTGGATTTGATTCGATATGACTTCCTGGAGATGGTTATGCCACCGAGTTTAATGAGGAGACGACAATAAACTCTTCAAAAAAGGGAGTCAATAACAAACAAAAAGAGAAATGATAAAGAGATTTAAATTAAATGGTTTGTTTTTGGTCAAAAGGATTAGAAGAAATTAACAAGAAGAAAAAGAAAGAGACCTAAAAGACAGTGAAAGAGAAAGATTTGGTGTCTGTTTGAGGAATGTTTAAATATGGATTTTAGCCACAAAAAAATGTTTAAATATGGAGTTCGAGAGGTCATGTGGTAATCCTTGATTAAGACTTGCACACTTCCCGTTCTTATGATTTTTTTTTCTAAAAATAAATGCTACAGTATAATATGCATATGTGATGTACGTACATCTGAATACATGCATGCACGTACATCTCGAGATACGCATTCACGTCATGACTCATGAGGTTGGTCTAATAGAGAAAAAAAACAGTGAAGTTACCAAAATGTTGGTAGCTCAACATATTAGAGAGTAATATTTGACTAGTTCTAATATATCGACAAAAATTGTGTTGTGTTTCGGAAAACAAAAGATATTGTGTTGTGTTTTTTTATCGTGGATCTTTTTATTTGTGTTGTAAACCCAGCAATGAGACGGGCAAACCTTGTGTCGGTGGAGAAAAATTGGTTTAGAGTCAAATGTCATGAAAGAAGAGAAATATTATTGGACTATGAAGTTAGGCCACGACCCTAACTCTAAAGTTCATAACGGCCCGTTAATTTAACCTTCACCACTATCTAAGAGAACTGTAAACACTGAAAAACAACCAAAAATAATAATGAAAATTTTAATTTTAGCTGGAGTCAATAATAAGAATTGGATTTTTTGAAATTTAAATTTGTCCTAGACAATCATAGAGCAGATCTATTCTGGTTTTAAGTTTTTTTTGGGGCATGACTCGATCAGACTTCAAAATACTCAGTATAACTAATTTTTATTATTCGTCCATGTTTTTATCTCTATTTTAAAATTTTATGCACTCATGATTTAATATCGATCGTTAAATTGAATTCAAATCCATTCTAAAAGTATTTATTAAAATCGGATCTAGATCAAGAACGAGCACACTCAATTGTACTACATGCAGGTTTGATATTCTTAGGTCATGTCCATTAATGAACCCTTCTTAATTTATCAGATATTAATTTTTTTTTTCTTTTTTTTAATTCAAAAATTAAAAAAAAAAATTTCGCTATTTTGCCACCTAAACGAACCTGAACGAACCTGGGGTCTTCAGGGTTGTCCTGAAGACTCGAGTCTTACATTTTGGACTTTTTTTTTATTTTTAATCACATTTGCATATGTATTCGAGCCTAAAAATGGGAATACCCTCCAATGAACATGCTCTTATCGCCTCTATATTATAAAATTACCATCTCGATATCGGTATATAGCAAACCAAAATTATTCTGACCAAAGCAAAGTCAGGACAAAAGCGCTAGTTCGGGTTAGGCAAAATCGGACTTTTGACACTTCTGAATGTCAGCACTTCTGAATGTTTCCCTAGTTTTTTTTTTTAATTTAATAAGAAACCCCATAAAAGTTCATCACCGTCAAGCCCCCAAGTGCCAACAACGATTTGGCTACAAAGAGATTATTCAGAGATTATTCTGAAACCAACCTACAATACGAATCCTCTACTCTCAGATTTTAAATACCCTTTCCAAATCAATGGCGTCAAATCAAAAGTATACAGATATTCTATGGACATATATCGTTCAGTTTGTTAGGCTTTAGCGTTACACATGTTCAAGACATGGGACACTTATCATAATTGGGACACCTTTAGTGCGTTATTTATAACCTTTTCAGATCTACATTATAATTATATATCAATCACGTCGAAAAAGTATCTATTAATTATTAAGTTAGACTGGAGGGTAAGGGATATGAGAAATCAAGAACAAGAGTTTGGAAATTGTTCTCCTTATTATTCACAGACCTAAAAGCCTTGTATTTATACTATTACATATGTCCATAAAGGATGAAACCAAATCTAGAGAATATAGAAATATGCCTATTTACAAGATATACGATCATATCTAAATATACGTCTAATACCCCCCCTCAAGTTGGAGCATACAAGTCACGAATGCCCAACTTGTAAAGAAAGATATCGAACTCTTTACGTCCTAACGCCTTAGTCAAAATGTCGGCCAATTGCTCTGATGAAGAAACATGAGCTGTCACAATGGTGCCTAGGACGATTTCATCACGAATAAAATGGCAATCCACCTCAACGTGTTTAGTTCTTTCATGAAACACTGGATTGGCACTAAGATGCAACGCGGATTGATTGTCACATCGTAGTGTCATAGGATCATTATGTGAAATGCCAAAATCGAGTAGTAAAGCTTTAATCCACTTCAACTCACGAAGAACTTCAGTCATTGCGCGATATTCCGCTTCGGTAGAAGACAAAGAAACCACCTCCTGTTTCTTAGTTTTCCAAGAAATAATAGAAGAGCCAAGTTGAACTATCCAACCCGTCACTGAACGGCGTGTCAGAGGACAACCGGCGTAATCTGAGTCGCACCAACCGGTGATATGAAAGGAAGAGCCTGACCACAGCATAACACCTTGGCCAAGAGTTCCCTTTAAATATCGTACCACATGTAACGCAGCCTCCCAATGTTCTTGTCGAGGAGACTGCATAAACTGAGTAAGGGTATGTATCGCATAAGAGAGATCTGGTCGAGTCGCAGAGAGGTAAACAAGACGTCCCACAAGTCGTCTATATCACTCCGGGTCAGAAAGCAATGCACCTGTAGCCAAAGCCAAGCGATGCTTCTGATCGATCGGAAAACCTGCTGGTTTACATCCCAACATACCAGCTTCAGTAACAATGTCAGTGCAGTATTTGCGTTGACACAGATAGAATCCATCAGCATTTCGAGCCACTTCCAACCCCAAAAAATATTTGAGAAACCCAAGATCCTTCATATGAAAACAAGTAGAGAGATAGGACTTGAATTTTCCAATAAATATTGAGGAATTCCCTGATATAATTAGATCGTCGACGTAGACCAGAACCCGAAGTGTGTCGCCATCCTTTGAGTATACGAACAGAGAATAATCGGTGTGAGCTTGCGTGAAACCAAACGCGCGAAGTGCCATGTTAAGTTTCTTAAACCAACATCGAGGAGCCTGTTTCAGACCGTACAGGGATTTACGGAGACGACAGACCCTTGTTTCGGAGTCAGAACGAAGACCAGGCGGAAGCTTCATGTACACCTCCTCCTCAAGATCACCATGTAAGAAAGCGTTGTGGACATCCATCTGGTGAACTTCGTGGTCAAGTTTTGCTGTCATATCAAGAAAGATTCGAACAGTAGTCATCTTAGCAACAGGTGCGAAAGTCTCTCCGTAATCAACACCTTCAATTTGTTTGTTGCCAAGTACCACAAGTCGCGCCTTGTGGCGTTCGAGAGAACCGTCGGATCTGAGTTTTATTCGAAAGACCCACTTACACCCAAGAGCTTTCTTGCCTGGTGGTAAGTCTTCTAAGTCCCACGTCTTGTTCAGGTCTAACGCATGTAGTTCAGAGTTGACCGCATCGTCCCATTCTTTGTCTTTAATAGCCTCTTGATATGACCGTGGTTCCACCGCAAGAGAGAGAGCCACCATATAACTGCGATGAGACTTAGAAAATCAATCACATGTATGATAGTTGCTAATGGGATGGACCGTACCTGAGGACAATGACGAAGGTGATTCGAGAGGGTGAGTGAGGGAGACTGTATTGACGATGAATTCAGTTAGGCGTGTAGATGGTCGTTTGACACAAAAGCCGCGACCTAACTGTTCTGTAGGTACGTGATCGGGAGTGTTGGTGTCTGTCCGAGGTGACTCAATATTCGAGTCAGATGGACTAGTCGAAGAGTTCTCGTCAGCATCGGTGTTATCAGAAATCATCGGTGTAGACTCAGCTTCTGTTTGTGGAAGTATGGTCGGAGGAAGATCAGCTTCATCGGAAAAATTTGTCGGTGGAGTAATAACAGGATCAGCTGTGCTGGTGCTCTCAGGAGATTTTTCTAGTAATGGAAAAACCTCTTCCTGGAATATGACGTCTCTTGAAGTGAAGAAAATTTCTTTCTCAAGATCATAGAGGCGCCATCCTTTCTTGCCGTATGGGTAACCCACAAAAATGCAACGACGTCTTCTGGGTGCAAATTTATCCTCTTGGTGATTCAAATTGTGCGCATAACACAAGCACCCGAATGTACGGAGATGCTCGTAGCTAGGTGGTCGGTCATAAAGCAATTCAAATGGAGTCTTGTCGTGGAGAAGTTTCGATGGTGTTCGATTGATCAGGTAACATGCCGTAAGAACGCACTCAGCCCAAAATTCAATACGTAAACCAGCTTGAAAACGCAGTGCGCGTGCTACATTCAATATGTGTCGATGTTTCCTTTCAACGCGACCGTTTTGTTGTGGAGTTCCAACACATGATGTCTCATGAATGATTCCTTGTTCCCGAAAATACGTCGAAAGACACATGAATTCAGTCCCATTGTCACTCCGAAGAATCTTAATGTTTCGATCAAATTGTTTTGTAATGAGAGCTACAAACTCACGAAGACGAGATGAGACCTGAGTCTTGTCTGGTAAAAGATATAGCCAAACAGCTCGAGAGTAGTCGTCAACGATTGTCAGAAAATATCTAGAACCACAAAATGCAGAAGTACGATATGGACCTTAAAGATCACAATGAATCAACTCAAAGGAACTTGTAGCTTTATTATAACTATCAGAAAACGAGTTTCTTGTTTGCTTGGACCTCAAGCAAACATCACAATTCGAAAGACAAAGAGCAGAACTGGAATTTAGACGAACACCAGGAACTAAACTAACAACACGAGAAGACGGATGGCCGAGACGACGATGCCACAAAACACCATCTTCGCCAACACTAGTCTGAAAAGCAGTCACCGTTTCGATTCCTCGGAAGCGATACAGTCCCTCACCCTCACGTTCACCCGCACCAATCATTGTCCTCGTGATGCGGTCCTGCAAAATCACCAAACGATCAGTAACCTGTCCCACAAGGTCGTTATCAGTGACAAGTTGGCCAAAAGAAATAAGATTCGTATGAAATCCATTCACAAAGTAGACATTCTGCAGGTGTAAATGTGAAGTCAGACGAATTGTTCCTTGTTGATTTGACAAAACGTTTTCACCAGCCGGCAACTTGACCGAAACCGGATAAACAGGTCGGATATCCTCAAGAAGATCAAGACGACCCGTCATGTGGTGAGTCGCCCCTGTATCCAAGATCCACAAAGGTTCGATAGTCTTACCACTGAAACGTGTAGGGTCGGAGTTGGAGTTCTTCGGGTTAAGTAGCTTCACCAACGTTTGCCACTGTGCGTCGGTAAAACCCGTCAAGCCCTGTCTGCCAGCTTTGGTGAGAGCCATGTTTGCACCAACTTGTGCTTGAGTGCCAACCACCTGTGTCGAGTTTGCTCGAGCAGTCGTTCCTTGGCCGCCTTGAAGATTGTTTCGATTTCTGGGTCGATCTCCCCACCACTCGGGAAAACCGATCACTCTAAAGCACGAAGCCGCTTGATGTCCAATGCGTCCACAGCTGGTGCACACTGTCTTGGAATCTGGGTTGGGCGGCCGTTGACGCGAGTTACCACCGTTGCCAGATCCATTGTTTCGATTGGTGTTCGGAAAAGACATCTGTGACGATGAAGCTTGCGCAGCAAATCCCATCACCGCAGTTGTTTCCTTCTTCGCATTAAGCTGGACAGTTTCGTTTTGCACAATCATCTGATACACCGTATCAAGGTCGGGGAGAGGAATCTGTGCACAGATTTGGGACCTCACTGCACCATGTATTGCGTCATCAAGTCCGAAAAGGAAGTCGTGAACACGAATGGTGTCACGTTCCTTTTTATGAGCAGATACGAGATCACACTCGCACTTTCCACATCCGCATGTCTTGCTTGTTAAGCATTCAGCCATGGCGTCCCAAATCTTTGTCAATCTGCCGAAGTAGTCTTCAACGGAAGAGCCCGTCTGTATGCAATTCGCAAGAGCTCCACGAAGCTGTTGGAATCGTGCTCCACTCTTGAGCGCAAACCGTCTCTTGATGTGATCCCACAGATCTTTCGCCACCTCTTTGTGAGAGATGTTGGATCGGAGCTTGGGTTCGATGGTCAGTTTGATCCAGGTAACTAACAGATGGTTGTTAGCTAACCAATCCTCGAGGTCTGGGGAATCATCTGCTGGTCTCGGGATGTTCCCATCAATGAAGGCAAACTTCTTCTGAGCACTGAGAGCAACTCGAAGATTCTGTGCCCACTCATCATAGTTTCGGCCGTTAAGAAGTGGCTGAGAGATAACCGCACCAGGATTATCGCCGGTCGTCAAGTCGTATGAGGAGATGGTCCTCCTTGTCGGGGTCGCCGCAGTTACTGCAGGTGTCGCAGGAATGATCACGTTATCACCCATCGAAGTCGGAGGTCAAATTCGAAAGAAATAACCAAATCGAAAGAGAAGAAGAACAGAGTTTTAGGGTTTCAAAGTTGTGGCTCTGATACTATGAGAAATCAAGAACAAGAGTTTGGAAATTGTTCTCCTTATTATTCACAGACCTAAAAGCCTTGTATTTATACTATTACATATGTCCATCAAGGATGAAACCAAATCTAGAGAATATGGAAATATGCCCTATTTACAAGATATACGATCATATCTAAATATACGTCTAATAGGATATACCATATATATGTTTCCGGTTTTTTCCTCTATAATATCCACATCTAATGTTTCCGAACATCCATATTCTAGTTTTTGATGAAATAAATGAATGCTTTTTAATAAACCCCTTTAAAGCTTCCTAACAATTCTATTTAGATAACGATGTGAACCTAGATGTCACGATGGTGCAACGTGACCAAATTAACATTGCTGGAGCTTCAGAATAGAGTGATGCATGTATTATTGTGTTATAAGATTGTATTGTAAATTTCTCTAACCGGTCGAATTGATCTTCGCTTTTAACTTATTCCTAAGATGTTTTTCTTTTTTCTTTCTACCCGAAATTTCCAATTTTGTAAAATCATCCCTAATGCATTATTGGTGTTTTAGTTCATTTTCGGACAAAAACATACAATAATTAGGAACAAGCGAATGGATCTTAGCCATCAATCCCTTTTTACTAGCTTTTCTGCTCGCCATCTTTACAGATTGTGAGTACGTGGCCTATGGCATGTATACACATGTGAAAAGAAAACTTTTTTCCAATAATGTTAATATTAGCCTAATATTTTCGTTGTTTATTTTCCTGGGTATTGTTTTGTTTTTAATTTAAAGTGTGATTCAAAAGAAGAAATAGATTTTAGCTATTCAAGGTTAAATAAGATAGAAAATAAAACAGCTCATGAAATCTTTATTTAAGTGTGACAAAAAGTAAAAAGGGAAAAGATTAATTCATCCTAAAATGATATCATAAAAAAATGGAGAACGATAATTGCACAACTTCCTAGGTTAGTTTCATGCATATATATATATGAAATTACTTGTTAGAAAATTGTAAATACATTGATTTGTTGGCATAACAGTAGTATTGGACTGGTGTCATGTATGTTTTGATATAAGTACATTAATTATAAGAATACTATCTGAAATTTTATTTTTTTACAAATAAAATGTTATTTAAAATAATCAAGAAATATTTTATTTTATCTTACCTTCTTTTCTGTCGAATTTTTACTTTCTAAAATTTATTTTAATAGGTTTTTAGTTACTTTTTGTTTGTCAAACTTTAAATTATCCCTTGGCGTATTTGTACGAGGAGGGTCCACATTCACGAGGATCCTACCTGGCTCACACTCACCTGGGCCCGCTTTAACTTGTAGCCACGTCGTCATTAGTCAAATATGGTACCGATTTAAACAGAGCAGTAGTACTAATTAAACACGCAATTATTCTGAATTTTTTAAATAATAAAACAATTAGACCATGATTATTCAGGTTTCTTGGACCGTTTCTTATACCCAGATAATATTATTTAATTTCATTTAAAGCTCAAAAATTAGAAAAACGTCTCTAATTTGGAGACAATAAAAAACGCTTTTCAGGTCACGAGTAAGCTGCTGAGTGGACTGAAAAAAAATAGGCTGAAATTTTCATTTTTCTGTGTTCTAAACTTTTTTGTCTGTTTCTAAATTTTGTTTTTGGGAGCCACATTTTTCAGGTTTCATGCAATAATCAACCCAAAATAAAAGATTTCTACTCACAGTTTTTAAACCTAAAATATTAATTAAATATAACTTTAGAAACCCAATTCTGTCTCTACGATAATTGCTCTTAGATTATCTGATTCAACTATATATAATATATATATATATATATATATATATTCAGAGAAAATACTTTTGACTTTTTAAGTTTTTATTGACTCTAATAGTAAATATTGCATTCTAATAATCAACTATAAACTGTTAAACATGATCAAAGTGGTGGAAAGATAATTATTATATACAGTTTAAAGGCTCACCTTCATACATACTCCATATGACGTCTTTTCAATTTAATCAAAGATGATGAATCGGTAGTCAAATTTTTTTTAAAAAATATATATATATATATATATATATATATATATCAATAAGATTTATTTTTACTGAGGAGCTTGCATATTTCCATTTTTTCCTACGGAGAATTATAAATTGTATACATTTTTATAGAAAAAGCTAAATATTCTAATATTCGTTGATAGAAAGACTAAAAGGATTAATAACCATATCCAAACATAGCTTAAAATGATGTCTTGCTGTCTCTATATTACTTCACATTCACATCAATTAGAAAAAATTAAATATCGATGCTTCTTGTTAAATGAGTACAGTTAAATTTCAATGGACAGCCTAATGCAAACCACATCGAATCGACTAAGTTAAAACATGGTAGAGCTATTAGAAAGTTAATAAATCTACAACAAAAAAAACTATAGAAACTCAATCGTCACATCTAGTGAAAGTGAAAAGAATATCATCTGACTAATCAACAGAATAAAGATGCCTGCTTACGCAGGCATTAATGCAAGTTTAACTGATGGAGTTCCTAAAAGTGTTCAACGTCAACATGAGAAGTTGTAACGTTCAATTTTTATCAGATTTCAACGTTAATAACATGAAAGGTTTGTTGTCCGCTGTAACGTTCACTGAGGTCACAGAAGAAGAAAGCAAAAACTTCTCAAAATATTATATCGCATATAACTGAATTTTTGTAAAATAGAATTCGAGTTCTTAGTTGAAAAATAGATAAATTAATTTTCAAACTTGACGAGTAATGGTTAAGTGATGATATTCGACATCTATGCAGCATGAGGTGTAAAATAGTACATAGGTTTCTTTTAAATAAAGAAAAATATGCTTCCATGTGCACTATTCATCATCATGATTCTTTAATGAAAAAAGAAATTAGAAATTATTTTAAATCTATATTTTAATTAAAAACATTATTGTAAAGCACTATTCTTTAATGACATTGTAGCCTAACAAAATAGATATTATTTTTAATTTATATTTTAATAAAAAACATTATTGTAAAGCAATTGCTTCTACTATAAATAGCTCTCCTCTTGATCAAAACTCTTCACTCACCAAAGCATCACATACACTTTTGCTTCTCTTCTTATTATCTTTAAACTAATTTTCCTCTTTAGCTTTTCCATTTCGAAATGGCCACCGTTGAGGTATAACTGTATAACTTTATAAGTACTAATTTTTAACCAATTTTTTTTCTTTTTAAATCTATATCTCTACTTAAATTTTTTTTATTATTATTAGTTAGATACGATTTACGATCGAATTATCTATATAAACAATTAGCTTGTATAGATATCTTTCTCAGTATATGGCACATATATATATGCATATGTAATAATTTGCTTTTCACGGAATTTCTGTATTGACTTTGTAACCTCGAAAAAAAAAAAACAATTAGCTTACTTACAAATAAATCATATGTCTATTAATCTATTTATCACAAGCCATACAAACAACGTCATTTTGCAGGCTAAGTGAGATGGACTACTCGCCATTTAATCTGACAAAAACGGCATACAGTGTTTATTTACGAGGTGTGTTTTTGCTAGCAGGTTGAACAAGTGGTAGCTCCAGCAACAGCTGAGAACGTTGAGGTACCCACAAAGACAGTGGAGGAGCCAGTGGTCGAGACAGAGCAGCCCGAAGAAGTCGCCGCCGTGACAGAATCTGCTCCTACTCCGGCCGCCGTAACAGAGCAAGAAGCCGAAGCACCCGTCGTAGAAACGAGCAAAGAAGTGGTTGTGGAAGAGGCAGAGAAAAAAGATGAAGAAACAGAGGAGTCGAAGGTAGAAGAGGAAGAGGAGAAGACAGATGTGACGGAAACTCCAGTGGTTGTGGAGGAGGCAAAGATAGAGGAGAAAGAGGAGGTGACAGAAACTCCGGCGGTTGTGGAGGAGGAGAAGAAGACTGAGGCAGAGGAAGTTCTTGCTGCAGCGGAAGTCGCCGTCGAGAAGGCAGCGTAAAGAGGAAGAAGCTATATATTACCTTCTTTGGTCTCATTTCGGTTTTTAATATTTTATTGTATCAAAATTTCATAACTCTTTTCTATCGTTTGTTGGGTTTTTTTATGATGAAATCGGATGTTTGTATCATTAAATGTCTTAGTGGTTGCTACATTGTAAACCTATGAACCGATGGAGAACAATATTAAAATATATCTATCATTTTATTGTAAACGTAAAACAAAGAGACCTAAGAATCTAATTAATCAATGAAATTGAATGGTTTTTATTATTTCATTGATGAGTTTATAACGTAAATTTGTTCAACTACATAATTCTTGAGTGCAAGACCTGATTATATTCTTCATTATGAAATTTGAATCAGAGACATAGAATACCAGGAACCTAATTAGGTTGTATTATAATATCTCACAGGTTGTTGACCCCAAAAATATATATATCACAAGTTTTTGACTTTTGAGATTCTTATCCTAATAACCCAGCACCGAACGATATATAACCAAATATTCATATACATCAGTTTCAACCCTTGCACCATACGGTCATATCATAGAAATCTAGGGCACTGATCATTATCAACAGCTAGTATCGAATAGTGTTCATACAACACTTGCTATAAATGGCTTTAGGCCAAAAAACGGTAACTAAATTCGAGACAATGATTCGTGTCAAAAAATAAAATAATAGTAAAAAAATAAAAATTGAGACAATGATTTCACGGTTCGGATCGCACTGAAGGTTGAAAATTTCAAACATAATTACAGTAGTAGTCGAGTTATAGCCATGGGCCGGCCTATCCATCTTTAGATCAGTCCGTTTAGAAATGGCCTGTTTTTAGTTCAATCAGTTTTCTGCATAATCTCTCATTCATTACTTGGCCCACACAAGGAGTCAAGGACCATGGGTGCCAAGCGTCATATTTGCAGACAGGTGCGAAATAACGAATCAAACCTTGTATTACAGAATGAGTTGTGTAGATGTCAATAGACTAGTAGTCACCCATGTCATATGAGCAAAAGCCCACCTTGCAACTTTCACGGGATGTCGTCATAATTTTGAATGTAATAAGAAAACGTATGTTATTATTATTGTTTTGAGGTTATATAGCGAGGGTTGAATTATATATGTGGTTATGCTATTATTGTTTTGTAACAAGGGTAGAAATTATGTTACTGTTAGATTGCTACCAGGACTGATTGCTACATGTAGTTTGTGTCCGGCATACATACTCTATTTAGCTATTTTAATTTAATGAACAAATACAAAACAATGCAAAATGTCTGAAATTTGTAAAATTAAAGGGGTCATATAACATAATGAAAAAAAAAGTTAAAAATTATTTGTCTATATAAGAAAAAAAAGGTTGATTAAACTCTAAAAAGGTTGTGGAAGCCTCTTAGTCAAGTGGTCGACTAAATGTTAATTAATGCTTCTACACTATGAGATCTGAGATTCGATTCTCAAAAGATGCGATTTCTGCAGGTTATTATGAAGGCAAGCTTATAAGGAAATTTTCAGCATGATACAAGGAAAGTCATTCGTGGTGATTCCGGGCTGCGTGAAAACTCTAGCAATTCACAGGAAAAAAACATTGACCTACCCAGCTATGTAAATCCAGATTTTACGACATTTCAAACTAAAGAAAAAATCCAGATGTATATGTTTTGGATTAATCAATATAAATTCATTTAGTAACTCATAAACTCAAACCGGTCGACCGGCTAATCCCGATCTCACGTCATTAAGTATCATTTCACAAGTCAATACCTAAAGATCCAAACCAAACCAAACCAACTAAACCAGTTTTTTAAAAAAAGATCCAAACCAGTCATTGTTGCAACATTTTTTTAACGAAAATCGTCGGAAAAAAGGTAATAAAAAAACATTTACAAAGAAAAAACAATATCCACTAGTTCTTCGTTTTGGATTTTAGCCCATGATAGTTCATGACTGAAACCCGAAAGATGGAGATTGCTTCCACTTCTTAATTAGTGGACACATAATAGTAAACTAAGAGTAAGAAGAAAACAAAGAGAGCTCACGGGCTCAATATATGCATAATGCATCCATCGAATTTATAATTGCTCCTAAGGGACCATTCAGCTCTGTGACACGCAACACACCGTGACAGATATCTATGATGACACAGATTGTAATTAAAGTTCTTTGGATTTTAATTATTTTTCTAAATATTTTTAATTAATAAATTAATTAGTTTTAGATGTTAAACATAACCAATCTCTATTAATTCCCTAGCATCTTCTGACTCCACAAGCAATAAGCATCGTATCTGTACGACTGTAACTTAACTCAGATATATAACGATGACACTGAAAAATAATAATAGTTTTTTTATATTGACCAAAAAAATAGTAGTTTTCTTTATCACCATTAACTATGATATTTGTTTTTATTACAAAGATTCAATTAACTTAATACGAATAAATCAAGATTCTGATGTCAACAAAAACAAACATATCAAGATCCTATATATAGGTTTTAAAACTTAAGAAATTGATGGTGACAGTATCTATGGTCACGGCACGAAACATTCCTCATTGATCGATTAAGACATTCACTCTATATGTATTTATTCATCTAATAAACGGCAGTTGCATACTAAAATCGGAACCTCAACGTCGCGTTTACACCCTTAAACATTCTTATCATTATTTTGATTTTTTTTGTCGGTGAGAGTTAGATCTATTAGTTGACTTAACTCTTTACAAACTAAGTACGAAACAACTCAATTCTACATGTCAATAGTTGTTTATCTTAAATAAATTACAAAAAAATATTATTATTATTATTATTAGATATCTATTCGCGCATCTAGTATTGGATAATGTTTTACGTGACTTAGAGAATATCGAATATTTAGTTGTTATTCTGAAACAAATAATAAAATACTATGAAAATTTCTCATCCGAATTGCATGTGGGTTTAGACCATACGTGATCTGGAATCTTTCAACTTTATAAAATGTAATGGTGACTGATCTCCCGAAAAGACTAAACAAAACAAAAACACACCTCTTTTGTTCTCCACTTCCTTCCTTCCTAGTCCTATGTCAATGTGACGACCAAAAGAGATCTTATCACTTACTCAAATGAGAATAGAGGAATATTAAAACTTACGCTCAATTATCTCCTTCACTAGATTCTTCATTCACGAGAAAGAGCCGTATTTTTGTACTGTTCGATCACTTAGATCTTCTATATGACCAACATATGGACAATTTTGAATATGTTCATTATTAAAGCCATCACCTTTTAGCTTCAAAATGCTGCACACGACTAAACGCGATAAATTTACTTCTTGGCATATAACCACACTAGAGCTTGTCATTTTATTCACCGTTTGTAGCTTTATTTTCATCAGACAAAAGATCACTGTTCTCAAAAGTTTCCAAGAGTTATCGAATAAATCACAGGATATATAGTTATGTATATCATTTGTAAATAGTGTATTTAATGCACTTAATGCCTTTGCATGAAGACAGTGATAATAAGGACGCAACATTTTAAAGACCGATCGAGACGTCAGGGCCACCCGACCACAGTTTGAGACAGAGTGTCTTCTAAGATATTTTCTTGTACCCGCGGCCCGATATAACTGGCCCTCTTTAAATAAGTTATAATTTCCCTAATTTTTTAAAAAAGGTATAATTAACGAGTTAATTTGTTTTAACGAGTTAATTTGATAAAGTGCAAAGTTTTTCTTGTAGTTTTAAAATTGCAATTTTTTTTCGATTAGATGCTATATAAATTCCCCCAAAGTGATAGCCTTAATTCTTTCTATTCGTTTATCATTGGAATTAAAATATATATATATATATATATATATATATATATATATTTCAATCGTTTTATTTTTTGGAAAACTGACACATGTATCCTTAGGTTTGTTATTGTCCACAATGTAGTGTGGTTTTTGGATAGAGAAGCCATTTGTTAGATAACTTTGTAATACTTTTCTTTCTTCCTTTTTTCTTTTGATAAATAAATGAAAAGTTTCTTGTAATGTAAGACCCATGCACTAAGAATAAAACTTAATCAAATGATCCATGCACTAAGAATAAAACTTATTCAAAAGATCCATGCACTAGAGATAAAACTTTTTCTGTTGAGGCTTATACATCAAAGGATCCGACATGGTATATCCGACAACTGATTATTTCTATTTTATTGTGACGAACGAATTTCATATTTCGTTATGTGCATAGGTGTAGATTATTATTTTGATGTGAATTATTTCAGATTTCAAAATAAGATTTCCATGATTTACCATTTCTTACAGTAAGTAACCCATAATTTGTTTAATTGTTGGCATTCTAATGCTTTGGTAAACAGCTTTATATTTTATATTGAATTGGTATATTAAATTAAGTATATTCTAGAATAACTTCGATGTCATTGCCACAATTTTCAGAAATGATTTCTGTTGTGAATATCTTTGCTTGAATCAAAATACAACTGGTTAAATATTCTCTAATATACTAACACGCAATTATTATTTTTTTCTAATAATTAACGATAAGATAAAGGGTAATGATAAAGTATATATAGACCATAAAAAACTCGTATTTGAGACTTCTCTTAAAAACTAAAATGAAAATAATTTTTTTTTGTTGAAATTTAAACTGATTTAATTATGATGATGAGGCTTTACAAAATGTCATTGTTTCCTATTGGTGAGTTTTCCCTGTTCTAAGTGATGACTGAGAGGATCTGACCAAAAGGATCAAACTTTTGAGAGGATTTGATACTCAAAAGGAACAAACCGAATGAATATTTTTTTGTATAGCTTGTCTACAAATGTGAACCCATAATATCACTTAAAACTGAATGCATAACATAATAAATAAATGCTTTTATTAATTCATAAAATCATAATAGAACCAATACATCAATATCCCCACCCCAATATAAGAGTAATTAACAGGAAATAATGAAACTCTGAACTTCAAGAATCTCACGGATCACACAGACAGAGACATAATATATTAGACTCCAATGAACACCATAAGAAGAAGAATAGAATAAGAACTCACAAATATAAAAAGGCACAATAAATAAGAGTACAGTATATAGAATCACCTTGCCTGTCCAAAACAAGAAGATAAATATACACATAAGTGTGTTTAAATTATATATGAATATGGTTGATTAGCACTGGAAGCCGGGAGGAACTTGTTTGCTGCAAACATTAAGGAGCAGACTTAGAGAGATTGGGAGGTTCAAGTTGATTCCAAGAACGTTAGCCTTAAGGGCGGTGCAGAGACAAACGGCTGCTTCAACATCAGCGAGTCCTTGGATGAGGCTGCAGCATGGCTCGACCGGTGGCTTGCCGAGAGTCAAGTCGAGGAGGCCGTTAAGCACATTGGCGCAGACACCGAGCTTGAGAGTGTCTTTGGGACACTTGTTCATGCCAGAGCTAGGGCTTGGGGTTGGTTTAGGTTTAGGAGTTGGTTTTGGCTTGGGAGAGGGGCAACCACCACCGCACGGAGTGCAGCTACCGCATGCGGAGATAGTTGTGAAGAAAAGGAGATTGAGAGCCAGGAAAAGGGCTATGGAGCTTGAAGCCATTTTTTGCTTAGAAGATACTGTTCACTAGCTATGTTGTGGGTGAATTGAGTGTGGAGAATATGAAGGGGATTGAGGTATGTTTTATAGTGGTTCAAGCCTTCAAGGAAAGCCCTAGAGCGTCCGTAAAATTATTATGAAAATATTTTATTATAAAATTGTGAATGATTGATTACAATTAATTATCGTGTTTTTAATGGTTGCCATTCAAAAAGAAAAAATGTACCTCAACAAAGAATTTTAAGATTTACAAAACATCAATAAAAAATATTGAAATTGCGTATTACCCATCGTTACGGGCTGGGATGGTGAAATGAAAAGACCAAGTAATTATAATACGTTAAACACATTTGTAAACGGAGTATACATAATTATTTATGCGGATGATCACAAAGTTTACAATAAACTACAAAACTCAAATTTATTTTTCAATATCCATTTTCTCCAAAAACCTCAAATTTTCATGTCAATTGATCACAGAGTTTTCTATATTCCCCATTCATTAAATTTCCATGTCAATTGATCACAAATTTTCCTATACTGTGACAATTGTCTTGAAAACGGAATCTTTGACGAATATCTTTTCTTCTCGATGGATATAGTCTAGCTTGGATTTCTGCCGTCGAACCTGACATGCTTTCCGATCTTATTCTTTTTTTTTTTGGGATAAATTCCCGATCTTATTCTTAATTCATCAATTTCAAAAACATGCTGCTGAAAATAGCGTGGCTTTTCGAATCAGGTTTTGGGCCTGGATTCGGTTTAGGATTTGATAACCGACAAGCCAAACTCCGGCATTGTCTGATTTATTTTTAGTTTTTTTTTTTCATTTTTAAGAGTTTTTTACAAAAAAATAAAAATAATTAAGAATAACTTAAATAATAAATTTAAAGCCATGCATTACTTTTAAACGGAAAATAAATAAACAGCTTCGTTATATATTTTGAAGATGCACACTAAAAAACTAATTTGAGGGTTTTTGTGTTAATATTTTTTTATTTAAAGGTTAGTTGCACAAAAAAAAATTTATTTTAAGGTTTACATTGTGAGTGAAATATTTTATAGATTTAACGGATTATTGGGTGTCATTCTAAGGTTATTTAATACAAATTTTCCTATAGATATATTATAATGCATGATTGCCATAGAAAAACCATGTGACAATGACAATGCTGGTTCTCCTCTGCCCTTCACAAACAAATGTAAAACAAGATAAGATCGATCATGAGAGTACAACGAGGCGCCTTACAGTACACATATATACCAAAGACACCTTCATCTACAGCATGATTTTTGTATATATAGATTACTTGATATCAAGTAGTCGATAAAGACTCGAGCGAAGACTAATTCAACAGTCGATTTTGTTTATTAATTTTTTATATATAACGAAGTATAAATAGAAGATACTAACAAGCAATAGATTCAACGAGATAAGCAATTACATTTAGGAAATCAAATAAACTAGAACATGCAAAACTATGAGAACTATAACAATGTAAATATTAAAATAGTCTACGATAGTTAATATTTAGTTTTGGTCAATTAAACGAGAGTTTATATTTAGTTTTGGTCAAAAAAAAAGAGAGTTAATATTTAGTATTACTCGACTCTCACTGGCAATCTAAGTGATTAGCTACAAAAGGAATAGGTCCGTTAAACTCATAAATTCTCATAACTTTAATTCTCGTTCACTACAAAAAAAACATCATAATACATCATTTATTTTATTTATTTGTATTATTTATAACTGATGTAAAAGAATTTTACATCATTTTTTTTCTGAAAGTGGTGATGCAAATACTTTATATCAGTTCATTAATAACTGATGTAAATATTTTAAATATTTACATCAATTAGAATAATTGATATTAATATATGTCAATTGTTTTAAGTGATATTAAATTTTACATCAGTTATTATAAATGATATTAATATTTGTATCAATTATAAATAATTGATGTTAAAAATGCTATTTTGGTATAAATTTTAATTTATTTTAAAAATTTATATCAAAACCCTTTTGTTTTTTTTATTAATATAAATATATTTTGTGAACTCTCATACAATAATTAACTAGAATTATTATTAAAAATATTTTTTTTATATCGAAGATTTTGGTTGAAGTTAATAAAATCATACGATTATTAACAATGATGAGTTTATTTTATAGTAGAGCAATTCTCTCCTCTCAAGTTCTCCTAACCGATGTGGGACAGATAAGTTTTGACCAAATTAAATTAAATATATTAATTGTTTAATTCAGTTCTTTGTTGGCATCACTTTTTAATTGCTACAAAATTTGCATTATTTTGTTCAAGTGATGCTAATATATACATCAATTATCTAATGATATAAAATTTGGTTTTGTATCAATATTGTTCAAGTGATGTGATTTAAAATAAATTAGTATCAGTTTTATGCAATCGATGCCATATAAACTAATAATTGTTGACTTAAGCTTGAAGTTAACATTCTAGAAGCAAGCTTATATGTTTCCTATTAGAATAAGGAATATCTTAGGAGTTATCTAAGGATTTGTTAGGAGTTATCTAAAAAGGAAATCATGTTTCTATTAGGAAAAGGAAATAAGTTATTATATAAGGAGATGTCAAAGTTGTGACATAACTTATGAGTTTGTGTTTGAGAGCTTAAGTTTTGAGTTATTTTCTTAAGCTAATAAAGAGAGTTATTCTTTGTTATTGAGTTCTTAGCAAACTTTGATTTCTATAATTGGTATCAGAGCTTAAAGGGATCGATCTAAGAGAAGAAGTTTGATCACGAAGATTCTGAAATACCAAACTATGGGAGATCTTGTTCCAAATTCGAACCCACGACCTAAAGAACCAAGCACTTCCACCATTCAATGTTCGATGCTGAATTCTACGAATTATACGGTATGGGGCATAAGAATGAGGAGTCTACTTAGGGTTCACAAGGTTTGGGACATAGTAGAAACCGAGACAACAGATACCGAAAAGAACGACGTAGCCATGGCATTGATTTTTCAATCCATACCTGAAACCCTAGTTTTACAAGTCGGTGAGCTGAATACTGCAAAGAAGGTGTGGGAGGCCATTAAAACAAGACACATGGGAGCTGAACGGGTGAAAGAAGCTCGGCTGCAGACATTAATGTCAGAATTGGATCGGCTTAAGATGAAAGACATTGAGACAATTGATGACTTCAGCAGCAAGTTATCAGAAATTTCATCCAAATCAGCTGCCTTAGGAAATACCATCGAAGATTCGAAGTTGGTCAAGAAATTCCTTAGCAGCCTCCCTCGCAAGAAATACATTCATATCATTGCCTCGCTTGAACAAGTGTTGGATCTTAACACAACAAGCTTTGAAGATATAATCGGACGTTTGAAAGCATACGAGGAACGCATCCACGAGGAAGAAGATGCTCAAGAAGATCAGAGCAAATTGATGTATGCGAATACAGATACCCAATCCACTAATGATTCCAATGGCGAATATAGAAGCAGAAGTCGAGGAGGACGCTTCTATGGCAGAGGAAGAGGAAGGGGAAGAAACATTGGACCGAGAGATATGTCCAAAATAACTTGCTACCGTTGTGACAAGATGGGTCACTTTGCCTCTAACTGTCCAGATCGATTGCTTAAACTACAAGAAGCACAGGAAGATGACAACACAGATACTCAAGACGCAGACAAGCTAATGATGCATGAAATCGTGTATCTGAATGAAGGAAAGGTTGTGCCGAGTAACAATGAAACGAGCACCAACAATGAAAACATGTGGTACCTTGACAATGGAGCTAGCAACCACATGACAGGGGATCGACGATACTTTGCACAACTTGATAGCTCTGTAACTGGAAAAGTACGGTTTGGCGATGATTCCAGGATTGATATTAGAGGGAAAGGAACGATTGAGTTCACAGATAGGAACGTCGAACCAAGAAAGATGACTGATGTTTATTACATCCCAAACCTGAAGTCCAATATCATTAGTCTTGGACAAGCTACCGAATCAGGATGTGAAGTAAAGATGAAAGGGGAACACTTGATAATGCAGGATCGAGATGGAAAATTACTAGCCAAGGCGAAAAGATCAAGAAACCGGTTATACAAAGTGCACATGGAACTCAAGAATGACGAGTGTCTGCATTCGACAATTGCAAGTAGCTCAAGCAGATGGCATGAGAGGCTGGGTCATGTGAATGTCGACACAATCAAAACCATGATACAGAAGGAGCTGGTATCAGGAATCCCAAGTATAGCCATCGAAAAACATCTCTGCGAGTCTTGCTTACTTGGAAAGCAAACGAGACATGTGTTCCCACAAGCGACTCTGTTTCGAGCAAACAGGATTCTCGAGTTAGTTCACGGTGACCTTTGTGGTCCCATAACACCATCAACAGCTGCAGGAAACAGATATATATTTGTCCTAATCGATGACTATTCCAGGTATATGTGGACAATATTATTAAAGGAGAAAAGCGATGCCTTTGAAAAGTTCAAGAAATTCAAGAACTTAGTGGAACAAGACTCAGGATCAAAGATCCAAACTTTTCGTACTGACAGAGGTGGTGAGTTTATATCAATAGAGTTCAACTCGTTTTGTGACAACTCGGGGATAAAACGCCACCTTACAGCTCCATATTCGCCTCAACAAAATGGAGTTGTTGAGAGACGTAATAGGACATTAATGGAGATGACGAGAAGCATTATGAAACATAGATCTGTTCCGAATTTTCTGTGGGGAAAAGCAGTGAGGCATTCGACATATCTTCTCAACAGGATATCAACAAGGGCCCTAAAGGACAAGACTCCGTATGAAATGTTTCGTGAAAGAAAACCTAACATCAGCCACCTGCGAATCTTCGGATGTATCGGATATGCAAAAGTAGAAGGACCGCATCTGAAAAAGCTAGATGATCGATCGAGGATACTGGTTCATCTAGGGACAGAACCGGGATCAAAAGCATACCGACTACTTGATCCAAAATCCAGAAAGGTGGTAGTAAGTAGAGATGTTATTTTCGATGAAGAAAAGGGATGGAATTGGAGTCATACTAACTCAGAGAAAACGAGTCAGGTGACTTCAAGATCAGCCTTGGAAGCTTCAGAAATCATGGAATCCAGCAAACAGAGGATGAGGCTGTCGAAACAGAGCATGAAGGAACAGAGACAGGGCAGGATGAAGACTTCGAACACAATAATGAAGAAGAAGATGTGTACGATACAAATGAGATCGGAACAGAGAATGAAGAGGTTCAACCTGTTCTAAGAAGGTCAACGCGACCTAGGACAAAACTGAAGCATCTTGAAGATTTCATAATGTTGTGCGAAGAAGAAGGAGAGATGCTCCTGTTGTGTTTAAATAACGAACCAAGAAATTTTGCTGAAGCAAAGGAGTCAAAAGAATGGATAAGCGTGTGTGAAGATGAGGTACGATCCATTACAAAGAATCACACATGGGATCTCACCGATTTACCTCAGGGAGCAAAAGCGATTGGCCTAAAATGGGTATTTAAGGTCAAAAGGAATTCAGATGGAAGTATTAACAAGTACAAAGCGCGTTTGGTCGCTAAAGGCTATGTGCAGAGGTACGGGATCGACTTTGATGAAGTTTTTGCACCTGTTGCACGAATAGAGACGATCAGACTCCTTATCAACTTAGCAGCATCATATGGTTGGGAAATACATCATCTGGATGTTAAAACTGCGTTTCTTCATGGCGAGTTAAAAGAAACTGTCTATGTTACACAACCAGAGGGTTTCGAAGTAAAGGGGAGAGAAGACAAAGTATATAAGCTCAACAAAGCTTTATATGGGTTAAGACAAGCACCAAGAGCCTGGAACCATAAATTGAATCAGGTTCTCAAGGAGTTGCAGTTCGTAAAATGCTCCAAGGAACCCTCGGTATATCGAAGATTGATAAATGGAAATCTTCTTCTTGTCGCAGTCTATGTAGACGACTTGTTTGTTACGGGAACAAAAAGAGAGAACATCTACGAATTCAAGGAACAGATGGTGTCCAAGTTTGAAATGAGTGATCTTGGTAAATTGACATACTACCTTGGGATAGAAGTGTGTCAAAGCAAAGAAGGGATAACATTGAATCAAAGGCGTTATGCACTAAAAATTCTAGAAGAAGCTGGAATGGAAAATTGCAACATGACTCATACGCCAATGGATTCAGGACTCAAGCTATCAAGGTCTGAAGAAGAGAAGGATATCGACGCCACAAGTTACCGAAAGAATGTGGGATGTCTTCGATACTTACTTCACACAAGACCAGATTTGGCTTATTGTCTAGGAGTCTTAAGTAGATACATGCAGAGACCTAAAGTGTCTCATGGAGCAGCAATGAAGCATTGTCTAAGGTATCTACAAGGAACAACTACTTTTGGATTGACCTTCAAACGTTCGAACTCGGAAACACCAAGGCTCACAGGTTTTAGTGATAGTAGCTACAATGTGGACCCTGACGATGGCAAAAGCACAACCGGTCATATCTTCTATCTTGGAGATAGTCCGATCTCTTGGTGCTCACAAAAACAAGAAACTGTAGCTCTATCATCATGTGAAGCCGAGTTTATGGCTGGCACAGAAGCTGCAAGACAAGCAATATGGCTACAAGATCTGCTCAGTGAAATCACCGGTGCATCAAGTCAGAAAGTTCTCATTCGGATAGACAATCAGTCCGCCATTGCTCTTACAAGGAATCCAGTCTTCCATGGGCGAAGTAAGCACATTCACACAAGGTATCATTTTATAAGAGAATGTGTTGAAAATGGGCAAGTAGAGGTCGAACACATTCCAGGTAATGAGCAAAAGGCAGACATATTGACTAAGGCACTAGGGAGGATCAAGTTCAAAGAGATGAGAGATCTCATGGGAGTTCAGAGTGTGCTTGATGAAGACTTCAAGCTTAAAGGGGAGAATGTTGACTTAAGCTTGAAGTTAACATTCTAGAAGCAAGCTTATATGTTTCCTATTAGAATAAGGAATATCTTAGGAGTTATCTAAGGATTTGTTAGGAGTTATCTAAAAAGGAAAGCATGTTTCTATTAGGAAAAGGAAATAAATTATTATATAAAGAGATGTCAAAGTTGTGACATAACTTATGAGTTTGTGTTTGAGAGCTTAAGTTTTGAGTTATTTTCTTAAGCTAATAAAGAGAGTTATTCTTTGTTATTGAGTTCTTAGCAAACTTTGATTTCTATAATAATAACATCATTTGTATTAACTGATGTTAATACTGTATAATTTATGTCACTTGTAAATAAATGACTCTAATTAGTATCAATTATTTTTCTGATATAATTTATTTGATGTTATCAACACTTTTTTTGTGGTGGTTGATTGGACTAATTTTACTACATTAGAGTTGTATGCATTAGCATTTCATCAAGCATTTTTATTGCATGGATTACTTTGGATTCTAAAACTAGGTGACCACCATTAATCCGAAACATTCTATAAGTAAATCACTAAAAACAATTCTAAAGAATCATAAATCAAGCATAATTCCACGAGTTTCTCATGCATGATGTATCTTATATCCACGTTGGGTAGCTACTCACACATCATAACTATAAAAACAAACAATAAGAAATGTTTAGACATGATGCATGAAGAATCTTCACTAAATAGAATGAGTGATCTTCATCATCATCCGCAAAGATTCGTTAAACCAACACAGCGAGGATTTAGGGAAAATAAAAGCTAAAAGAAAAACAGAAGTAGTGTTTAAATGCTAAAATGAGTCTAAAATACAAAAGTTTCTGAACCAGTTAAGGTTGAATTTTTATTTTTATTTTTATTTTATAAAGGAACTCAGTCAAAAAGTAGCTATTTTATCAAAGACTTCGAGAGACTGGTTTCACTTTAAAAATTATAATTATTTAATTAATAGTTTTTTTTTCCAGTTCAGTGTACCCACTTGCTCGTCAGTGCCTATGTAGCTATCATATCGATCTACCAGACGCCAATTTAAAAAAAAAAAAAAAAAAAAAAACTGTGAAGCCAAAACATTCTCACTATTAAAGACATACTCAAAGTCCGACCAAAAAACATAAAACTAGAAGATGTTCTGAAGAGGCGAATTTATTATTGTAAATATTTCAATATTAGTGGTAGTTTTACCCCGTATATATAGCATATACTTTTCATCGCTATATCGTTTTTAGCATATGCATTACGATAATTTTTTGGCCAGAAAAAATAAAATAAAAATCACAATTAGAAACTGTACCTTTAAAAAAAACTACAACTTGGTCTTCAGCCCCCACACATGATTTTAATTATTGTGCATAAGGAAATTTTATATTTTATTATTTCTTAAAACATATTATTTTTGTTCACTTCACGGGTTTGCATAAGAATTCTAAATCGCCCATTGGTTCTTCCTGTGATCCACACAACAACAAAATATTGATATTAAAGTATGCTTATCCTGGTAATGGCCGGATCTGTAATTTTTTTTTTTATATAAGGAACAATATCGGTTATTCGATATTTATTTCGACAGGTATAACTTTTTCTGCATATAATAGGGCAGTGTAAAACAATTTCAACTACGTAACTCGCCAGAAATTTAAGCATATTATTTGTCAGCAAGTCTAATAGAAAACAAAAAATAGATGATAAAAACATGGTTCGTGAAGTAATTTTCAGATCTTTACGTGATCTACTAAAAATTGATAAAATATGTGCCAGCGAAAACGAGCTAGTTATTGTAAAACAATACATTTGATCATCTAAAATTTTAGAAGATAAGTATTTTGAAATTTTGAAAAGACAGAAAATGGTAGTTATCATGAGATTTTGGTATTACTACTAGCCATCATACATATAGAAAATGAGGCATTACAACAATTTCCATATAAAAAATATTATTGCAACGTCTTGTTGAAACGAAAGAATATGATTTCACCGCATTATGTATAATATCGACAATGTTTAGAGTTTCAATTGTAGATGCGCACACACTGACACACAAACAAGTTCAAGTACGTTCATTATTAGTAATTAATAAAATATAACGGAAACAAGCTTATTACATACGTACTACGATTAATTCTATTATTATCTCCTAATTAATCGAAAAGCGCATCTATAAGAAATATCAACTTGGTAATTAATATTAGCACCTCCGCAGTAATTTTCTTAATACACGAATCTTTGTGGCTCACGTCGGAGTTCACTCGCTTGCGCCTATATAAGCCTTAATTGTCGGTCACACTTATTCCCAAAGCTAGTCACACTGTTAATCAAATCTGTTTAGGGTTTAGTAGCTTAGAGATCAATGGAATCCTACAGATCTTTTCATGCAGTATTCTTCCTATCTCTTAATCTCATGTTTTTTGCGTATGTAAGTGGCTGCAACACTTGCTTGCCACCTAAGCCAATCCCAAACCCTAACCCTAATCCTATCAGCAATCCTACAAAGCATAGCTGCCCAAGAGACGCCCTAAAACTAGGAGTTTGCGCCAAAATACTAGACGGTGCGGTCGGAACAGTCATCGGGAATCCACCAGACACGCCTTGCTGCTCAGTTCTTCAAGGGCTGGTCGATCTTGAAGCTGCCGTTTGTCTTTGTACCGCCATCAAAGCTAACATTCTGGGGATTAACATCGATATTCCTATCTCCTTGAGTTTGCTTATCAATACTTGCGGCAAAAAGCTTCCCTCTGATTTCATTTGCGCCTAATGAGTATTAGGATCCATGGATAGATAGATCGAGAAGTTCGATTTGTTTGTGTTTTTTATTGCTTCTGTTTGTTTCGTCGGTCCTCGTCTAATTCAATCAGCAAGTATTCTTGTTTAAGTCGTTTCCTACTTTGGTTGATGTAAGATTTTATCTGTTTAAGAAGAAGAAATAAGTCATGCGATTTGTTCACTGTTCAAATGTGTTGAGGGCGTGCAACTAACTATATTCAGATAGTTTGGTTTTCCGAGTAAAACTTAATTCTATTTTGCCAATATAAATGATGGGATACACTAGAAATATCAAGTTGGATTCGCCATGATACCCAATTTGTATTTTCTACTATGATTCCGATTTCAATCTTTCACCCTAGATGTTTTAAATTGACAAGAATAATCGATTCAGGATCTTGACTAATCAGATCACAACGGGTTATGAAGATTAATGAACCGGTTGCTAATATTCTTGCGCCGGCTATTATGTATAGAGTATATTTGTAGATTATAGCGAATATTATCTCTCTTTTGTTGAGATCGAATTAGTATGTCCAAAGCAGAAGCATACATGATACTTTTTACATTAACAATCAAAGTATATAATGGAGATTAAAATTATTGCAACTTGGTATAAAAAATAGGAAATGGGAACCCGTGACACGACCCATCTGCGTATGCCACCACCTAAAGAAGTAAAAGATAACTAAAATAATTTGTACGTAACGTGCATGGCTAGATCTTTTACCCCTTGGTCCCTTGTTGAATTTATCGATAAATAAAAAGTTGAGTTAAATTTTAAAAGCCTAAAATGGTGGTAATGCAAGTTGCAAATTCAATTTTTTTTTTTTTAAAAAAAAGAAAATTGCATATTCATATAAATCCAAGATCTACAGACTAGCTATACAGTTCTAACCTTACAACTTTGTTTTCTTTATAGTGTCGATCATACTACTTTCGAAGAAAACCCACGTTATGAGTGAAATTTTAAAAGAAAATTATGTGACTATTAAAACACTTTTTATTGAATTGCATAAGAAATAAAGAGATACGAGCCCCAAACAGGCTATACATGTATGTATTTAATGGGGAAGGGCAATACATGTCTACACCAGAACACAAGACAACTCGAACTTAACAATGAACATAATATGATATCGATGGCAAACTTCAACCTGGCCATCACAGTGAAGAGATGAAGATAAAGAGTCGCGACGTCCTCCACAGACTTCAGGAGCTACTTTGTTTGTATCGTCGTATCGATCCACCCTAGAGAAGTGTGCGCAGATCACATGTTCGAAATTATATCATTTACTGGTTTGTAGTTTTTATTTTAATCCTTATATTTTTGAATAGTTACCTATCATTATAAATTATCTTCAATCAAGATTCCACCTTCACTTGGCGAGAACAAAAAAACAAGAAGCCCAAATTCAATCACCGTAAGAACTCGAAGATTCGACCCATCGATAAATATTGGGCCCATAGTTAACTACCGTATCAGCTAGATTGATGTGGCTCATCAATAAGAGCGTGTAGTCAATTTTATCAAAACAACTCAAAACTTCTGACAGAAACTGCAAATCAAATCTGAGATGCGAAAACTCGATCGAGAGTTAAACTTGATTCATTAAAAGATTAAGAAACTGCCATTGCCATAGGATATCTTAAATATGAATTCCAACGATAATGTAATAAAAATAATATATGTATTTATATTTATCAAGTTCATGTTTCATTGACGACATTGATTTTCTTGAGCGTCATTGTGAAGCTAATATTTCAACGGCATTGAAATATTTATGTATTTATAGAAACTTTAATTAATTTTATTACGTTGAAATGTCTATGTAATGTGAGCTTCAAGCTAGTGACTCTTGGACAACTCCTCGAAGCGCAAATGGAGATGCGCGACGCGGAAACTTGGGATTTCAATGAAGATTTGACTCACAGTTTTGATTTATTTCAACGCTAATACATGGTGAATAGTTTCCGAATGTTAAATGTTCAAATAATGTTCTTTATTATATTATTTTCTCGAATAAATTATTTATTATTAGAGTGTACATTTCAGATCTGCTAAGAATAAGGTAAACGTTCAATATGGACAATCATACGTATTTCTAGATACCATATCCTACACGTTTTTACTAAAATCAGGAAATAATATAATAAACAAAATGATACACAACTATACATATATAACTATGTAAATATCTTGTAAGCTTTTAACTCATTATATATATATATATATATATTAATTGTATATTGGTTCAATGGTTAGGTGTACATTTTTTCCACAATTCAACATTTTGATCAAAAATATTTTCTAAACCAAGTAATTTCTAAATATAGTTATATTATTGCCATTCGATGATTCAAATGAAGTTGACTGAGTTAGTATATGGTAGCTAGTGGAGTGCATGTGTTCCTGTGAAGTGAGAAGCTCGGGTTGTGTAATTTCAAGTTGATCATTGGAAAAATCACTAGCCGTTCCTTTTTCGCCTACGTAGGATTTTTGTAGGTAATCTGACAACTTATACTGGTAACTTTGTAAGTCCCGATTACTTCAAGCTCAAAACAGTTTTTTTTTGTGTAACTTAATCAAACAGTTGTATACTTCATACTTGTATTCTATATATTATGGAGAGGACAGAGAGAGAAGGTTAAATAAAAATGTTGACGTGTAATTGTAAGTTTAAGTTAGAAGTAAAAGGAATTCACCATCAACTTGCATTAACGTTTAAAATTAAAAAGAAATTGATGAAGTATGAACATATTGTAATTTTGAATGCAAAAGCAAAATGTTCGCAAATAAACAAAGAAACGAACGGAGATAATAGTTGGGTGGGCAACTTGATCTTGATTTCCATGAAAAGATTTGACATTATTCAGGTGTCTTTTCTGGAAAAAATTAGCAAAACTAAAATTGCCTATGTTTTAGGTTGAACAAGTCTCCCTCCTACTTTTATTGGTTAGTGAATACTTAATACTTTTCATTGATTTTTCGCACATGGGTGTCTTTCAATTACATTTGCAAGGTGAACATTAAAATATATTTTAAAAAGTCTGTGAGTAATTGTCAATGGTTTTTTACTTTCTTGTTTTTATGTATATATACGAATGCAGGTATTTGTGTTTGTATATATCGATAAACTATAACCAAGACGAGACAATATGATCCATCAAATTCTGTAATATGTTTTTAGCAACATAAACCTTAAGAAAAAAAGGGAAAAATAATTTTTTCAAATACCCACGACGTGGAAACTTCATTGCAAGCAAGTCCATGTCTCACTTTTTGACGTGGGCTATAAGTCACATCTAACGCAGAGATTTTGAGTAACAAATATATCAGTCTCAAAATATTTAAGATATAACTATTCATACAGCTAAATTCTTTTTAAAAAAACAACCAGTTACAAAATTTGTAGAAATTCAGTTCCACTTAAAAGTATAGGTTGGGCAGCTTAAAAATAATTAAACGTCTATAAATAATATAACCAACATACAAAATAACAGTATCTAAAAGTCGTGAGTTCGCGACCTTGATCAATTAGTAGCTTCTCAACCACTAAGTTGTGTAGGTTGGTTTATATGGACACATTTTCGTTTAACTGCATGCTTTAAAGCATAAGCATGTTTCTATTTTTGAACAGCAAAGCGAAAGCATCCTTCCATCTAATTAGTGAACCTTTATGATATTTAATTTCAAAAATATTTGACAACGAAATAAATAATCTATTGTTAGTCGTCTTTTATATTTCGCCTATTTAGATATCATCTCTTTTACAGTATGTAATTCTTAATGCTGATGTATTATTTTGGAAAAATACTTTCAAATTGAGGAGAGACAGAATAGTTTGCCTAGTTAGCTAATTTTCTCACCAAAAAAAAACATGTATGTATAAGCTTTGCATAGTCACAACATAGGCAATAATTAGTTTTGAAGAGGGTAAGAATCTGTAAGATCTAACTTTTAAAAATTTAAACAATAAAAAGTTCAAAAGGATCTCTTTTGGCAGTTTCCTGCCTGGTGATATCTGGACACCAATAGAGAATCTTCTATACCAGTTAAGGTGTCATTTGCTTACCTTTTTTCATAAGCAGCCCCAAAATTAAGGCATTTTGTCCGTCCATAAATCAGATGATCTTATAAGAAAAACTTCAAATTTCACCAGTCTAATACATTTTCTATACTACTAGTTTCCAAATTCAAGATAAAAAGAAAATCATAACAATATTATATTTATAATATAATTATATTTTATAACACATTAATAAGAGACTAGACATACCGTTAATTACCAATATATAGCTGGAATAATGCCAGAATGCCTGTAGATTTTAGAATGTTTTTTTTTTCTTAATTCCATTTTTCTTAGAAATCTGTACGTGATTTTAGGCCGATCGACTCTACTTCACCTTATACGAAATAGGAAACTCAAAAACTCCATTTGGAGGCCAAAATAATTTCATCAGCTTCATCATAATTATTGTAAAGAAGCACACAAAAACATATTTCTTATTATTATTAAGTCAACCATTCGGAGTGGCATTACCGAATTTTAAATCCTGTAATGTGAGTCATGTGACCATGTCGACATCAATAATAACTTATTCATGTTCTTACTTCTTATAGCTTATCGAAAAGCAAAAACTTCTAATAAACTATCACATTTAAACTGCTATTTCAATCTTATATATGCTAACATATGAATTAAGTTAGAGAAACTGAAATGTTGTTGAATGAAGACTTTTTAACAAAACAAAAAAAAAACTGAAATGTTGTTGAAATATTAGAAATCTTCTGTATATATGTCTATTAAGAGATCGAAATTTCATTTCCAAAAATGACAAATTTGTTTTGTTTCGTTTTAGGACATTGTAAACGTTTATACAAACGAGTGAAACGACCCCGACTAATTATAAGTTGCCTTTGCTTAACTAACATTAGGTACAATTATAATTAGTAATTATATGTCTTTTGAGAGCATCAAAAAGCCCACGTTATGAATTGTTTGGTTCATTTCCAAAAAGCACGACGTACTTACCAATATCATTTTTATTTTGCAGTGATGTAAGGCATCTTTCACTTTCGATTCCCCTCTTCACGTTATCTGCTCGTACTATTTCTTTATCTTATAGTTTGCCTTTCATATATTTTATAAATATATACAAATG